GTTTCCGTTAGTTTTAGCCATGCCGGAAATTTCATCTTGCATTGGGGTGCAAGATGAGTCGCGTGCTATACAATGGCATGCCTAGGATGACGTAATTTTACCGTAATGAATGAAGTTGTAATTTCATACGTTGTTGTAAGAAAATAGTTACGGTTGTAATGATATAAATTATTTTTATTAAGTCAAGAATTTAAAATGGAATGGAATATTGTGGAATATGCAAGAAAAAAATATCTGACATGTGTGCAGTTCGGATTGGAGTATTTGTCCCTCGTGATATTGTTAACATTTATGTTACTAGACACACGTCGGGGCAAAAACTACTTACAGAAAATACGTCCCAAAAGACACATGTCGCTGCATTAAATCAGCAACATCATCTGTTTCACTTTCCATCTTTCCAATAATGATGTATAATTGATTGTCAAATAATACGATAACATGGCAATTGTAAAGACAAACGTAATGCAATAACTATTAGTTTAAACTGAAGATCGATAGACGGAAACCTGTTCAAATACATTAAAACAGAAGAGATGAAAATAAAGACGTTTTTGATGCAGTAACAATTATCTCAAAATAGATATGACTACATTGTTGTCACGTTTGATGAAAAATGAAGGCATAGATGCGCTGATGTCTTGCAATTTCTCATGTCATGCCAATCTCTATTGAATCCTATTTAAATGGAAAATAAATGAGTTATCACAGTTAGAGGCTAGATCATATTGATCCTTTACTAGCCGGAAAAGCCGCTAACCATACGGCTGAAATGGATTCAGAAATGAGGCTAGTTACTCGTATTATATGGGTTTTCTGGTACTAACCATTGTAAAACATATTTAAAGTGTCAGATTTCATTGTTAATGCATTGTATTTGCTTTTCAGAAGAAAATTTGTAAAACTGATGGGAACATATTTGTTCAACAGAAGATAATATAACGTTAATTTGACATTTTAAGTATTTCTTGCTTTTGAAGTTTAAAACCGAAACGTGAATTTGATAACAATTGATAACTATTCTTACACAAATGATATACTTTGTAGTAATGATGATGATATTAAAAAACGATTTTTGCTGTCACAAAATAAAGAAACCTTATAGAGTCTGCACATCTAAAATTTCAAATACTTACATAGATCAACCGGTACACATCTAATGGAAAAATATGCAAATTATTATGTACTCAGAATTAAACTGAAATAAGATGATTTTGCAATTTAGCTCGATATGAGTTAAAATCGTTGCAACGCTTTTCATGTTTGGTTCATGTTGTACATAAAATGATGGTTCTGGGACAACTGAGTAACCGATTGATCTTACATTTTAATGGCTGATACCAACATCAATTGGTACACAGATTTGTGTCACTTTATGTAAAGAAACATCAGTGGTGTTCCTTTAACTTTAAGCCCTGAGCGTGATACTTTCATAGACTCTGTATCTAATATTGATATCTATTTAAGATCTACATCCAATAGTGATATTTCCTTTAAAACTGTATCTAACAATGAAATCAATTCAACAGTTGTATCAAACAGTGATATTCACTGAAAATAAGTATTATCAAATATGTATCTCATAGTGTTATTCGCTTAATGTATGTATTTACCAGAGAAAATCACCAAACATTGTATATGCTTAGAAATACAGAAATTATATGTATCTAAAAGTTTTACTGACTGAAATCGATATCTGACATTGATACCATCATACAAATACGTATGTGTTTACAAACGAAAAATGAACCTGCCAGAGAACACTGTTGTTTTCGAAATTCAGTACTTCTAAGAAGATCTCAAAGCCTTTCTGAATGTGCATATTCTCAATATAAATTTATTCCACTGCTGATTGTGTAAATGAAATATAAAGTATTCAATGGTCAGATCCTCTCTTTCCTTTATAATTCCCTTGCCATCTATGCATTTCGGTCAGGTTTAGATGGAAAATAAATGACTTGTAACAGCTAGCGGGTAGTTCATATTGATCGTATAGTAGTCGAAATAGCCTCTAACCGAGGCTTTTAGTTGCGGTAGTTAAAATTTAAGATCCAATTTTTAAGTTTCACGTTTCATTGATAGATTGCTTTTTATAAGATTTTCAGGAAACAAACTTGTAACACTTATGTGAATTTATTTGTACACCAAGGGATTATATAACGTTAAATTAAACGTTTTACATATTTCTTGGTTTTGAAGTATAAAATAATACACGAAAAGTCAATTGATAAGATTATTTCTATCTTATACAAATGATTCAAATGATAATGATGATGGTGATGATATTTTGCCTTTTCAAAAACAAATAATATTTTTAAAGATCTTGCATTTTACTTAGTACTATGTTTTAAAAATGACGCTACTGGATTCAGAGAAATGGACATAAGGATGCAATCTTATTTTATAAACATAAACAGATCATATGCATGAGCTAATAGAACACAGACATTTTTTTCTATGTTAGTATTTAAACTTTTGGAAAAGAAGAACATTACCAAAGATGATAAATGTAGTGATTCATATCTCATTGTTTTCTCTCTCCGCTATTCTTATACCATGCTCCTAGTGGTTTATTTGTGTGTTTGCAAATAAGTCAAACAAATGGTCATATTTGTTGTATTAGAGTGATGAAGAACAGATCTTAAGAAGTCTTCGTAAAGTGGTATCTTCAGTTGATTTCCTATTTTATGATGATTCGTTATTCTGAAGAAGGCGGAAAAAATAAAATATGTTACTGACGTTGTCTGAAAGAAAAGGAATAAATATACTTTTTAATTTATAAGGAACTTCTTTTGTACCGTGAATTTAGCAAAAAATATCATATCCGATGAGTGTGCTTTTATAATTACGCATCAGTATGACAAAAAGGGCCATGAAGTTGAGATTGGCAGTAAAGTGGCAGTAATACACAATAAAGACAAATATCTGACATTTGCATACACTTACTGGTTATATTTGGTAAAAGAAGTTTAACCGAGGGAAACGAACCAGTGCTTTTTAAATGGAAAAATGCAAAATAATAATGATTTGAAATTTGGTTTAACGAAATTGAGTTAAAAGCGTTACAATTCTTTCTTTCATTCTTGGTGTATTTTGCAGATTAACTTATTTCCTTATTTATTATATCTTATTTTTGATATCGGAGTTAGCAAGTAATGTGAAATTGTACTTTCAAGTTGTATTTTAGACAATAGACATTTGTAAATGTCAGTTTTTTACAGACCAAATGTTTAGATTCTATTACTTGCATTTTAGTACATGTATATCCATAAAAGTGAAATAATCAATAGAAATGACTATATACTTGTTTAAGTTGGAAAAAAACTATGTTCACGAGAGGAAAATGTTTGGTGATATTTTTCATGAATTTGAGTATACGTATGCACTCAAATGCGCTTAATGTTTCCTGTTACGATAAAAAGCAGTCGTTTTGCCATATTTACAATATACAGTTGACACTCAATAAGTCAAAATCGCTTTACTCAAAATTCTGCGTTGGTCGAAGAATTTCTAAAGTCCCGTCAACTTTCCTTCTTTATCATTGTATTTTAACTTCGCTTAGGTCAAAATTTGACTTACCGAGACTCCTGTTTAGTCGAAAAGAAAATTTGGTCCCGTCAATTAAAGTCCAACATATTTTCATCTCAATTAGTCGAAGTGTAAAAACAGCCGACAGATCAAAGGTCGGAGACATTAAGGTGAGATGTTGTCACTCGTGATTCACACGTTGCATAGTGAATTTAATTGCCGGTCATCATGTATTATTAACACGTCGTAATAGCGGCTTTAATCGGTTTCAGGACTTAATTGGTTTTAACAGTTAGATAACTAAATTAAGATTTAATGATCAATTCACTTCAAATACTAAACAAACTGTTGTTAAAATAAATGTGTCATTGTGTTTTTATTGTAATGAATTGTCATGAGTGCTTTACTGATGAATACTGACAAACTTGCATTTATGTCATTGCTACGAATGTTTGTGTTTATGTAACACTATTAATATACATGTACATGTATTAAATTTTCAATAATATACATTTTTGTTCATTTATAATTTGTAGTTGTAAGTGATTTACCGTCATTTCAACGGTTAAATATTGCAGCATTGGCGCTATCAACAATAAAAGACCTACTTCTTTGCACATTCAATCAGGCACATGTATATACATGTACGAATGTCAACGAAACGGCAGATCCACGTTACTCGAATTCCGTTTCTCTCGAAGTAAAATGCACAGTCCCTTGAAATTCGAGTTACCGAGAGTCAACTGTAATTTGTCGATAGATCAGGGCTCAGGCTCTTACAGAATATAAGATAATGATTGTGTTAGTCAATAGTAATAATAATAGCGATAATAATAAACAGCAATAATTATAACAATAATATTTTATCATAAATGTTGAAAATATAAGTTGATCATATTAATAATAATAATAATAGCGATAATTATAATAATAATAATAATAAAAATAATAATACTGCTTTCATTCATCGTCTTATTGCCTTGACATTTAACCAGTATACCAAAAGTACATATTAAACGACACAATAGTTTGGATACTCACTCAATGACCACCACGATAATAAACGTGTGAGAACATTTACAGATACTTAGACAACGCTCAACATTGTGTCGTTAGTTGTAATTAGATGTCGTAAGTAATTGATTTAACTATTTCCAATCCTCTGGAAACCAGTTCCATCAAATTGCTAGAGATAACATATAAATATATAGTGGTAAACGAAATATAGACAGACATTTAAGAGAGAACAGTTCATTGTGTTTATAACAATGCTAATAGGTTTACGACTCCTAGCCAAACAAAATAACCTCAAATAATAACCTACGCTACACAACTAAAGCAAATGGAATAGTTCCTGTCACGTCACGGTATTTCTTAAACATTTTTCTTCAATTTGCATCTTCAGTATTTTATAGTGATGACTACATTCCTGTAAACATATCTGTGTAAAAAGTATGTGCGCTTCTTGTTGAAATACTTCGATAATCATTCTGGAAATATGTTCAAAAAGAAAAAGATAGAAAGTAGGAAACAGCAATTTGACGGAATTTACGGTGTGAATAAAGAATTTACAAAACTTTCTACCGGATGTATATCAACAGTTTTTCATACCAAAGGTTTGTTGTTATTTAATGTTAAATATGTATGCAATAAAGAAGTGTTCTATCTAATACGTAAACTTGTAAAGGTTTAGTAAATGCATGTAATAGAACATATATGAAATGTAGATTTTTTATCACGTGCTTTCTGCGCAAATAATATTTTAAATATATCACTTTCTTATCATAACATCAGTTAGGAACTGTACACATTTTAAAATTATGAAATTTACTTGTATATGGTTTCAAACGTTTTGTTTTTGACCATTTTCAGTCATATTAACATTGCCTAGTCGAATGTAAAATGTTTGTAACCAAAACTAACTAACTAAATAAATAAACGCATGATATATGTATTTTTTTAATTATTTTGTGAAGTTTCTGAATTTATTTTGATTGCGAAGTACAAAAATGACTGACAAAATATCTTCTTCAGAAACAAAAAGGCCCATCAAACTTTAATGACAAATGTCGCTGTATTTAATCAGCAACATCATCTGTTTCACTTCCTATATTTCCATTTACGATTATTGATTGCAAACTTAGACGATAACATTGCAAATATAAAAATACTAAAAACAATCAGTCGAATTTAAGATCAATAAATGGACACCTGTATTGATAACAAAAGCTCCGAAGAATCAACTATAAAATGTTTTTTTATGTCAGTTACAATAACCTCAAAATGAATATAAAATACATGTTGTCACAATTGATAAAACTATAAATGCGCTGATGTCTTGCAGTTTGTCATGCCATGTCAATCTTTTATTGAATCCCGTTTAAATGGAAAATTAATGACAATCAGCTGCTAGAGGCTAGTTCATATTGATTGTATACCAGCAGTATAACCTCTAAGTCCATACCACTGAAATGAAATCAGAAACGAGACTTGCTATTATGCCATTTTATTTTTCTTGTGGTTTAAATTAATAAACGAATTATCAAAGTTTCAGCTTACATTGCTAATGCATTTTATTAGATTTGCAGTAGAAAATTGACAAAAGGGTCGTGAACACATTTGCACAACACGAGACAATAAAACTTGTATTTAAAAGTTTCGTATATTTTTTACTAATTTTAATACATTCAATAAAAAAGTATGTTAACAATATTCCAGCCTAATGTAAAAAAAACGTTCTCGAGAAAAAAAATATTAATAAAGTTATTCCTCATTCTAAGAAACAGAAAAGTGAAGAATAGATTTTGCACGTTTTATCTGATAGTTTTCATTGAAAATGACGCTACTATATCAACAAAATGGAATATTAGCCATTTACATATATTTAATAAACATAATAATTAGTGGTGAACGAAATATAGACAAGTCATGTACGTAGACGCCGGCATGAGAAAACAACCTTTAACGTCATTTTTCGAATGACGTCAAAAGACGTTAATATTGTCATTGTCATTAAAATATAAAAAAAAACTGCCCATGAAATGTTAAAAATAGACATGAATATGTAACGGTAAGCAGTTTTCAGAACTTTAATATTTTTATTTCAAGGACTAGAGAATTGAATATCTTAAAGAATTCAAAATGTCAATTAAGAAAATGCAGAAAATAGTGAATGGTGTTACAACACTATTTTATGATAATATGCTAATTTTATGTTTTGCAAGGAGTGCATTTAAACGAAGAATATATACATATTCCTCTGTTTGTCTTTTCCATTAGTCTTATACCATTACAAAAGCCAAAAACAATTTTCTTGTAGTTTATTTGTATTTCTGGAAGTACCTCAAACAAAATGTCATAATTGTTGTATAAATTAATGATAGAGTACAGATTATAATTATGAAGTAAGTTGCGTTTCTGTTTTATGTGGTTTCCTTTCTTTCCGAAGCAGAAAAAAATATTAAAAATATTTTTATCCGGTGAACTTGCGTGGAAGAAAATGAAAAGATGTATCTTAATAAATTAGGAACATCGACTTTATCTAATGATGTTGAAAATTCCTCGCTTGTTTCAATTTGCCAGGTGCTTATACTGTAAACATCACAAGTTTTTACGTGCATACCATTGAACACTTGATTTGAGGTAATCCAGACTTGCTTGCATTCTTCTTTTAAACAATTATCCATCCCGTCAGTACCTTGGGGTTAAATTGCATTAATTCTGCAGTTTTCCTCCTACACTAATTTCTCAATTAATTTTATATAAAAAATGAAAAAAAAAACTTAACAACTAACTTGTTAAGTTTGTTAAATGGATATGCCCAATTTTAAAGTTTAAGCTGTTAATCTAAAGTTTTAGTGCTTTCAATAATTAATTTAAACATACTATATTTACATATTTAATATTCTTACCCAATAGGATTAGAATGGAAGACAAACTGTCTTATGAAAATTTTATGGACTTCATTAAGCAGCCAACAGTGTTATTTGGTCATATGGCTCTCCTGGCTTTATACTGGTTGCAAATTTTTTCTTTCTTTCCCTTTCAGGTTTAGAACGTTTTTATAATTTATTTCGCTTTTACAATAGATATCATGTTATGTCAAATGTTTCATTTATTAAGGTATTATCTAATGTACTAGTAAGAATCTATCTGCTCTTGAGTCATTGGAAAAAGGTTGATGCAAACTTTATTATTTTGTCATATTGTTCCTTTTTTACTAATCAAAACAAGTTTTTCCTTTAAAGGTCGATACAAAGTGTTTTTGATTTAGAATCAATCTGAAGGAATATAAGTGAGCAAAGTTTTAAACAGCTGTGAAGAAATCAATCATAGTGTTTAACTATGTAATAACCATTAAACAGATCTTATCCTTCTATTGTCCATAATCTACAAGGAAAAGTATTTTCAAAAATCTAAGCCGATTTGCTTATGTCAACTAAACTGTGAAGGTGATTTTTAAGATGCTTAAATACTTACATAAAATAACCCGTGTAATTTACATTCTCACGGAAAGCTAATAAAAGATGCTTCTGATATTCAACGTTTCAGTTGTACAAGTTTATCAATCTTAAAATAAAAACGCATGCACAAATAATGAAAATGAGCATATGCGATTTGCCATTTTTATCATTTTCCATGTTGCAACACAGTAACTTATATCAAGTGGGAAGGATTATCTTTATAAGATTATCATGGTACAAACCAAACTATATTTATTTCGACAGCCGTATAGCTGAAATACAAATAAGTTTATTTCTAGTATGAAAGCAAAGAATTATATACTGTATATTAAGCATATTATATCTATTTTTCAGAAGGACAATTGAAACCTAAATCAGTTGATTTCTTACGTTGGAAGAACAGACAGGCACATAAAACTAGTGAATATGAGATACCCAACCTTATCATCAGACGCGGTCAAATGTTTGACATCAGCATTACATTCGAAAGAACATTCTCCTGTCAACAAGATGAACTAGTTCTTAAATTTGTAACAGGTACTTTAAAACCTTCAACCATTTTTATGAAATTTTACAAATCATTGTAGTACGTGATACGTGAGTGGCGATGCACGCCATTAAAATAGCAATTTTATTTTATTTCATTACAATTCTTTTTTACCAAGTTTTGACCAAGTCATTTAGCCAACTACTTTAGAATGATGTTGTGTAATAATTACGTTGTTTTTCATTCTTTTGCAATTTTGCAATTTCATTCCGACCTTTTTTTTATTATAACTCAATGTAAAACATATACATGTAAGTGGCGACAAGTGGATAACGCGAGTGGTTAACGCATCTAAGGATTCCTGACTGCGTTTGTTCAAACCCTGTCAGGGACAAGCCGTTGTTTTCTAGAGCAAGAAACTTCACATTGATTACTAAGTACTGGTTGGTTACAGGAACTGATTTGAAAGTGTTTCAATAAGCCTTTAGCTTCAAACTAAAATAAATTTTGTATAAACTAATGTGAAACTTAGTCTATAAAGTGTCAATGTTTGTTAAAGGACGACAACCCTTACAAAGTAAGGGAACAGTGGTTGCAGTACACAGGAAGAAAGTGCTGGATGATAAATCATGGGGTTACCAACTTGTAAGAGTAGAGGACAAACAAGTGCACCTTAAGGTAACAAAAACATTACTTGAAGTATTATGATATATATTCTGTGCTTAATGTGCTCTTTGAGCCATAAATCCCCACGTATATGACTTATATAATTAGGTTAAACTATATGTAATGTACAACAAGTCACATGAAACAAAACGATCACTTTTAGTCCAAATAACATAATTGAAACAAAATAATTTGAAGGCTGTTATATTACACGACCCACTTGAGGATGTTTAGAATGTTTGTTTATATGAGAAGGCAGCTAATTATGTACCCATTACACAAAGATTGAAGAATATACCTAAATTAAATGTTGGCTATAACCTGGAATAGTCAGTAAACAAGATTTTATTCCGTTTTCTATAGTTTATTATATAAAAGTTTGACTCATAAAATATACTGAGAGGTCATCTGGAGATTGCCTACATGTTAATTTTATTTCAATGATATACATTATTGAAGTTAAACAATTAAAATGGAATTATTTATAACTAATATAAATGTTTTATGATATGTTCACGCGTCATTGTTCTCGCTCTGTAATAAAAAGTACGAATTGTAATATTTGGTGTTTCATATCATTTAAAACTTTACTCTTACCTGTTTTTAGCTCACCTGTCACAAAGTGACAGGGTGAGCTTTTGTGATCGCTTTTCGTCCGGCGTCCGTCCGTCATCCGTCCGTCCGTCCGTCCGTAAACTTTTGCTTCAAATGACATCTCCTCATAAACCACTAAGCCAATTTCAATTTAGTTCCATGCAGAACTCTGGTTGCCATGGCAACCGAAAGAAAAAACTTTAAATATCTACTTTTAAAGAACCCAAAGAGCTAGAGCTTAGATATTTGGCATGAAACATTTTCTAATGAGTGTCTACCAAGTTTGTTCAAATAAAAGCCCTGGGTTTAAAATTGGCCCCGTCCCAGGGGGTCATTGATTTTCCCTATATGCATATAGTATAACTTAAAAAATCTTCTTTTAAAGAACCCAAAGAGCTAGAGCTAAGATATTTAGCATGAAACATCTTCTAGTGAGTGTCTACCAAGTTTGTTCAAATAAAAGCCCTGGGGTCAAAATTGGCCCTGCACCAGGGGGGTCATTGAATTTCCCTATATGCATATAGTAAAAACTTAAAAAATCTGCTTTTAAAGAACTTAAAGAGCTAGAGCTAAGATATTTAGCATGAAACATGTTCTAATGGGTGTCTACTAAGTTTGTTCAAATAAAAGCCCTGGGGTCAAAATTGGTCCTGCCCCGGGGGTCATTGATTTTCCTTATATGTGTTTAGCAAAAACTTAAAAAACCTCTTTGAAAAAATTCCAAATAGCTAGAGTTTAGATATTAAGCATGAAACATCTTCTAGTGAGTGTCTACAAAGTTTGTTCAAATTAAAAGCCCTGGGGTTAAAATTGGCCCCGTCCCGGGGGTCATTTTGATTTCCTTATAAGTGTATAGCAAAAAACTTAAAAAATCTTCTTTGAAATAACCCAAATAGCTAGAGTTAGATATTAAGCATGAAACATCTTCTAATAAGTGTCTACAAAGTTGTTCAAATAAAAGCCTTGGGTCAAAACGGGCCCCGCCCAGGGATGTCATTGTTTTTAACTATATGTGTATAGTAAAAACTTAAAAAATCTTCTTTTAAAAAACCCATTGAGCTAGAGCTTAGATGTTTAGCATGAAACATCTTCTTATGGGTTTCTACCAAGTTTGTTCAAATAAAAGCCCTTGGGTTAAAATTAATTCTGCCGGGGGGGGGGAGAGAAGGTCATTGTTTTTCCTTATATGTGTAAAGAAAAAACTTAACATCATGAAACGTCTTCTAATGGGTGTCTTAATTCCAAGTTTGTTCAAATAAAAGCCCTGGGGTTTAAACTGGCCCCGCTTCGGGGGCCTATATACAGGTGAGCGACCTCAGGGCCATCATGGCCCTCTTGTATTCAAAAACGTTACTTTCTAAACACCTGATATTTACCGTTTAAAAAACAAAAATTCTGTTAATTGTTCATTACAAGCAATATGTGTATAATTTTAATCTTCTATTGCAAAATACACGTGTTATATTTTACTAGCGTTTAATTAGCTACAAGCACGTGAAATCTTACTAACATATGACACTGTTTATACATGTAGATCGGCACCAATTTGTTTGATATCACCTACTTCTCTAACCAGACTTGACTCGTGACAAGCTTTTGCCTATATACTTGCTCGTTACTATCACTTACCTAATTAACCCAAACTGTTTAGCGTCAATCGTTAAGCTATTTTCTTATAGTACTCTCGTTTGTTTATCATTAATTAGCCTGGAAAATATCACAGAACTGTGTCATGCCTCTACCAAGCAATCTTTTTGATTGCTTTCCCATTTAAGTATTTTCCAATATCGGCAAGGTATTGAAATTACAGGTCAATAATAAGATCAACTATTAGGTGATGCATAAGAACAATCACTAAAAACATATATATCATTTAAATATCTAAGACTTCCCGTTCTGTTCTCAATATTTTATCAACACAAAAGATGTTTATCAATATCCAATGTATATTTTTAATCATTACATGTAGTACATGTTAATCAATCCAGTTTTGTATGACAAAAGAGCAACATAGTGCATCTCGAAAGAATTAAATATATATTTTTTTTTTAAAATTTGCAAATATTTCTCTCGCATGCTTATATGCAATTTCCAATACTTTTTGGACATTATGCCCTATGCTTGAAATAACACTTTTTTGTTGTTTTTTTTCCAAATATATATATTATTTAATCAAATCTCTTGTATTAGGTAAGCACCTCACCGGATGCTATTGTTGGTCGGTACAATCTATTTATAGAAACAACGCACAAAACTGACCAAGGAGATCAGGAAAAGTACAGATATGCCCAACCAGATGATATCTATATTCTGTTTAACCCATGGTGCCAAGGTAATTTGACACACAATATAATTTGACTTTCCAGAGCATGTTGCGTTCTTGAACAAAAATGTGATCAAACAAAAGAATTGTATCTGGTATTTTGTTTCGTCTGTCTAACGTCAGGTAACATTTACCAATTAATGTTTTCCGCAGGTTTCCTGCTAATTTCCTGAAAATGAATGATCGGATGTTTTTAACTTATCTAACAGTGTGAAATGAGAAAGAAATAATTCATTGCTATCAACTATAAAATTAATGTGCAAACATGCTTTATAAGTAATGCAGGAAGTTTGACTTGCCAATCTGATTAGCAGGGAAAGGGTTTGTTTTTGACCAGTTTTAACCAAATAAATTATCTGCTGGATATCATTTTTTGTTAGAAACCATTATTCTGTTCAAACATCCTACGATTGAATTTGAATTCTTTTAATATCACTAAAAACAGTTCAAAGTTTTTGAGTCAATGTAACAAGTGCATATGTGTATTTTTTTTGTTTTCAAATCATGGTGAGCGTAAATGATCAATACAATAGTAACATATAGGTCAGTTATTCTGTTTATTGTGTTAAATACTCTAAATGATATTGTTTATTTAAGTGTTCAATAGAACTTTATTTCGTTTCTTACTTTCGAATGACTAAACAAGAAATATAGCAAATAGATGTTATGTAGTATGCATGGTTATTGTAATTCTGTCATAAAATGTTCTTGTTTCAGACGATCAAGTATTTCTTGAAGAAGAATCTCAGCGACAAGAATATGTCCTCGGTGAAACAGGACGTATTTGGTTAGGCACTGTCGGAAAATTTTGTGTAAGGCCGTGGAATTTTAGCCAGGTAATCTAACGATGTGCTAAAAATGATGTTAGACTCTAATTGTTACATTACCATTAACATTATGCAAAATAATTGTTATATTTGTGCTTTTTACAGCCAATGATTAAATAGCAATCGTTACATCGTTACAATTAGTGGTTTACAACCATCTTCATTGGGGAAACACGAAAAATATATGGCTTCCCAAGCATATTATCTTCCTTTGTTGAAAATCACGATTTCATGTATCTATAAGAATTCATAATACATTGCTAGAATATTACTATTGATACAGATGGGAGAAACCATGACGTAATATTAAATACCATTGTGATTACTAATTGTTCGTATCGCTATACATGTATAACAAGAAATATTTACATAATGACTTAACCTTATTATATCAATCGATCGTCCGACACATTGAGAGTGGATGCTCTTCAATAATCAGTCATCATTACCAAACATTTACTGACACAGATAGGAAAGTACAAGTAGAGCAACGACAACAACAACACATTTATGTGTTTGGTTTGTTTGTTTTTTTTCGATTTTATGTCACACTGACATTGTAAAGTTCATAAAAAGACTTCCCAGCTTTACTGGTGCATCAAGATGTCAGGTTATCATCCATGCATTGTTCTAGGCACGATGCATGAGCGGGCACATGTGTTTTATCGCCAAACTTTCATAAGCCTTTTGAAAGCTTCATCACGCTAAGGAATCCAAGTCCCAGGCGGGTATCGAACCTACAAGTTAACAACTCAACAACAAATATAAAACAAAACAAACAGAACAAACGCAATAGTACTACACATAGTACTTTTACAAAAATCCCTAGAATTACTATATATTTTTGTCTTATGTAAATGGCCGATCAATGAATAAGTTTGCTTTTTCTTTCCTTGCAATTAGTATAATTTATTTTGCTAAAGAAATTAAGTAAGTTTTAAGTAAGGAATAAAAAAACGTACTTGTACAAAAATTGATGAGAGTTATATCAAAATGGCATCACTTAAAGATCATTGCTAACATTCCTTTTCAAATATTACATTACATGTAATAAAGATGTACAGTTAGAGGGAAGAAGGTCGTACAAAGTTAACTAGTTGCCAAAATTCTGTTTCAGTTTGACGATGTGAGTCTTGTAGCGGCTATTGCGATCATGGAGAAATCTGAACTTGGAGATCAGGCTAGAGGCAATTCTGTATTCGTTCTTCGGGCTCTTAGTAGAGTTGTATGTATTATTCTTAATTAATGTTGGTATCGTTTCCTTGCCTTTGTACCCTCTGTTTGACCAAAAAACTGCTAAATTTCTGAATTGGATGTGTCCAATCTTCATTTATGAACTGTCTTTTATCTATTTTGTGGATATCAAAATAATATTCAGCCAGAAATAGTCAGACTGCACGGATAATATTTGAGAATAATATTTGAATATTTACAGTTGTAGAAATGCTCTTTATTTAGATATATTCGAAGCTAGTATATGGGCAATAAGATCTTGCTAACTTACAACTTGTCCGAGCAAATCTATACATTCAGAAAATACAATACAGCATGTCTCGTATTTTCATATGGTAAATACTACTACAACTAAACACGAAATTTGAACACAACATAAAGAAATTAGATTATACTAAAGACAAAGGAAGTTAAAGAAGCTAATTAAAAAAAATGTGGGGGAAAAACTGATATTAAAGTAAAATATTCTCATTTGCTAGTCAAATTTAACCATAATGGACCCATACTGTTTCATTGCAGTTCAACACTAATGAGAGAGACGGTGGAGTTTTGGTAGGTAACTGGTCAGGCAAGTATGATGACGGTGTGGCACCACATGCATGGAATGGTAGTGCTGCTATTCTCGAAGAATTTCTAAAGAAACGGAAAGGTGTTAAATACGGACAATGTTGGACATTCGCTGCTGTAGCAACCACGGGTATGTATTGTTATGTATTTTATTATTCATATTTACGAAACCACAATTGTCAATTACAAGAGACGGGTTTTGGTTTACTTTCACATTTCCTTTTAAGCGTACAGTATAATATATTAAACTGGTCTAAAATAAACTAATACTCATACATATTATTCATCCCAAACATCAATTGCTTGACAGCCAGTCTATGCATTTTCAGATTCTTACCGAGATAATTAAAGGTGTCGGAAGAATATCGATGATAATCAGCATCAAGTTGACGCAAAAATGCCGAAAAAGATAATCACCTAATTCAAAATCCAGTATAATAAGATAAATAAGATAAATATTTATGCCCAGAGACTAAATATCTGTCCAAATTCATTTCACGCATAGTCTTTTTTTTGTTGTTTTTTTGATGGCTGATTCAAAAAATGTGCCGTTAACTTAATTGCACTTTGATTAAAACTTTAGGAACGGAATGAAAAGAAAATTGTACAGCATCTTGTCCTACTCTTCTTGCTTTTTGCTGATCACACGCTCTTAAAAATATAATTATGTTTGAAGAAACTAAAATTGTCTCCACTTAACTTATAAAATAGCCTTAATCTCTATTAATTTCCTGATTGCTAAAATCAAATAGGTCCAGGTACTGATTATATATTTTTTTAATTTATCTTATTTCTCTAACGCTTTAAACATTACTTGATGAAATAAATCAACAATAATTTTCAAAGTTCCAAAATTGAGGAATAAGAATAAGAGTAAGAGTCATTTTTCTAGATACCTGTTTTTTTATTATAAAAAACAACCTGTCTTAAAAAAACATTAACTTTATAATCAATGATAGTTTTTTTTTATAGTACATGTACTTGGATTAAACATTTTTGCGTACAGCTCATTCATCAAGAATTATCAAGTTTTTATGAGACAAAGTTTCCATGAAAACAATGCCATGGTATAGCCATGCTTTACATTTGAGTATTCAAGAGAGGGAAATAAGCAAAAATGTAGACCAATCATTATCAAATTATCAAAAATTAACTTTTCAAAATCACAAATTATAAGTTTTCAGCATAGTTCCAGATTAATAAGTCTATTGATTCAGGTTAATATTTCTATTACAATTAATTTTACGACGGAATAATCGACGTCGAAATTACGAAGAATAAAAGAAAGACTTCCGTAAAAAATGCGTAGTTTAGTTGCAAATTGCAGTTTGAGTTTATTCAAAGGGATCAAGAATTAGGACATTCTGAAGCGTTTAATAAAAAATATTTTTTTTTACATTTAATGACAATGAAGCATTTTATTATTGTTTAGAACAAAAATACATTGCTCAAATTTCAATAATTCATGTTCTTTAAAAAGGAATGTAAGTGTAATAACAATTAATGAACCATCATTAGCAACTAGTTTACAACATTTACTATAAATTTTGAAGATATCAAATATAGCAAAATAGTTTCTAAACTATCAGCTAGCGAAAAGCGAAATACAGACATAATGCCAGGAAAAGTGCAGATAAACAATAACAAAGCAATTATAAACTTCATTCCTCACAAAAACAGAAATAAACGACCTGCCCGACAAGCATTCAATCGTTTTATTTTTATTTCATTAACCATCTGTTCTTACTATACATTCGTGTACAATTATTTGATAACTATTCGATTATTATTTCATTTGATTATAGTATTCCGAGCTCTTGGCATACCAACAAGGTGTGTCACAGTGTTTAAAGCAGCACATGACAGCGACTACAGTTCTCCAATGGACTCTCATTGGTCTATGGACGGCAAACCAAAGACGTCTATGAGTGATACAATCTGGTAATTCCCTTGAAATATATTTCAGAAATAGAAAGATTAATGCATATCTTAATCTTCAATACTGCAATTGCCATGAAAAGCAGTCTGCTTTATTTTCGTGCCAATTACATTGTTGATTAAGTATAAATAGATAAAGGGACATAAAGCATATGGTTGGTATATATAAATGTTTCATATCATTACAATGTTGTTTAGGAGTAAATAAAGATTGAATTCTAAAAATAGAATTGTTATCATTTAACCATATGCTCGCTTACAATTGAAAACTTATATATATATACTATGTCAGAAAAATATGCAAAATGTTTTACGTCTCACCGTATGTTAGAAATGATTGGGATAAATTCAGTATAGATCTGCATTTTTCAATTCTAGATAATTATTTATCTTGTTTTGTCGTGGGATCGTTTACATCTGGTGGTTTGGAATTCTTGTTTGATCTAAATTGCATTGCCCTGTGCAAACATATGATCAACATCATTTTCAGTATTTAAATGCATTTCTGTTTATCCATTGTTTATTTTGTGAAAAGCCATTCGATTTTGTTAAATTTGGCATTTGCTTTGAATCATGAGCCAAATAGCATTGCATTTATTAATGTATATTTCAAATACCAACAAACTATAAATTGTTTCTCGTGCAATATTTTCCCGTTTGTGTACAATTTTCGTTTTCCCTAGGGATTTTCATGTATGGAATGAATCATGGTGCAAGCGACCAGATTTACCCCCAGGATATGATGGCTGGCAAGCATACGACCCCACTCCACAGGAATGTCTTGAAGGTGAATTATTTGTCCGTTCATATCATATCACGACGCCATGGTAGTTTAATATTATATTTATGTTCAAGTATTCAAATATGCATAAAAACTATTTTTTTTTATAGTTTTACCACAGTTTGAGGAGCAATTGGTAAAGCGTTCATATTTCAAAATAGAAATGTGCTCCGGGAATATTTATAAAGCAAAGAATATCAGAAAAACATTATAGATAACTTATTGAAACAGAATAATTAAATTAGTTTTTGTCACAGGAGTTTTTTTAATTTGTATGGCTATTTATATCATGATTATGAAGGTGCGATTTTTGAGACATACATATTATGTATTTTGTTAAACATAAATGATGTAATAAAGGTATTTATTTACTTGCAAACGTAACTCATTAACGTATAGAAATCAGGTATATACTAGTACATTGTAGAAATTCCAATTAAGCTAATGAAGTAGATATTGCTTGTTGGATAAATTCGGATTATTTTGGATGTTAATGTAGATATTGCTTGTTGGATAAATTCGGTTTATTTTGGATGTTAAAGTATAATTTTGAGAACATTCCTTTGTTTAGATTTTGGTCATATGTTTCCAATAGTTTTATATAAAAAAAATATTTTGCTTAAATCATTCTCATTGTTGCTATTGCTTTTTACCACATGTTTTCTTCTTCAATTTTCTGTATATTTTTGTACATTTTTATTGACTCGATTCTTGAAGGGCATCTTGATGGTACGTCAGTTTTTATTTCTTGCATGGTTTAATATTTTGAACTGCGGTGGTTGTTTCAAAGAAATATATACACACACGTTCGTTGTCCTAGTGTGTCTTGGAATATATATGTGTTAACATTTGTTCATAGCCTGCTCCTACATTTAAATCGGTTCGATTCTAATAATGTTTTCCTCTTCAATTACTTTGTATGTTTAAAACTGTAATATAATGAATGTATCTTTCTTTATTTTGTATAACACTATCGATAACTTCTTATAACAGGAGTGTTTACGTGCGGTCCGGCGCCAGTGAAGGCCGTTAGACACGGTGAAATTTTTTATGGTTATGACACAAAGTTTTTGTTTGCGGAGGTTAATGGCGACAGAGTTCACTGGACCGTTGACCAAGAGGGAAACATGACACCTGTTGCAATAGAGGAAACTATAATGGGCAAATTCATCAGTACTAAAGCTGTTGGTACAATTTCAAGGGAAGATCTCACAAATGCATATAAGTTCAACGAAGGTATTTATCATATATTAATAAAAAACGGATATTTTAAAGTATTTGTTTTAAAAAAAAAATGTTATACTTATAAATTTTATTATGTTAAACATTGATTTGTCAGTAAATTGTAGTTTATTTAACCTATTTAATCTATTACAAATCAATTCACCAAACAATATTTTATGATCAGAAGATTCATTTCAGTCCTAATCGCAAAATATTAGTATATGTACAATGTATATGTTTATGACATTATTATTTCTGCATGTGTATGACCATTTCCGTTTAGAGCTGTTGTTAATAATCTGCTACAGTAAATTCATTTAGAAATTTATCCTGACCAAAATAACACACATTTTGATGTACAACTGGTTTCCTCTAATATTTCTGAATTCATAAATAATTGTAGACAGTGATGAAAAGCGTGTCACAGCCGAGCTTGCAAGAAAATTGAGCTCTAGAAGAAAGACAAATATAGAAGAACCAAGCTCAGTTGATGTTGAATTTTACTTAACATGCGACATGAAGCGCTGTGGAGATTTTAGCACTGTCATGAAAATAAAGAACACAAGCACGGAATCTCGAACAGTTGATGTACATTTAACTGCATTGTCATGTAGATATACTGGAATTCAAACTACTGAATTGAAGGATGCATATTCAACAACAGTGTTAGAACCTGATGCAGGTATATTTGCATTTCACTCCTGTAAAATAGATGTATTTTGTTACAATATTTGTATCAACAAGTCTTCAAATTTTTATTTTGAAAAGAAATAAAAACTTCTGAAAGTTGTTCTAAATAATGCACATTGTGACAAATGTACAAATATTTTGACTCATACACTCACTATACAGTTATAATTATTGTTTAAAGATATGCTGAAACAGTCGTTACCCCGATATCAGCGGGATTTGAAAAAATTAATAAAATCATTTGTACATTTTCCCATAGTTTGCACACAAAAGAACACGCAAAGCATTGCATTGTAAAAACTTAGAATATCTCAAATGTGTAATATATTCTTCATAGAATTAACAATTTGTCTTACTCGGATGGACGTTGCGTTTGTGTACATAATTCATGAAATATTTCATAGGCCAGATATACTTTCAGTAAAAATGTCCTGACTATTCGAGAGCTATTGAACTCACCCATGCGTCGGCAACCCCATCGCCGTCACACTTTGTTTAAGTTTTGACGTGCAAAGTGGTATCTTTAAAACTACTGATTGGAATGGATTGTAATTCACAAACTAATTTGAGAGTATATTAGAAAGTCACTGTCATAGGCACATAACTCTATAATGGATTTAGACAGAAGTATTGCCTTCTTGAACTTTAACATTATCCAAGCTCTTGTTTTACTATCAAGCATTGAGAGTATTGAGCACCCTGTCCTAGTGACAGCACATGTAAGCAATTAAAGTACTGTTCTTATTTACTAGATATAGTTGTTTTGTTTCTTATTACAGAGACTGAAGTTACATTACAATTGAAGTGTGTGGATTATATAGGAAGTGTTGATTCAGATAGCCACCTTAACTTATATGCAATGACACATGTAAAAGAGACAGGGCAGCGATACATTTACGAAGAGCCGGTTTGGATAGAGAAACCCCATATAGAATTGAAGGTATCAAGTTTAGAATCATTTACATTATTAAATACCTGAATCACAAAAATGTATGATCAAAAATGTGGATACTATTTGTTATTTTTTGGAAACCAAATCACTGTTACATTATCTTGGCCGAACAATTGTTTGTTAAAAAGATGTTTTGGAGTCTTATAGCTGTCTTTTTAGCTGCAGGCATAAGTCTGTATAAATTGTCGATGAGAGTAGTTTTAAAAAAGAGCATAATAACATTATTTGAACGAAATCAAACTGATTTTGTATTTAAGGGCATGGTCGCTTATTCATTAACAAGAAAAAAACGATCCAGAGAATGTAGATGATTCTTAATCTATAACAAACGTTACAGCAATTATGACATAGCAAAACATTATAGGTAACACGTGAGATGAATTGAAATGAAACTGAAATAAAATAATACTGAAATTGGATAAACTAAAATGCGTATACCTTTTACCCGCTCCACCCCCTCCCGCATTATTGAAAATGAAACAACAAAAAACACGAAAACCAAAGAATGTGAAATGAACAGAACTAAATAAAACTGCATCAGAAGAAACGAAGCCTGTGTATAAAAACAGTAGTCAACATTCAAAGTTCCGTAGAATATTTTCCAATTCAATATGATCATGAAACTCATTTCTAATTGACTGTAAAATTTCTAATCATAACTTTTATTACAGCAAAGCAATTTCTATGGATTCTGTATTGATAAGGAACATTCGTAAGTTATTGTCAATAAAATCAGTTTGCGTCTTGAATCATTTGAGCCGCGCCACGACAAAACCAACATAATGGGTTTGCGACCAGCATGGATCCAGACCAGGATCAGGATCCATGCTGTTCGCTTACAGACCCTATAACAAGTAAAGAACTGATAGCGAACAGTATGGATCCTGATCAGACTGCGCGGATGCGCAGGCTGGTCTGGATCCATGCTGGTCGCAAACCCATTATGTTGGTTATGTCGTGACGAGGCTCATTTTTGTTTTTTCAATCAGAAGCAAGGATACGACTTCTTTATTTAAAAGTTTGATCAATTTCTAAAATTACTATGAGAATGATTGTAGCAAAACCAGAATAAATTAATTACTAGTCTTTTTGTTAATTTGGGCAAATGAACAATAAACACATATTTATGTGACCACACTAATGTATTGAACTTTGTGAATGATAATGCCATGAACTTTATAATGTCCAGTCTGTTATAATTGAGAGATGACACCCATAGTTTTCTGACACAACACCCAAAATGTATTGTGTAAATATAATTGTTCATCATGAAAAATATAAATATATCGAATAAATATGTTTAAACCAATGTATTTGGAAAATATCATAAATCATGTAAATGTCACTAATTGGTTCAATGACTGCATTCATATATTACAAAATATTTTTAACAAAAGTCCTGAAAAATGTGATCTGATCCCTCTGAAGCATTATTATCATAACAAAATTACTTGAAAACTGCAAGTCTTACAAGTCTAAAAAAAACTATATTGATCATAAATCATACAAAAATTAAGGGAGATGGGTGCTGATCTCGTTGTTTACCATAACATGTATGACATGACAATTTTACTTTTAGACGGAAGGCAGTGCTCATGTCGGCAAAGCATTTGACGTGATCATAAAGTTGGTAAATCCATTAAGTGTGCCGCTTACAGGGGCGCTGTTAAATGTTGAGGGACCGGGAATGCAAAGAACATCGGCAATCAAAATCAAGTAAGAATTATGAATAGTAAATAACCAAAGGTGATGCCTTACCATGCAACATATTACTTTTGAATTTTCTGGTATTGTAGAACAGAAAATGGGAAGGTTTGATGTATTCACAGAGATTTACGTGCAAGTGTAATTAATTTCAATCTTTTCATGCTTTATCTTTATTGAAATACCGGTATTAAAATTGCTTGTTTGTTTAAAACTGGGAAATTTCAAGATAATTATTCCTCTTTAGATAAATCACATTCAAACGTGATGTACGTAATGCACGGGAACGACACAGCTACATTTATTCATATGTTTACTTCCGACATGCCAGATCGCATACTGAAAACAAAATTCGCATTTTTATTATTTTCTTTTCTAGAAAATCCATTGCTCCGGGGGAAGAACTCCGTGAAGTTGTACAAATGAAGTCGAGACGGTTAGGAAGAAAGGAAATCATCGCAAACCTGCAATGTAAACAACTGAGTGACGTCACCGGTGTTATAGAAATAGATGTTATTGAAGAAAATCGCACGTAGATCTATACACAACCGGTGGTACAAAAAATAGTGTCAAATGATGATTACTTGAAACTTGATAGTATATTTTGTGGTGTAATTGTGCAAATTCTTGCTCAAAAAAACTTTTCAACGTATGTACTGTTGGGATTTTTAGCAAGTTTTGATAAAATGTTTTCAAATACATTACATAAACAAATGAAAGTTGAGTTCCGAAGAGAACCTAAAATTACCAATGTTTTGTCAGATTTTAATTTGCAATGATAGAATTGATGATTGGCAATGGTGCTGATGTATGTTGTGAAGATTAGGTAGGAATTCTAATAATTTGAACTAGTAATATTTTCATCAGTCTTGACCTGCGAATGTTTCTTCTTATGGGTGTTTAGATATACCTTTATAAATCATGCTTTTAGGTGCTTTACTCTGTACATGATGAGAAATGGAGCGATTGGTGAGAAGACTAAATGAATATGTATATAGTATAAAAAATGCAAGTTTTCTTCTTTAAAATCAAGAATTCCTGCTACATTCACTTACTTATTAAAGGAAAATAAAATGATTCAATGTAAAAAATACAATAATTACATGTTTCTTTTCCGTATTCTATGGATGAGAAAAATGTAAGGTTGTGTAGATATATATGGGCTTTTTTAATTAACTCATTAAAAAGATTACATTGACTGGTGTGCTATTATCTTTGCACTTACGAGTAGTTCTTAAAGCTTAGAGACTTTTAAAAGCTGCAGATAGATAGGTTTTCTTAAAGTGTATATTTTTATCGAACAAGGTTACAGGTACCTAGTATTCATTTTGTGCAATAGCTGAAATTTTAATTTGTAAATGGTTTGCCACTTCCCAAAGGCGATTTCATAAAATAAAATTTTGTTGTTACTTAGGAGACGACTAATAAATACTTGTTTTTATTTCTTTATATAAAATAGTTTATTAGAAGTATTTCAGTGTTGTTCTAACAATTATGTCTTATGTCCTTAAAATACTGATGTCTCTGTAAATGTACCGAATACAAAGGTGTGTTTTATATTTGTTATCGCCAAAGTGCAATATATACTAATACTCATTTAGAACCATATTTCATTGCATTTTTTTCTGTTTGAAGTATATTCTATAATAATAAATTATCAATATAAGAAAAACATGTTGTTCTAGTACCCAGTCACATTTATATTTAAAAAAGGACTTAAACAATCTTCAAAGCTATTGAATTTGATATAAGTTTATGTCTAGACAAAAGCATTGTATTCAAAATAGTCGATAGTTATTTTCTGTAAAACATCAAATTTATTCTTCCAATCATATCAAGCATTTCATTCTTTGCATATTCTACCAAGAGTAGTGTTTTGAACATTTTAAACCAAGGCAAAAGTCAATGATATCAGGCATCATTCAAGCTATTTGGAAAGAATTGTTGGATGATATTAAGACAAAGATAAAATGATGTCTGGCTAAGAGTTAAAGGCTAATATCTTTGGCTTGATTTGCATGCAAGATCTAGAGAGCATTTCGCGATGAGCCAACTTGAATAGCTTTATAAAATGCAATTTTTTAGAAAACAGTTGACCGACAATCAACTCGGATTTATGTTCCTTATTCTTATCCAAGTTATCGGTTCCATATATGATCTGGCCTTAAACGTTTTAAAAAAGATTGCTTGGTAATTATGGACTTTATTGATATTTATGGCATGTAATGATTCAACAGTGGCACATTAAATTAAGTAAAAAAACATAAATGACAATGGATAAGTGCATTTCTTGGTAAGGACTGTGCTAGTCCTTCATATCCCGAGGAAACGTTGGATGGAGGTATCTCAGATAAAGCACATTAATATCAAAATATCATGTTCAACAGTACTTTCTGTACATGATCATTGTCCGAAAAGGTACAAAGGCTTGTTATTAAGATGATTTATCGAGTAAATCACTGCTTTATTATTATGAATGCATAAAATTGTCCAGAAAAAGGCACAAACCCTTCAGCAGTTATGGAGATACAAGATTACAAGCAAAAACTTTACCAAGAATTTCTAAGCCGAAAAAGGGGCATAATTATGCTAAATAACACATCAGAGTTATGGGACTTTTGCCAATTATGTAAGATACTCACAGAGAAAAAAGTGTGTGAAGTTTCCATCAATTCCCTTTAGTAGTTATGGAGATACCAGTTTACACGCAAACCCTTAACCAAGGTTCTCCCTATTGATGTCCAGTCCTTCTGTCGTCTGTTTGCTGATTACCGTGTCATTGACAGGCAGGCTAATTCTGCTGATGTCACTACCAAGCTACAAAATATTATAGCAAATATGAGAGAAGTAATATATTTGATAAGAGTTATACCATGCATCAAATGATTTTACATGCATCGCTCAAAACACCTTGCAAAGCCATTATTACTTTATAGACAAGACTGATTTTGAGAATTTGGCTCCCTATAAGATGCTAGAGGCATTTTGTAGTACAAGTGGTATCTCGGTGTATTTTACCTATTATAGGTATGCTGAATCCGATAAAGGTGGATACCAAATTGAAAAACTTGATCTTGACCATTGAAATGGCCATTTAAAATGACCACTAAAATGGCCGCCAAATTTCTTTATCATAAATGGATGATATATCAAATAAAACTTTTAAGGAAAGGAAAAGCCTGAAATTTGTCACAAAGCATGTTTAGCTAAAAACAAATTAGACACCAAAACAGAATTAAAAAAACACAAAACAATCCAATATGGCCGAAAAATCCAAGATGGCAGACATTTTTCTATAGGCCAATATAATAGTAATATAGAAGTAATATTAAAGATAGTACTGAAAACTTTAAGGCATTTACGCAGCGAACACTACACTCTTTCCTGCCCTATCTGCTAGATATAGAGCTTTCATGTATTTTATCTGGCACTCTATGCAAGCATATAGAGTGGCTACTCAGATTCCTACTTATATTTGCACAGCGTGCGTATGTGTGAGGGGGTTAAAACGTGTGCATGCAAAATATACATTAATTAAAGGCACCTTTCTCTGAGTACTCTTGGGTTTTGGTGTTCGTTTTTCTGTTATCGGTCGTCGTCTTCGTTCTTCTGTTATCGGTTCTCGTCGCATTTCTCTGCTGTCTTCTTCTCTTATTGGTCGTGACTTTTGTTTTTCAGTTTTTGGTCCTCGACGCAGTTCTCTTGTTGTCAGTTCTTCTGTATTCGGTCCTGGTCTCAGGTCTTTTGTTGTTACATGTTCTGTTATCGGTCCTCTTCTATTTTTCTGTTATCAATCCTCGTCTCCGCTGTCCTCGTTTTTCTCCTTTCTTCTGTCATCGGTTCTCGTCTCTTTTCTTATGTAATCAGTCCTGGTCACCGTTTTCTAGTTGTCAATTCTGTCATAGGTCTGTCTCTGTTATCGTCTATGTTATTCTGTTATCGGTCTTCGTCTATTTTTCTGTTATCAATCCTCGTCTCCGTTGTCTTGTTGTCAGTTCATATGTCATCGGTCCTTGTCCTGTTAATGGTTCTTGTCTTCGTTTTCCTCCTTTCTTCTTTCATCGGTTCCCGTATCTTCTATAATCAGTTCTGGTGCCCGTTTTCTTGTTATCAACTCTTGTGTCATGGGTTCCCGTCTATGTTATCGATTCCCGTTTTAATCCTTCTGTATTCAGTTATCGTCTATGTTATTATGTTATCGGTGTCCGTCTCTCTTTGTTGTTGTTTTGTTGTCAGCTATTCTGTTTTCGGTCCCTGTCCTGTTCTGTTATCGGTTCTTGTCTTCGTTTTTCTCCTTTCTTCTATGATATGTTCTCGTCTCTTTTCTTCTGCAATCAGTCGTGGCCTCCGTTTTCTTGTTGTCAGTTCTTCTGTTATCGGTCCCTGTCTCTGTTTTTCTGTTATCGGTTGACGTCTCTGTTCGCTTGTTGTCAGTTCTTCTGTTATCGGTCCCTGTCTCTGTTCTTCTGTTAGCGGTCTTCGTCTCTGTTCGCTTGTTGTCAATTCTTGTCTCCGTTCTTCCTTCTGTTATCGGTCGTCGTCTTCGGTCTTGTACTTTCGGTACTTGTTTCCTGTTCCGTTAAGGTCTTCTCTTGTTTCTATCGTTGCCGTCATCCTGTGTCTATGTCCTGGTTTTGTCAGTCTTGTAGTCATTTATTCGTTCAGTGGAGTAGCGGGGGATCGAACTCACGACCCCTTGATTTGTAGGCAGACAGTGTTACCACTGCACCATAGCGCCCGCTCTGAATAATAACCATTTTTGAAAATCCTTTATACATTAAATACTATTTCAATGGCTAACAAAGGGTGTATTACAATTACAAAAATGTATATTTTAACACCTCTATTATGTAGCCAACCCACGTGACTTTTATATATGGTCAAAGAAAATATTACTCCATTTTTAACACGTAGTATTTTTATAGATAATTTTGCTGTTACTTTAAGATATCCTGGAAATTTATTGGAGGGTACCCGGAATTCTAATGTATAATCTTCTTGTAGAATTTTCTCAAAACCGTGACTGAATTCCAAAATTTTCGAGAGCTGCCATGGCATAGCAAGCACACGTAGCAATATCCCGGTTTCAGACATTTTATGACTCGATGAAAATATGGTGTTGTTATTGTTGTTGTTGTTTCTAACTTTAACTTTAAATTTCAAATTAAATAGTCACTTATTTGTAAACAAAATGGTAAACATTTGTTGTTTTCTGTATTTTTGTTAAGAATGTGATAAAGTTTAAGATGACTTTTTAATATTAACGATTATCCATCGTATACCTGAATGCAGATATAATTGAATCTAAAAAATGAATTATGCAGATATTATTTTTGGCAGAAAACAACAAATACAAACAAAACAACACACAAAAAACCTACATGCAGCATACATGTGTAATGTTCACAATGTGCTGAAAAACGGCTCTTTATTAATTTCAATATTTCAGCAAGTGACACATTTTATAAAAGAATGGGACAGAAATGTTATTTAAAAAGTAGGTTGAATATTTTTTAAACCTCGTTTGCTCAACACTCAATTATCACATTTTTATATATAAACCTGAGGTACAGAAAATTGACAGAAAACAACTTTCATAGATTGAGATAGAGCCAAGATGTCGTAGATATTTGGGTTACAAAAGGAGTTTTTGATCCTGATAATGTTTTAAGTAGGAAAAACATATTACAAGCTTAAATTCTTAAAATTTTGTACTGCCTTAATTTTTTTTAAATTATTGCAATTATGTAATTATTATGTCTTTAGTTAGTTTCTGGAGAAAAGGCTTAACAAAGGTGGTATCTTTTATTTTATAGATAAATTTTATAATGTGTCACATGTCGCCTTGAAAAAAGATTTTGTAATGGTTTTGCGCATACTTAATCCCGCTTTTGCATGTTGGAACAACAATAGTTCATTTGTTTGTATTCACAGCCTCCTTGCTTATTTTGTTTAGTCTTATTTCATTGACCTGTCAATTATAAATACATTACATCACTAATTGAAATATAAGATTACACTTCGAATATGGAGTATATAGAGGACATTTGTTTGTTTGTGTGTAAGATGAAATTTTATTTCATCGAGTGGGCTTTAAAAACAGTATTCCCACGAGTGGCGTGGCCACGAGTGAGAATACTGTTTTTAAAGTTCACGAAAAAGTTTATTTTTTAAAACACTTTTTGTGTCGGTTTGTGTTGTGTTTATGGCATTGAAATGACATTTTTTGACATTTCAAAATAATTTTTAAATATTCATTTTAAACCATAAATACCATAATAAGTGCAAAATATATGAAAACAAAATGAACAACTTAAAAAAAACATAGCTACAAATAATGTTGAAAATTACGGAACACCTGAAGTGACATTTTCCACATTTTCTTCCTGAATTGAATTCGTTTTTACGAGATAATAATTCCCAATTAGAAATATTATTTCGTTTTAACGAAAAATAAAATCTTAATTACGAAATATTGATTCGTTATTACGAAATATTATTCCGTAATTACGTATATTAATTCGTTATTACGAAATATTATTTCGTAATTACGAAATATTAATTTGTTATTACGAAATATTTATTCTTTGGTAATATTTATAAACTAAGTTTATTGTTAAATATAAGTCAAGTAAACAAAACATTAAAAGTGATTTTTTTTCAATCTTAGTCTTATACTATAACGCGCTAGTAAAACAGTACTGTATATACTGTTAATTGAGCCATTAGACTTATAATCGCTATATTTGGTGGCCAATCTCATTAAAATCCAATCATATTGAATAATCATTTGATTTTTACAAGAATAATTAATTGCATCATATTGTATCATAGTTTAAATGACCTATTATAGTATTTTTAAGCAGCCATTTTGAATTGACCTTTTGAAGGTCAAGGTCAAGTTTATTTTCTTGGTATCCACCCTCATCGTCTTCAGCATACCAGTATTAGGTTAAAGCACTCGAGATATTACTTGTACTATAAAATGCTTCCAGCATTCATATTTTCTTAAAATCAGTCTTGTCTATTACACGCTAACCTCGTGACTATCAACCAAACTATTTTTGGAGGTGTGAAATAAGTCGAGTGGTCAACACATAAAAACAAAGCAACGATGATAGGTCGGGTTTCTGAGATGCATGAATCAGTAGCTTCGAGTTTATACAAAACAGCCAAGGCTATCATCTTGTTACTTCGTAACTTAGTAATACATAAATAAAAATCTTTTAAGTTCTTATTCTTTGCATATACTATCTTCTGAAGAAAATGTTAGTAGTAGCTGCCACGGTATCGGAGTTAGCGTAAGACTTTTGCGCTATTAGATACATTTTAACTGCATGTTTTTATTACCGATTTGAAAGTATTATATGCGGATGTTTCAAAGTTCAAATTTTACCACTTCATGTGAAATGTTGACTGTGCTAGGGAACGTGAAAGGCAGTATACGATCAGCGATACCTCCGTGAACAGGCTTAATCAAACCGAGCCTGCAACATTTTCAATTTTGCCGTGTTGGGCTTTCTTTAGGGATTCTGTTTTTATCAATTTTATATGTAATTGCCTGTATGAAAGCCAGGAAAAGATCTACATGATATGACAGTCACATGTAGGACTTTGGTTTAGCTTTATGATTGTTGTAGGACTGGAAGGATTGAAAAAATATTGCAAGTTTTGCTTAATTGCATTTATTATTTTCGTCTTGAATCAGTACTCGAAGTTGACCACGGAAAATCTTCTTTAAATTCCATTTTGTACTATTCATATTTGAATAGATAAAATGTTTTAATGAGTTTCAATTTAAGTAGATACCTTTATAATTTCAAAGTTATGCAATATCAATATTGCTGATTGAAGTTATACATTTACATAATTCATTTAAAGCTCAAAATAGAATAGGTTTGCAAAGAATATTGGGAAATGAAATAAATGTGTTGCTAATTATTGTTCGAAAGTTTGATACAACAGGTAAGTGGAATTATTTCTCTGAATGGAAATCGAGCTGGCATTTAAATTACACCAAGATACAAATTAATATGTAATATTTAAAATTTGTTTCTTCCAACCTAAATAGCTGCATAGAACTTTTCAGAAAAGCCAGAGTTTCTTCTATTGCTTAATTTGAACCTTATCAGTATCATCCACACTAGAATTTCAATCTATAGAAAGTAGTGTACATCGTATATTACAAAATAGTGATAATGAGGCTTTTCATTAGATGCGAATCAGTACATGCTTACACTAAATAGACACAATGTATAGTATAAAGTCGACAATGATAAAACAGATGCACAAAAGATCTAGTTATAATAGCTATTGCACTATAAGAAAGCAAGCAACAATAATTACCGAAATTTATAAAATCTAAACATCTTTGATTAAATGGTAACTATAAAATTTAAAGAAAATACTGCAGTACATACAACAAGCGGACGTTACATTAAATTTAAAATAGTACAGTTGGTGTTTGTTTTTCGGCATTTTAGTTCCATTAAAGTTTGGCGTGACACAGTCGCGCTACAAATATAATGGAATTGGTGCTGACATAACAAAATAACATAATTAGTGGTTGAATGTTTACTCAGCGCGCGTATTACTGAAAAATGGAACGATTTCATTGAACAAAATAATTGTTCAACCATTAAGTATAGGTGAGTGTTTGTTAGCGCAGCCGGGTGACAGAATGATTTAACGGAATTATGAAATTATAAGTTGTTGCAGGTTAAATAAACTAAATGTACTACTATAAAGCGTAATATTGTTCATCAATAAGGAATACATATAAACATATTCACAACTATAAACTAATCTTAGAAAATATACAGTATACATAAATTACGTCATATCTAAATAAGATGTCAAAGATATAGTTAAATATAACATTTATACAAAGGTGGGTAAGTATGAAATGCAAGATGGGATATCAATTAAACAAAAGCGAAAATATTTATTCCTACAGAATACAATTAAAGTTTCAGCCGTATTTTTTGAGCGCAGTTATACTCTTAACTTTCAAGTGGTTATTCAGAAGCGTATGAGTTTACTCTTTCGATATCCCTGTGGTAAAGGTTATCTGGGTAAATGAAAGTCTGGCATCTTTGTCAATGATAGGCTTGACTTTATGAATGTTTTTGCATTAGGTAACTATGAAGCGTTTTTCTACCAGACTTACAGACATCTTTAATTGACTCGTGCCCCTTTTTGAATGAATGCATTCACCTGGAAACAGTTGCATAAGATACAATGTACTTCATTATTGCCATAAATATTACATATATCATTACTATATAAACATTGATAGCAGACTGTCTAAGTTTTGCTCGAGCATTTATGTAAACCCGTATTTCAGCACTTTTAACTGAGCGTTTACCAGCCAAGTTATAATATATACTCGTGTAAAGGTATTTTAATGTGAATAAAATTCTTAATGAAGATGCTCTAAATCATAGCAAAGTTTAAACAAACACAATCTTGATCACGAGCTAAGTTAGAAATGTACTTCATAGTACATTATATATTGACAACCCTCGTAATTAAACTTAATATTAGGCAATGCAACTTATGAAAGATTGTGGCATTACAAAAAATCCGTGCAGGAGCAAAGATGCAAATATCAAGAAAAGCAACAAACTAAATAAATGCCAAGTAGAAGAATACATTATATTAAATTACAATGCAATGAAATGGTAGACACAATTTAATTCACTTCATAATTCAAAAGAAAATGTCACACACAAAGCATGCTTGCAATCAATTCATACAAAAAGAATCGGCTGAATACTATGAGCCAGGTAAGGGCGTGTATGTAAAAATAGATATAAAATAAAATGAGCTCATTACATAATAACAGCTTTTAAACAAATTAATAAACTGCAGTTTGTGCATAATTTACATATTCTTTCCTTTTTCAAATGAAACTAAAGTTAACTTTTTAAAATGAGCAAAATTTGAAAGTTACTTGTACTTAAATCTAGTACTTTCTTTGAATCTTTCACTGAATTTTCAATAGGTCCATCAACTGAAATATACTGTAGAGTTCCATATTATCATTTATATTCGTGTCCCTTTTCGCTATTTAAAATTAAAAGCGCTTTTCGCTAATATTGTAACCGGAATGGTACGGCACAGAGACCGTCTGAAACTTTATTTGACGCATGCGCAATCAATAAAAACAAATGCAGCAGCTGTAACTGTCTGCATTCGACAGAAAGTCAGTGTTAAACGTGTATTCTAAATGAAACATGTGGCGACATTTATAATTAAATAGTGACAAACATACATACAATCGATAGAAATATTTTAACTTTATTTTAGATGAGAAAATAATTTATTTAGGAATCATATGAGCAGATAATGAAAATGGAATTGTTAAAAATTCTGCTATTTTTTATGACATTTTGCCATGCCTATGCCGCATCTAATATTGACATGGATAAAGGTATAGTTTTGTATTTATAGTGATTAGATTATACGTTATTTTTTGTATATAATACATTTATTGTATTTGTATTCTTAACAAACAAATTGTACATAATTTACACTGGAACAGTGTAAGAATTCTGGAAAGGTTACAAACAAATGAGTGCTTTGGTAAAATTTATGTATAAACTGGGACACAAAATGTGCCCCAGGGATAATACATACATGGTAAACAACAGAACATCATCTTTCAATGCTAAAACTTTCTATCTCATAATCTGGGAAACGCTGCCGCAACAACTACAGTTCAAACATCAATTCATCAACTTAATGTTTTTATTTTCTATATTTGATTAAAAGCTTACATAAGCTGTATCACAAGACAACATGATGACAATTAAATCCGGTGACATGCTCAAGCTCGAGACGGAAGTAATGATAAAGCACTTTATGGAACACTGCTGAAAGAAGTAGCTCTGTTTTTTACCAGGCTTGTTATAATTCATTAATTGTACTGCGCGACAAGATATTGTGCTATTTTCATGTCTGGGCAATGTTATAATTGTACTGCGCGACAAGATATTGTGCTATTTTCATGTCTGGGCAATATCTTGCCTCTAGATTCTGCCCCAGAATGATAATATCTCAGAATCAATCTTTGGCACGTCAATATATTTTAACTACGAAATATACCTATAGATATTCTCTGTAATATATGTTAAAAAGGAGAAATAAATATAAATTCATTTCATAATTAACAAGGAAAGTACAGTGAATGTTTATAAATCAATATTCTATTTCTATCTATCACCTAATTTTCAGCTGTAAATAAAACTTTTGAAAGGCTCTCTCTATATTTTTGGGTCTGTAATCAATACTGTGGTGTTGTACATCATTAATTGTTGTAAGCTTAATGTTTTGTTTACTTTGAATTCATGGATCATGATGCAGTTTAATGTATAGTGTATCAGGGTTTCTACTAGGAATTTTTATTTAAGAGTCCCAGGGACTCATGCTTCTAAAATATGAGGGTCCCAGAGAAAAATATGAGCGTCCTAATCATTTATTACTTTAAAGTAAGGATTACATTTTTTGGTTGAGACGCAATGGTTGCATTTCATACCCGTAATCTTCTCGTTTTGGACGAGCCACGGGTAAGTACTTGGCCACTTTTCATTAAAACTATGTGATTTCTTAGGGGGAGCAGCCAACATGTTTTACGATTTATTTGCATAGCAACGCATAGACTTGGACGCTTTTTTAAGGTCAACTAAATTCTAGTGTGCGCCGTTTTATTCCGTATTAAACTATAATTAATTGAAAGAAAGATAACTCTGCTGTATTCAATATTAGAACCCGTCTACCAAATTACGTCATTTCCTTTAAAGAAGTGGAAGGAATTTCCAAATGACATTTACGGAGGAAAATTTAATTTGCATCCCCGTGGACGCAGACTTAGAGTTATTGAGGGTCCTAGGATCAAGGACGCAGGAAATGTGCGTGGTGTATACAGATAAATGAAAACGGAAGGCATAGAAATGTTCAATAATTAAGGGAGACAGGAGAAGATGTTTTAATCTTAATACTCGACTTCACTTTTCATAACTTAGTTCTAATACGATCATATTAATTTGTTACATATATCCCAATGTCAGTTTCTTTATGTATCTAATGACAGATCTAAAGGCTTTTATAGAAATATTGACCTTGTAAGACTAAGAGCCTGTCCTCTATTTATAACTATTATTTTACCAGTTGAACTCTTAGAAGTAAGTTTTTGCCAAGTTAGCTTGGCTTCGTGATTCACTATATCTTTCGAGAGATTCATAATGGTTACATTATGTATGTTGAACCTTAAATTTCATGCTTTTGATTTAATCTAGCAGATATGGAAACCATTTTCAGAACTCAATATAGTAATACGTAGGTTATATTGTACAGTACAATGTATGATATTATATTCCTACATGTACATACTAAATGAGGTTTCAGCCTATTTCATACACATGATATTTTTACACATTTAATTAAATACTACTATATATTTGTACTACAAAATAAATAATGAAATTATCAAATATGATAATGTCAAGTAAGAAGCTATTGAATTATAACTTTGGATCTTTTCTCATAATATTTTAATTTATAATTCTCTCTAGATATACTGTATGGTATAATTAAGAATAAAATCTTTAGCCATTTTACCAATTCATTTGGTCTTTCAAATTCTTTTTCAAAACTTTTAATTTTTTCCTTTATTGAATAAATGCTGTATTAAATTAACTGATATATTGTACAAAGCAGTCTCTTTTAGAGTTCAGTTACACAAAAACATATTGTCACAACTTACTATAAGAAAATCATTGTTTCAAGGTGTGCAATATGAGTTTTCAGAAGTAACACAAGTGTTTATAATGTTCTAGGTTGAAAAGTACAGTCATGTTTTTGTACATTTATGTAGGTCTGAGATATAAAACAAGTGTGAAAAGCTTTTTTCACTGGAAGGAAAGTGGGGGGGGGGGGCTTCCCTTAAATTTAGGGAAATATAAAAACAGCTTTTTTCGCAAAACGGAAAGAAAAAACCTATAAAAAGCTGCATGACTTTTAAGAATTTTCTGAGGGGGAATCAGAAGGGAAAAAAGCTGTGATTACCTGAACTTATAAATGTAGGTAATATAAGATATTCATAAACATGTACATACTACATAGTGCTCTATAAGCTAGTGACATTCAAATCATGAAATGTATTCTTTGAAAGATCATAGTGGCTAGATTATTTATGAATCTTTAATTTGGTTCCCTGAAACTGAAACTTGAAGTTGTTATTTGAATATATTTCTTTTGAGAAAAAACTTTTATTATATTTTTCTCAAAGTATTGTTAACTTAAAAAGTACTAAAAAAAAATGGTACCAATAACGATGAAAAGTAATTGTTGTCTGAATTAAGCTTGTTGGAATCCTATGTATTCATAATCTGCAACCTTTGAGGGGAGACTTATACTCGTAATAAGTTATTATAATGGTTCACGACAAACTATAAAATTATAACCAAAATATTTATGCGATTCGAATTGTTTTGCTTAAACAGAAAACATAACAGAGAATGCTTTTCAAGGCCTTTTGAATGGTAAGTGAAGTTTAGACTGCAATGTACAATGTATGTCTGATTTTTTAAGGGTTATGGATCGTATTGTAACAGTCTTGTGTTACTATGGATTTATATCATTCTTGGAAGCTATAAAAGCCTAGGATTTTATTCTTTTATTTAACAATTTTATTAGAATAGAAACATATTATTTTCATCTACACATGAATACTCTGTTGAAATTTTATTTTTTTGTTGGTACTTATATTTTGATATTATATTTTTGGTTGATTGAATTTATTATTATGCATGCTTGATTGATATATAATGTATTTACTTTTTGTGTCAATTTATGTGTGATAGATTCATTATGACCTTTTGCATTTACATACTGTAACCTTTAACCCAGTAAATTAATTTATTCTGGTTTGCCTTTTGATTGAAGAAATGTCCATTGTCAGTTTATACTATTTCATTAATTTAGTAATTGCATGTATGAAAATTGAATATTCATCCTGCTTAATAGCTCAATTGGATATTTAGCATTATATAGATTTGAAAACGTTGAGTCTACATGGTTCAATCCTCTGGAAATATGTAATTTCTTTGTGACAATTGGCCACTGACATTGTCGTGGTCATTTTATCTCTCACTGATGATTCAGAAATCATGTGAGGTAAGCAGTTGGTCACTATAGAGAAGTTGGAAATTTACTGGTGTATAAGTTATCCAGGGTTAAAAACTAGAAAGTCACTGCTGAGAAATGGCAAAAATTATGTATATTGGAAATGAGCATAAAAGCACTAAAACAAACTGATCAATAAATCAAACTGATAAAAAAAATCAATAAATTTGCAGTCCAGCCAAAAATATAATTGTTTTATAATCTGATATGAAAGATTTGTATCATGATTTTAAGTCTAGATGTGATTTGAAAGTTGTTTCAGGTAAAAAATAAGACATTAAATGAACTTTATTCAAATGGTTAAAAGGTTTGTCATGTAAATCTTTATAAAAAGTGATTTGATATATTTTAGTTAAATTCTTAATATGATTATTATATACATTTCAGTTCTGAGGGGCATTTTTTCTGGTTCAGTGTTTATTGTTTACTTTACCTTCTGTTTTATATTGTCTTATTGTATTGAATTTAACATGTCTTTTTTTGTTTATTCATTTATATATTAATTTAAACCAGTAACTGTCGAGAAATAAAAACTCTTCATGACCTAGATTATTATTAAACTTTCACAGATGTTGAGATTTATGCCACATATTTCTGTCAAAGTAAGTGATGATTTAAAGCACTGATTTGTACTCATAATTCACTTTAAAAGCTTAAACACATATACTGTGGAAAAAAAAACACAAAACAACTAGTTACTGTATGTGAAGTTTCTTGGTGACCATTTCATTTGTAGCGAAGTAGCGAATTTCGTAAAAAACATTGTTTTTTATTTTTCTTTTGTTTCTTTCTACCCATTTTGTAAATTGTATCACATTACTTTTCATGTTCATGTTTAAAGTTGAGAATTTTGACAATGGATGTTACAACCACATTTAGGGAGCATATGTCAGCTTTACTAAATGTCCTTGTTATTGATGTTATTAACATTTATACATGTACACCAGGCATATGTACATGACATTTATTGATATAACTAACAATCTGTCAGCCTGTACGAAATTTTGGCACGGATTCTGGGCGGAATTGGCACGGAATTGGCACGGAATCAGTGATTTCTGGGCGGACCAGGGACGGAAACGCAAAATCCGTGCCATTCTGTCTCACAAGAAAAATATTTTGTTCACTTTTCTGGGCGGAAAACTAGAAAAATTCCGGCTGGAATTTTATTTTGAGCAGAATTTATACTTAAACATTTCATCTTGGACAGAATTTTCAACTTTGAAATTTTTTTGGGTAGGAATAGTCTTCACTACGGGCGGAATTCTATACTTAAACATTTTTCTTGAACAGAATTTCACATATAAGATGTCCAAATCATAATTGTACTCCTGTTTTTGCACTTGCAGACATTGAAATTTTACCTACTGTACTTATTTTTTTTTGCTGAACCAATAATTACAGGTGTATTTTTAGAATTAATATATTATTTATTTTAGACATTAAAATAGGCCTTCTTTTTAGATAAAAAATGTGGCATTAATAATATATTGTCAGACTAATTTATATTTTTTGTACTGAAAAACAACTGTAATTATCTTAGTGTAGAATTTGAAAACATTCACCTCCAAAATGCTTAAGTTTATAATATAAAGATTTTTCATACAGCTTGTATTATGATACATTTACTGTATTATGAATTTTAAATATGATTTAAGGACATCATCTGAAAGCAACATTAAAATAAGAATGCTTTTTAAATTTGAATATACTATAGAATATAGGGCAGTCACATAGGGACAAGATTATGTGTGCTTGCCATTTTAAATTCTAAGAATTCATGATTTTGTTATAAAAAATATAAACAAAACAAAACAGTGCATGAAATAATCTCATATATAATGCCCTTTTAATCTATATAAAATTGATCAACCAATATGCCCAATAATTGCTTTTATTTACTGTAGGCAAATAAATACTACAATGTATATTCTCACTGAGATAATATTCACCCAGATTTTACACTACACAGATCAGAGCTCTGATAAAACTCTACTGACCAGCAGTTTCCCATCATCTACGCATGACTGGTCATTCCAACAGATCAGGCTGTTCCATGTAATTATTTTGGGGAGAGATAACATTATAAATTGCATATGTAGAATTTGTCTAGGACATATTGCAATTTTTTTGTACAAAAATTTGTAATTGTTTTTTAAAATTTATATATATCTATTTGTTATTTGATATTTCTTTTACATTCAATGAATGAAAGTTAAGATGATGAGTAAATTAACCCAGTTTTACATAATGATGGGCCGGTCCATTATACAGTAAACTGTTGTGAATTTTGAATTCTAAGATATCTGGGTCAGCAAAAAGAGTGGAGGATGTACTTGATATTTTAACAATTTTGGAGTAAAGTTTTGTTTAAGATCTCAAAGTGTTAAAGTAATTGGTATGATAACATGGGACAAGGAGATGTATAACATAATCAGGTAATTATTAACTTTTAGTTACATTAATTTTATATGACGACAGTATCAATACTAAGTAGCCAACTAAAATTTGTAACAAGAGGTCATTGTTGTTTTAGTATTTTCAACTTCATACATTTGTTTTTTTTCTGATAATTGTTTTAAATCTTTAATACATTGTATAATTTGCAAGTTAAAATTATTCAATGATTTTTTTGTTAATATATAATGGTTGTGTAAATCTATATTGTATAAATAGCATGTAAGTATATCTTTTGCATTTCCTGGAAATTAAACAAATTAAATGAATTTGATTAAATAGGACTAAATGGTACAATCAGTAGTTTTGTACAGTTGAACAGGGTCATCATAATCATTTATTATTTTACATGTTTGTGTTGTCTTTCCTATGGAACAATCTAAAATTACATTTTACACTCATAATTTGCAGGCTGCTCAGGGACTTAAGTGCTGACTGTGAGATGCCAGGTGTTTAATAATGATGTGCAGTATTAATCCTGAAAAGGTATATTTTTAAATCTCTATACTTAACTATTCAACATCTTTCCTTGAAAAATACATAACCAGTATTAAATAGTGTCACACATAAAGCAATCAGTTAATTCTTATACAGAGCAATTCTTAAACACTTGTACACTTGAATAGCTGATTCTGTGTTGCTTTACTATTTTTGAATATGCTTTATAAGCATAGTAAATATTTAATACTGTTGAAACATAAAATTTGATATTATTAAAAAATATAAAATATAACTGCATATAATTATGCAATAAAACATAATTGAGCCATGTCATGACAAAACCAACATAATGGGTTTGCGACCAGCATGGATCCAGACCAGCCTGCGCCTCAGCGCAGTCTGATCAGGATCTATGCTGTTCGCTATCAGTTTCTCTACTTGTAATAGGGATTGTAAGCGAACAGCATGGATCCTGATGAGACCGCGCGGATGCGCAGGCTGGTCTGGATCCATGCTGGTCGCAAACCCATTATGTTGGTTTTGTCATGACATGGCTCAATTCATTACAAAATATTTGTTTAATTAATTATGAATTTTATTATTAAAGGTGAGCACAACCACAAGAAGTTCTAGGAAACACAGGCAGTGGACTTAAAACAGACATGGATTAAAGAAATAGTAATTTAAATAATAAGAAACATTTGAAACAAATTTATGATTGAAACACTTCCAGCAAAATAATTGCAAAAAAAAAACAACAAAGTGTTGGCTTCTAAGATTCCAAAACCTGCAACTAGAAAAAAAACTGTTTGTGTTATAGTGAATGTAGGGTATTCTATTCTGTATTTGGACTAAAGGATATGATATTTTTTTTATTAAATTTTGTGAAAGAAAATTTAATGTGATACATTATTGATAATTTTATGCCAAAATATGTGATCATGATAAACTCATAAAATTCCGCCCCCTGAATTCTGTCACAGAATTCCGCCCAGAATCTTGTTTGACAATTCCGCTCCGAAATTCCGCCCCAAGGTTCCGCCCCAAGATTCCGCTTCAAAATTCTGCCCCAAGATTCCGCTTCAAAATTCCGCCCCAACTCATTTGCATATTTCGTCCCAATTCCGCCCAGAATCCGTTCCATTTCCGCCTGGAATCCGGCCGGAATCCGTGCCAAAAGCAAATGGTTTAACACTTGTATATTCGGGGTAGAATTTAAATTTCTGGGCGGAATCTGCCTTTGAATTCCGCCCCATTTCCGTGCAGAAAATTTCGTACAGGATGTTATATTCTCTGCATGCTATAATTACATATCATTATTTCTACTTTTCTAGAAGTATTATTTATCCCATGTGCATGATGTATACAAATTGCATGTCTGACAAGAATTAAACAGATCATTCAAATTTTTAGTAAAAATCTTTTGGGAGATTTTGAATTTTATATGGAAGTTATAGTTAAAGTGTATAAAGCTATATATCTGGTTTGAATTTTATAAAAGTATACTTTCAAAATGCTTGTATGAAATAAATATGGTAATGAATTGCCTTAAAAGTGAATTGCTCATGCACAAAATCATTGCTAAGAGGATAAAACACATTTATACCCTTTAAAAACTACATGTAGCTCGTGTTTCCTTTATTTATAGAAAGAAGTCTGTATTAAAGAAATGGCATAATAGTTTATTTAAAAAAAAATTTTGTTCCCACTACTAATTGTGTAAATAAAAATAAATTCATTCATATATCTTAGTGTTATAATACTAAAGCTTTGATACCAGAAAAAGGGACAAATAATTTACTCAGGCTTATTCAAGTCTGGTATGTTTGTATTATAATATTTATGAGTACAATTGCTCATGAAGAAAATTGCCATACTTATGCATATTTGACCTTTGCAAAGGAATACAGAAAATGAAGTACTAAATAGGAGCTATTTCTCAGCAGTAATTGTATGGTAAAGGTCAGATTGATTGCAGGCATTCTTATGTTGTTGTTGTTGGCGGTTTCATCATGCATGATTATGCCCCTAATTATTAACAATATCCATGTATGCGTGTAACATTAGTACATGTACAATGCATGCCATTTAAGTAAATCAGACAAAAGGCTTAAAACATAATATTATATAAACCATCTTTCTTAACTAAAGCCATCCAAATCAGAATAAAAAGCAACTGGATTGTTTTTTGTTTTTTTTTAAATACTTCATAACTATTTGGTATGTAAATTGAAATGTAAGTTGAAATTTATTCGTTGGGATGAGGAATTAATAAAAATCCTCCTAGAAATTTTTTGTGGTAAAACGTTAAGAAACAGTCCCTGTGACTTATGGTGGAGCTTCATACTGTGATCAGTGGGTGGTTGATGCTCATAATTCAGATGTATGTTACCTCCCTGTCCGATCAATAATTTGTTTTTGAGGTCAAAGTTCAAGGTCATGGTGACCTAGTGAAATAGTAACCCTTGTCTAATTATTAGCTTGAAAAGGAATATGCCTTAGTTAAAGCTAAACTTACATGTAGCTGGAACATAATGATCATCATCAGGCCAGTGGGATATCCTTGCCTAGTCAGTCATACTAACTAGAATTTTCTCAGTTTGAGTTTGCGAAATTTATTACATGTAGTTAATTATATGTATTGATGTAACATAATTTATAATGACCTGTATGAAATATGCATATAAAGTATAATATGCTACTGTAAAAGGCTAAAGTTGGGGCATAAGTGTCCCATGGACATATTTCTAGTATATCCTTGTAACCGTTCCATTAAATGAAAAAACCATTTCCCAAAATGAATCAAATATCCCAATTTTTACTGTTTTACATTTCTCATATTGGTATAGGACCCATGCACACTTTTCCCAAAATGGTGAGAAAAAGGACATTACATGTACATGTAGATTTTGTTTATGTCAATCTGTAAGCTCTACATCATGATTATTTTTAGCTTGTTTTCATTGACAGAGAAGAAGAATACTATATATTTACCCATAGGGGATTTAATAGGAGAGTCTGCACCATCTGTATGTGAGATATTAATTGTTAGAGGAGATATTGTTAGACTTATGGGACAGTGTATTGTAACATCTGTTGATGAACATGTATATATAACTGATAACATTGATGAATGTCTCTTTTTAACCAGTCACCTGGCATTGTATTATAAAGCTACTATTGAATATTGATGAAAACGTCTGTAAATGGCTGAGATAAGTTGGAGAATTTAATTAAGAGAAAAATAAAGACCTTTTAAGATTAGGAGTCTCTGGGAAAGATGACAGCTTGTTTGTATTATAGTTATTGTAGTTTGGGAAGAGTTAAGATGTATGGATTAACTTTTTAATACCTTTTAATACTCTGTATAATATGAAGAAGTCAGTTGTGCAATATTAAGTAAGATTTATCCCCGCTCTGGTCATTATCTGCTCTTGTTATAATGTATAAAGGGAGGTAACTTAAAGGAACTCTTACTGCGGTCTAAAAGCCTAGAAATATTGAATATGAATTTCTTACATACATTTAGGTCAACTTCTTACATAGATCAGATGGGGCACTTAAAACAGAAGGATATGCCAAAGATAAGTAAGAAAATACTCAAAAATAAGTTGAAAATCTTATTTTGTGCTATTCTTAAAAAAAATGTCCGATTTCAGTGAAAAGTGTTGATTTATGATTTTGGGTAACTTTTCACTGTGAGTTAGTATACCCATTCAGTGAGTGAATGATCTGAAATTTTGCACACTTAAATTTAGTAACTGGTTATCAGACCTACATCAAAGGGAACATTTATCCAAAAAAAATATATTTCCAGTCTTCATTTGCGTCAAAAAACCTCTGTGGAGTCCCTTTAAGTTTTATTTTTTTCATACAATTTAAACATGTCCTTAATTTTTAACTTTTTTAAAGTTTATTCATAAATTATTAAATTGTCAAGTCATGAAATCTTAACTTTTGTTATCTTAAAACCTTAATTATCCAACTTCAAGGAAAATGGAATGGTCAATATTTGAGCATAAAAAGGGTTGGCATCTTAGCATTATACTGTTGGCTTACTGAGCTCTTACTTGATTTTTGGTTTAGTCGGACCCACTTCATATATCCATCTTATAAACTCATAATACAAACACAGCAGTCATTTTATTATGCATGCAGGCCTTGCCATGATAATGTTGCAAATTGGCTTAAATTAGCATGATTTTTACTGGCAAATGGTTATTTCAAATCTCTTTAACATTGTTTCTAATTATTTACATATTTAACTAAACCCAAGATGAAAGTGTCTATTGCAAAAATAATCACCGACACGACAGTCCTAGTGCATTATAGTTTGGAAACCTTTCCATTAAAAATCCCATACATGCACAGTGTGTTTTTAACTGGAGTGCAGATATTAGTATCCAGTTACCACACTTTCTGTCGGGGATAAAAACATGGTTTTGCCTATGATACAAAAGAGAAAGAAAATCAGAATGCTTTGCAATCAGAATACAGTCATGTAATTACAAAAAAAACTTGATGTTCTGGGATTGACAAATAATCAATGCATTTGGATATTAAGGCATTTTGAGCTCCTTACCCAGATTCCTTGTGAAAAAATAATGGTCTTTAAAATACGTGCTGTTTCTTACTTGATAGCATAATGATACCACATTGTATTTGTTTGAACAGCTCAGTTTAAAGTGAACATTAAAATGATTGTCAGCGTCAGCCTGATGTATTAATTCCTTTTAAATCTTGTTGCAGGGCTGATTAAGCCTAATATAAATGACCAATTAAGAAGGAATAATTGAACAATGTTTATTATAAAGGATTTAACTCATTACAGTGTTGGAGCAGTACCTATAGACTCTTGCAGAAATCATGATCATAAAGTAGAAAAACATCTTCTTCTTTTTTTGATGATAATTACATTTATCATTCATTATAATATATAAAATTGGTGTGGAAAGATGAATTTGACGGTTTAAAATGCATTTCAGCGAGTGAAAAGGCGAGTTTTTAACATTAAAACTTTCAAGCCCCTAATGTGCGGTTACGCCGGAATTAAGGGCATTTGGTTCCATGCTCCGACACTTTTTTTAGTCTCAGGTAGAAAATCAATATATTTACATAATCTTTTGGTATAAAACATTGAACTAATGGCAAAACATGGCTAGGATAAAAATATACATTATACCTGCATCTGTTGTCTATACACAGCCAGATGTTATTTAAGGTAACATACTGGCAGCTGCTGCCACAGTTCACATCAATAAATAACTGTATTTACTGCGTTGTACAAATATCATTTGTTTGTCAGTTGTTGTTTTTAATTGTGACAGTTGAGAGTACATGTTTTTGCTTTTTTTTTAGGTCATTTATGTTTGAAACACATTAACATTAGTAATATATTACATGTATAGTTATATGAATAATTAAAATGTTTTTTCTGGTGACTTTATAATAATGCCATTTGAGTGCTGACTGATATTTCAGAATTGTACTTATAAAATGTGACATATACATGTAGGTTAGACATGCTCAATGTATAGAGACAGTTGACATTCAATATGCTTCAGCAGCAATTAATTAATTGGCAAGTAAATAATTTACAGTCTAGACATTGCTTCAATACAGCTTTAGAAATACATGTAGACTATTATATGTTGTGATGTTCAGACAAACTAATAAGATTTTTCATATAAAAATATTGCATCTTTAATTTATTCACTTATTTTGGGGTATATTTAGCTCATTTGGCTTTACTCAGAATTGATTGCCCGCCCCCCCCCCCCCCCTTTTTTATAGCTAGGTTACAATGCAGACTGCTTCTGGTTCTAATAGTCAGATGCCAAGTAATGTATGGAGAGGCACTGGAGATCTACCTATACCAGTAAAGCTTGAAAACCAAGTTGCTTTAATAGTTTTTATGTTTCATATAGAATGATATATAGATAGTGAAAGAAACAGCTCTTGTATAAAAACTATTGGTAATATCTTATAGCATATTGGCAAGATGATAGACAAGCTGCATGTTGTTGTTTACTTGACATTTATGATCTCTTCTTGAATCAATGACATTTAAATTATAGGTAGTGTAATCATAGATTAAAATGAGTAACTTTATATTGTTTTTGTGCATAACATAATTATATAATAAATTACATTTTCAACAGATTTTGACATTAATAGTTTACTTTTATTTCAGTGCAATGTCTGCCGCGGCAAGTTCACCTGTCATTTGGGGGTTCTTTGACAGAAATGGTCGTAATGTGGTCTACAGAGGTGCTGTGTACCCCACAAGTTTACTACGGTGAAGGGGAATGGAATCTGTCCATTATTGCAACAGGACGGTCACTTCCTATGGTATATAAAGAATCACTCGGACAGACTGTACATAAATCATCCTATCTTCACAGGGCTTATCTTACAGTAAGTGTAATTTACTTCTGAGTTAAATATAGCTCCAATTACTTCCTATTTGCCTAGCAGAAATAATTCTACAGTGCATGCAGTATGATCGACTTAGTTTTCGTATGTTATTATTTCCGCAAAGTGATGGATATTAGACTGTTGAAATAGTTATGTACTTTACTCATATAGATCTGGTTATGTACTTTTGTAACTACTTATATAGATTTGGTTTACACATGATTGGTAATGATTCAAACAAAAAGAAGAAACACTTTAAGTCATAAGACATCAAGCTTAGCACTTTTAACCCTTTAGAATTTTGTAAGTTTAAGAAGCAAAAGAAATGCAAGTTAATATTGAAACATGCAATAGTTCTTAATGTTGTTGTGGTTTATTTTACCTTTTCTTTAAATTATCTGAGCACAGTGCTCAGAAGTAAGCTTTTGTGGTGGCAATGTCCGTTGTCAGTGTTCTAATGTTCAGAAAAATGTCCATATCTGATAAACCACAGAGTAAATTTTGTTTAATTTTTGCATATAGGTCACCTTTAAGGCATATAACTGTCCTGTTGTCAATTTAATAGTTCCTTAAATAAGTGCCCATTAGGGGTGTTTTCCCATTAAGTTAATTTTTAAAATTCAAAAATTCTTCTGAATCACACTTTTTGAGCATTATTTTATTTATTTGTCCCGTATTTTATTACAGAATTTGAAGCCTGGTACCACATATCACTACATGCCAGTGAGTAATGATGTGAGCCGGGGACCATTCTACTTCAAAACTCCACCACTAGCTCAGGTAGTATACATATTCTTGTTTAAAATGTACAATACCATGATTTTTAAAATAGCAAAGCAAAATTAATGTAATGAATTATTTATTTCCTTCCTTGCCTGTCTTTGTTTTGATGTTTTTGGGGTATAACAATTGAATTTTTGTTTGTGAAATGTGATACAGTCACAGTTTACACTGATGGTCAAAATGAGTCGGCATTTTAATATCATTCTTCTTTCTGATTATTTGCCATTATGTAAATAAGCTGTTTTACTAGCTATTTCTACCATTATAAAGCCACGGGTAAGCATGCATGCACATCCATACAGTCTGACCAGACTTTGAGAACGCTGCTTGTCAATGTCTTGTTTAGTGGGGTAAAGGTAATTTTTTGAAAAATAAAAAGAAAAACATATTTCTGTCAGTCAATTGTGGACAATATTTTTTGTCATTTGAATTGATGTGAAGTATAAAATACTGGTTACATTTACATTTATGTATACTGTTATAAATCCTGTTGATGATTCAGATCACATGACTTTTTTGTATGTGGACATTCCCTCCAATTGGTATGAACAAAAGATGATAAATTTTAGAATTATCGTTAATAATGTTATGAATATATTTGTTTTCAAGTACATGAAACCAGAGTTCCTTATTTATGGTGACTTGGGAGTCCATTCAGAGAGTCTAGCTAAGCTGGAGTTAGAGGCGATGAAAGGAAAGTACACGTCTATACTTCATGTTGGAGACTTTGGTTACAACTTGGAGGACATGATTACAGAGGGCTTGTACAGTGGAGAAAATGTAAGTATAGTTTATCAAACTTTTATATGTTCTGAGTTCTATTTATGTAAATGTGCATTACTTACTTGGAGATTAAGCATATAAGTCAAACCATGCCCAAAGTAAATAGAAAGTTACATAATCAAGTATGTGCTCTAACAGATTTTGTAAAACCGTCTTGTTCTTACTGTTCATAAACTGAAGGCAACACAAATCAAGGAAATATATCCTAAGATAGGTTTTTAATATGTTTTTTGTGAAATTAAAAATTTTTTAACTTTTATTCAACAGGTTGGTGATGTATTTATGGCACAAATAGAAGAGATGGCGTCACATATTCCGTACATGGTATCGCCTGGAAATCATGGTAACCATTATAAAACTACTTCACACTGACATCTTATATTTAATTCTGATTTTTAATTTCATTTGAGTGGGAATTTTTTCATGACAAATTAGAATTTATACACAATAAATAAAGTACAGACAAAATGGGGAAAAAAATATTTTAAACATTTAAATTCTCATAGGAGTGTTTTCATATAAAGTCTGTAAGGAGAATAGGAAAGGTGATAAGAATCTGTGTCAAACTTTATAACAAATTTTGAAATATGTAGTGTAATTTTATATGTAAGACAATTTTATTACATAATAAAAAGCAATCTGAACTTTTAGGAAATGCATGTCAATATTGAGTGCATTGCTGTAGAATAATGCATGGTTTGCGGAATATAATCACGAAGGTCGGTTGGCCTTTGTGATTAATTAAAAAGCATTTGAATGATATACCGTGTAGTATTGAACTACAGTGCAGGAATAAATTTATATCTATTTCCATCCTAAAATGCTAATAAAATGGGTCATTGATAAAAATGTATTAAGTACAATGAGTGGAGAAATAAATTTTTCTGATGTCATTTGGTTTTATGATGTCATATATGACGTCATATGACAAGTAAAGCATTCTTTTTTTGTGCCATGCATATATTGTATGCACTCGACTGTTTATCTCTTTAACAGAGAAGTAATGTGAAACATGTTAGAATCATTGTTCCATGTGAAATAACATAATCTTAATTAATCTTTATTACTCTCAATACATGTAAGACATGCAAATATTAGGAATTTACAGTATATTATTATATTTAAGGCTTACAAACAAGCCTGTTAATCAAAAATTACAAATTTGACAACTCTTTAGTAAACCTAATGTCATTGAGGTGCAATGAACATACCACTTTCCTTATAATACAAGTTAATGATGCCTTGACAGTTTATTTAATTTATATTAAACATATATATGTAATGTGAAGAAATACCTTCATTTGGCAACACATCACTTTTATGCTAGTACAAATATAGACTTAAAACAGGCATCACAGTTTCAGTATCAGACTGGTTTTTCTACTGGTCAATTTTGAGGTATCTTGTGCAAAATTATTTTCAGAAAGAAAAACAACTCAAAAGTTTGTTACATTGTCACTCTATACCATGTTATTTAAGACAACATTCCATTAACTAATATCAGTTACAAAAGATTGGTTTGCCCTTTTGTTTATGTACTATAAATTACTGTTTTAAACTGATTATAATCTTTATTTAACTAAAATAACCCCTTGTCAATCTTATTGCTTTATGTACCTGTAACAGTAGCAGGGAAATGTTTGGTGCTTTTATCAATTGATCAAAGAATTGATGTTTTTTGTGTTCTCTCATTTTATCTTCCTTTTTATAACACAGTAAAATGTAGTATACATAAAGGCCCATTATGCCTCAGAAAAAAGTAAATGTTTACCTCTTTAGAAAGGGAAAACATGAATTAATAATGTTTAAATAATGGTTTTAGAGAATGTAAGATGCTTGTTACTTGAAGAAAATAATGATAAATGTAAAAAGATTTGTCATAGAATTAGCAAAATGTGAACAAAGTACTGCAGTATATTGACTTCTATACAAAATATCCAAATTCGCTATAACTTTACCGAAAATAGTTTGGGTTATTCGCCAATGAGTAACTTTTGAGCTATTGTTAAAGCACATCAAAATTAAAAAAGCTTTTGAGAAATAAAATAAAAGCATTTCTAATGCATTATGGTCTTTAATATTATACAAACATCCCATTCCAAGTTCTTTAGTTAGATTAATAGAATATGATGTTAAATAAAATGTGCTAGATATACATGACATATTGAGATAATTATACAAATTGTATAAATAAATTCATTGTAGTAAAAAATGATATCATTGAATGTTGTTTTTTAGCTTGACTATTCAAAGAATAGGTAGAGCTTTTGTTTTTGTATCATTTTACGCCTTTTCCCAACAGTATTTCAGTCATATAGGAGGCGCTATTGGGCTTACCAAGGCATTAGCATCACACCTTGGTTAAGTTTTTGCATCCAAGTTGGTATTTCCAATTCTTTTGAAGGGAATGGGTTGAAACTTCACTTACTTATTTGAAAGCGTAATTATAATGAAGTCACTAGCTGTCCTTAACTCTAACATGAATTTTGACAGAATTAAAGCCCTTTTTGAAATTAGAAAATTCTACTGTTTATACTATCAAGCGCTGAGAATAGTCAAACATGCTGTCCTACCCACAACTTTTGTATTTTTAATTGTTATATCTTAGGGTTTATTTATTGCAGAGATAGAAGAAGACACCTTTAACCAGTATAGATACAGATTTTCCATGCCAAATACAGAATGGCCGATTCCACTGAACAAGATGTGGTATAGTATGAATATAGGACCTGTACACTTTCTCAGGTATCAGTTTGTTCTACTTATTTCATTGTTCTTCAGTCTGTGCCAAGTTGAATTTTTAGCTTATCAGTGGTGTCCTTCGACCTTATTTAAGTGGAACACTGGCCTTGTACTTTTAGGAGTCCATGACCGAGTAGTTAATGTTGATGATTTCGAACCAATTGCCCCTTACAGCTGTGGGCTCGAATTCTGCAAGGGACATTGGATTCTCGCATGTAAGGAAGTTATCTGGCTAATAAGAGTGTTCTCAGGTGCACACTTGTGCCAGAAGTAATGAAGGGAAGCGCACCTATGGTCTTCCTCCACTGGTAAAACTGGAAAGTCACCATATGACATTTACAGTGTTGGTGCAACATGAAAAATAGCATTTAGTTTCTCTTTAACACTCAAATTAACAAACAGATTGTTTCAGTGAAGAAAGGTAGCTGTGATAAACTTGTGTACATATACATGTATTACACAAGTGTGTTCTGTTGAAAGTCTAAATTTATGTTTTCGCAACATGGTGGTGATTAAAACACCAAGTGTGAATTGATTTTATGATAATAAGTCATGTGAGAAGCAGATTGTCTGTTTTATAAAACAGCTGTTGAAATGAGATCATAATTCAAGTTGTTTACGAGTGCTCTAATTAATGATTTTCAAGCCATCCGAGGTAGAACTATAAACAAAATAGAGAAATAAATTTTGGGACCGCAAAAAGAAAGAGAATTCTGAGGTGTTAAAGAGATCCAAGGTGCAAGCTTTATAAGTAATTGTGTATATTTTCATTCAGAACCTCAATGTTGTCATAGTATAATAGAAATGATATGGCAAAAAGATAACAAACTAGCACAGTGTATCAAAATATGTTTCGCTTTGATAAGCTTTATCAGTTGATATGATATATTAAAAAACAAAACAAAAAAACACAGGGCAAACAAGTTTTTGTATGACAGAATTCTGTTTCAGTTATTCGTCTGAGGTGTTTTTTACAAGCAATGGACGATACATTGAGAGTCAAAAACAGTGGATTTTGGCGGACCTTGCTGCAGCAAACAGAAATAGACAAACTACCCCATGGATCATAGCATTTGGACACAGACCAATGTATTGTTCTAATGATGATCTTGATGATTGTACGTTACAAGAGTCCCAGGTCAGACTGGGGTAAGTTGTACACTGTAATATAGTTTAATACTCATTCATATTATTAATAATGCTGGCTTGATTTTAGCTCACCTGTCACAAAGTGACATGGTGAGCTTTTGTGATCGCTTTTCATCCGGCGTCCGTCCGTAAACTTTTGCTTCAAATGACATCTCCTCAAAAACCACTAAGCCAATTTCATCCAAACTTCACAGGAATGTTCCTTTGGTGGTCACCTTTAAAAATTGTTCAAAGAATTTAATTCCATGCAGAACTCTGGTTGCCATGGCAACCGAAAGAAAAAACTTTAAATATCTTCTTTTAAAGAACCCAAAGAGCTAGATCTAAGATATTTGGCATGAAACATCTTATAATGAGTGTCTACCAAGTTTGTTCAAATAAAAGCCCTGGGGTCAAAATTGGCCCCGCCCCAGGGGGTCATTGATTTTCCCTATATGCATATAGTAAAAACTTAAAAAATCTTCTTTTAAAGAACCCAAAGAGCTAGAGCTTAGATATTTGGCATGAAACATTTTCTAATGAGTGTCTACCAAGTTTGTTCAATAAAGGCCTGGGGTCAAAATTGGCCCCGCCCCATGGGGTCATTGATTTTCCCTATATGCATATAGTAAAAACTTAAAAAATCTTCTTTTAAAGAACCCAAAGAGCTAGAGCTAAGATATTTAGCATGAAACATCTTCTAGTGAGTGTCTACCAAGTTTGTTCAAATAAAAGCCCTTGGGGTCAAAATTGGCCCCGCACCAGGGGGGTCATTGATTTTCCCTATATGCATATAGTAAAAACTTAAAAAATCTTCTTTTAAAGAGAGCTAAGATATTTAGCATGAAACATGTTCTAATGGGTGTCTACTTAGTTTGTTCAAATAAAAGCCCTGGGGTCAAAATTGGCCCTGCCCCGGGGGTCATTGATTTTCCTTATAATATATGTGTATAGCAAAAACTTAAAAAACCTCTTTGAAAAAATCCCAAATAGCTAGAGTTTAGATATTAAGCATGAAACATCTTCTAGTGAGTGTCAACAAAGTTTGTTCAAATTAAAGCCCTGGGGTCAAAATTGGCCCCGTCCCGGGGGTCATTGATTTCCTTATATGTGTATAGCAAAAACTTAAAAAATCTTCTTTGAAAAAACCCAAATAGCTAGAGTTAGATATTAAGCATGAAACATCTTCTAATAAGTGTCTACAAAGTTTTTTCAAATAAAAGCCCTTGGGTCAAAACTGGCCCCGCCCCAGGGGTGTCATTGTTTTTAACTATATGTGTATAGTAAAAACTTAAAAATCTTGAAACATCTTCTAATGGGTGTCTTAATTCCAAGTTTGTTCAAATAAAAGCCCTGGGGTTTAAACTGGCCCCGCTTCCGGGGCCTATATACAGGTGAGCGACCTCAGGGCCATCATGGCCCTCTTGTTTTTATTATGTTGTTTGAGACCAAGTAATTATGGTTGCTGAATTCAAGTCAAACCTTGTCACATTCTAGAACTCCAGTGATGTTTTTGGGCTAGTGGCTTAAAGATTGTTGACTTCAAAGTTGCTGCCAACTGCTACGGGTTCCAATCCCACCACAAACTTTTGATTCTTCTTGTAAATACACTATCGGGCTAGCTTTAGGAATGTTGGTTGTTCTACTCAGGGGCTGGATCATTCTTGAAGTAATGCACAGATGCATCTGAGGTTGAGCTGGAAAGTCACCAAAAGAATATTAGGATATTGTGTGACATAAAACTAAACATATGAAGTAAAAAATTCTGTTATGTGAGGTAGCTATCCAGCTAACTTATATCATGATTGATTGTCCCACCCATAGGTGCTCTATTACACTTAAAGTTGGAATGCAGCCAAATTACCTTTATATTGTTGATGTGATTCTAAACCAAATCAATAAGCTATTATTTTAAGTATAGAAATGTTTATAAATTATTCCTGCATATAATTTCATTCATGCTGTTTTAAAGCAAACAATTCTAGATTCTATTTTGGGAAAAAAGTGATGCCAAACAAAGATTTAATATTAAGATCAGATTTTGATTAAGAGCTTGTAACTTACCTTTACAGCTTTACATGTTCATTGTGAGTCAGACCATATTGAATTAAACGTCTTGAACACATTGTCTTCTCCTAAACTGATTAATCATTGTGTAGTTAACATATTTGACTAGTAATCTAAGGATTTCTTGCCAAGTTGGTTCAAATCTCATCAGGGGCAAGCCGTTGTTTCCATGAGCAAGTACTCATTGCTTAGTTCCTGTATGTTCCTGGAATGGATTCGAGAGTGTTTCAATAAACTTAAAGCTTCCAACATGCTCAAACTGAAATATATTATTATAAACTAAACTGCACTATATATATATATTATAGTTTGGAGGAGATATTTTACAACAATGGTGTGGACATAGTGTTACAAGCTCATGAACATTCATATGAGAGGTTATGGCCAGTTTACAAGGGTGTTGTTCTTGCTGAAAATTATACAGATCCTCAAGCCCCCGTACAGCTTATAACTGGAGCTGCTGGTAGTAAACATGGTGTCGATTTGATGAGTGCTAGAAATGGTTGGTATACTTTATTCCCCTTGTAAAACAAATATTTTATTCCCTTGTAAATAAATTTTTTTTCCCTTTATAAATACATTTTAATTTCTTCATAATATGTCTATATTTTAATCCCTTGTGCAAATAGTGTTTAGTTTAATTCCCTTTAAAGCTGAAATATTTTAAAATTCTTTTTGGTTAAAATAAGTTATATTTACTGTTTGTAAAATATGGTTTTTCTTTCTCTTATTAATTAAATTTTAAGGTATTTTTAATTTTGTTTGAAACTTTGGTTTCTTGTCGCAATTCATATGCTAAATTACCATTTGCCCTTGTAGTCGAGTGATATAGGGGAAAACTTGCGGACCGTGAAAATTTCTGACATTGGATATCCTTTCCCCTGAAGTGAATTGATAAATATTTTTCATATGACTGAATGGAAACGAAAAGTTTTTCATTTGACTGACATGTGAAAATGTGTTTTTTAAAGTTAACATTGTATTTTATATTCTAGACAATATAACATTATTTGCAAAGTATGCAACCAAACAGTGTAATATTATTTTTTTTTGAAAAACTGTTAAGGCAATATAATCACATGAGTGGTGGAATCTTTTTAAGGTTTGTTGCCTGTTTTCGTGAACACATCAAATTACTTAAATTTTTCAATTTTGTAGATGAAAAACTTATTCAATGAACTAAATTAGTTTTTCTGGCTTCAGTGAACTTATTTATTAATTGTATTAAATTGTTTTCAGAGAGTTGGTCTGCATTTAGAATGGATAACAAGTCTTTTAACAGTTATGGAAGACTCAAAATATTCAACGCAACACACTTATACTGGGAGCAAGTGGCAGTTTTAAACGGTGAAGTACTCGATTCAGTATGGATTACACAAGAACATCACGGTCCTTTTTCACATGCAACGCTCCCAGAGGACAAAAAAAATAAAATAACTGAACAGAAGCAGAAAGATACAATAGTGCAAAATAACATGCCTAAACCTGAGACAACCGGAGATACATTAACTAAAAAAGTGACCGAGGCAATTAAAGGTGCTGATACTAAAGTAATTGTCGGCGTCTCGTTCGCAGTGTTTGTGGTAATATTTCTACTAATTGTGTGCATAATCAGACAATGTACGAAGAAAAGAACAAAGTCTTATCGTAGATGGGAAACTCTTGATTACGGGAAAAAGTTTTATTCAAATCTGAAAAGTGACGATAAGGATGCGGATGATTTTGAAGTGGATGTTACGGACGGGACTACTAAACTGATTGATAGTTCTAAAGACTGAGACAAACTTGAAATACTGTAGGATAGTTAGGGAAAAACCAATTCCAAGTCAATGTGATTACAGAATCTCTCCAAGTGTAACAGTCATAATCACTTCATGTTACATGCATTCCTGACATTCAATGTCATGTTTCATTTTATATTTCAACGTTTTCAGTGTACTTAAGATTTCATGTTTGTATTAGTATGGTTACGACATGTCAGACTGACAATTTGTATTGTATGCCATGTTGTGTTTCTATGGTTACAGGATGACAAATTTTGTCGTATGTTTTCAATGTTGACTATGTGTATCATAATGCCTCAATGTGGTACTTCAGTTTTTAAAAGATGTTGAATATGCCATATATTTGTATTCCAATGAGAAAAAACATTTAACAAATGCCATATTGCATTCCAGTGTTTAAAATAGCATGTACCATTACGCCATATTGTATTTCAAGTTGTACAGTTATTATATTTGTCATGTTATATTTCAATGTATACAGCATTTAGTATTTTCACATTGTATTCCAATGGTGAAAATATGACTCACATTCCCCGTTATATCTCAATGTTTACAGCATTTACATAATGATTTCATATACAGCTGTGTTGTTAGACTGTAATATCATTCCATGTTATTGTTTTTGATTAACAATTTCAATCACATTCCATGCTGTATATCAACTTACAAATTTGATATTATATATCTTATTTCATGTTTTATTTGGAGTCATAAATCAATGACAGCATTTTCACATTTTCATGTTGTATTTTATTATTTTTTTGTGCTTTGATTGTATGCCTGTTCTGAATATGATATCAGTATCGTATCACCATATTCCATGTTGTCTTCCCTTGATTTTTTACATCCTATGTGCTGAAATTCTTTGTTATTTTTCAAGAAGAAAACCAAATCCAGTGTTATCAATTCTATTTGATGTTGTAATTTTGTAAATTTTGTTTTGGCGATTGATTAACGATAATTTTTATTATGGTTTCCTTGTGATTTGTATTGTTTGCATTGTTGTGACTAAGATTTCATGATTGACTGTATAGGACAGGGTATGTCCAATAGGAAAATTATAAGTGATTGAACTTTGATTGATTGCTAACAATGGTTTGGAAAACCAAATTTAATTTTATACGCACAAAGGTGTCTAATATGATTTGTTTATTGTTCTCACAAATTTTCCACATGTATTTACAAAATCTTGTGAACATACATGGCTATAGTGAAGTTCACTTGTTTAAGATTAACAAATGTTTTGAAGGGAACTATATTCTCCAACAAGTCTTGTCTAAATAACCAAACCTGGGTTAGTGACTATCTCAATGGAAAACAGAACAAAACAAAATAAAAGACTTCAATCCATTTCACTAAATAAAAAACAGCTTGTGGCCCTCTTCTACATTAAAACGTAAAAACAATCAAAATTATACCTTCCCGATTTCTTTTCCAATCACATCATTTTTTGAAGCAACTTAATTTGTGGACTGATTTCTTTGATACTTGGTATGTAGACACACCTAATATAGACCATTACATATAGGGCTGTTTCAAATTTGATGGTGTGATGGTGAAAGTCTCTGAGACTGAATTCAATGGTTGTGTGTTTTTTTTGACAAGTTTTATGTGTAATTTTGTTGTTCTACAGCTTTTACAATATTATGCATTATACATGTATATTTGTTAAAATGTGCCATGTATGATTCTTTTTCATTGCACCAATACTTGTTAGTCCCCTACCGGTTTACCGGAGGGGACTTTAGGTTTACCCTCCGTCCGTCTGTCCGTCCGTCCGCACTACAAAAAAGGGATAGGGGGCCATCTAACTGTAAACAGAACAAAAGAGAACAATAGAATTCATTCCGTAACAATAGAGTAAGGGGCCATTGGCCCTCTATTAAACAATAGAAAATAACAAAAGAAATGGCCCCTTATTCCATTTCGGCCGTCCGTCAGTCCGTCCGTCCACAAAACTAGATCCCGCGATAACGCAAAAAGTACTGAAAATATTTTAATGAAACTTGATATATTGATAGATGGCAGTATGGAGATTATGCACGTCTTTTTCTTTTCTTCCTATGTTGAAAATTCTGGTTGCTATGCCAACAAATAGACTGAAAATATGGCAAATTTTACACATAACCTGGATCCCGCAATAACACAAAAAGTACTGAAAATATTTTAATGAAACTTAACATATGGATAGATGGCAGTATGGAGATTATGCACGTCTTTTTCTATTTTTCCTATGCTGAAAATTCTGGTTGCTATGGCAACAAATAGACTGAAAATATGGCAAATTTTACATATAACCTGGATCCTGCGATAACACAAAAAGGACTGAAAATATTTTTTATGAAACTTGATATATAGATAGATGGCATTATGGAGATTATGCACGTTGTTTTCTTTTTTTCCTATGTTGGAAATTGTGGTTGCTATGGCATCAAATAGACTGAAAATATGGCAAATTTTACACATAACCTGGATCCAGTGATAACGCGAAAAGTATTGAAAATATTTTTATGAAACTTGACATATGGTTAGATGGCAGGATAGAAATTATGAACATCCTTTTCTTATCTTCCTATGTTGAAAATTCTGGTTGCTATGGCAACAAATAGACTGAATTTCAAGATTTCTGATTCTAGTTTTTAAGTTTTTTCACTATAAGTTCTTTATTTCTTTAAGTATTTTCTTCAAACTTTAAATATAAGTTGCTAGTCATCAACCACATCTTATGTGACAAGGTTTACAACTCTAGGACAAAATTTATCAGAATTACCTCCCTTGAACTTAAAATTTTCATGAAAAAAATATTGTTTTTTTTTTAATAACTTCTTTTTTTCTGAATGTATCTACTTCAAACTTCATATAAATGTTTCTTATTATCACTCAACATTTGTGAGAAAGTTCAATACTCTAGCAAGACTATTTCCAGAATTATGCCCCTTTTGAACTTAGACTTTTTTTGAGAAATTGGTAATTTTTACTCCAACTTCTTCAATCATGATAGGATTTTCTTCAAACTCCCACATCATAATAATAATTATGACAAGGTTTATAAATCTAGCATCCATATTTCCAGAATAATCTCCTCCTTAAACTTTTAATTTTTCCTATTCGTTCTTTTAACTTTCATTTACTTCAAATTCAAAATAAACATTCATTATTCATACCTTCATTACTAATTGTTCTTTGTTACACTCGTATCATGTATGACATCTTGCATCTTTATTTCAAGAGTTATCTCCTTTTTAAAAATTTTGCTTTTAAAAATGTTATATTTTGATAACAGGGATGTTTATAAAATAACTTTAGAGTGTCCTTCAGTCCATCTGTCTGTCTGTACATAAAAACTGTTTCCTGTGATCACTTTTAAAGAACTTTTTCAACAAATTTACTTAAAATAGAAACATAAGTGATTATGGCCAATGGCCCTTCAGAATGTTGCTGGGGTTCTAACCGGTAGGGGACTTATGGATTGCTTGCAATACTATGATAATTGCTTGTTACTTTATGAAGAGGATTTAGAAGTCGTAAGCATTATCTATTTTCTAATCAGTTTTGCATAATATCATTACCTAAAATTGGTGTGTAATGATATTTTTAACTTAAAGAGTCTAGGAGGGAATAATATCATTATCTAATATTGGTGTGAAATGAATTATTTTTAAGATAAGAGTTTCAGAGGAATGAGAGTTTGTACAGAACTTTAGTTTAGGAAGCTTTAAGCTTATAGAAACACTTTTTTCAAATCCGTTTCTGGATAAGAGGGATGTTAAGTGATATTTGTATTGTCCCTCTGCTTCAACATTCCATGATAATCATAACAGTTATATATACTTATACATGTAGCACTTGTGTTCTTGTTGTTGTTGTTGTTCTTTGCTCATCCTTATATAATTGCAAACGATAAAATAACTTGTACATGATTTAATAATGACAGATTTATATTTCACAGAACCATTTCGGTTATTTACATTATTAAATAATGAAATAACAAGATTTAGTAATGAAATTACATCAGATAATGAAAGATTTATTTCTAACAATACCATCATTATTTACATGAATAAATAAAGGAATTACATGAATAAATAATGAAAGATTTAAGTATTCAATTTTACTAAACCATCTATGATATTTACATGATTAAATAATGAAATTACATGATTAAATAATGAAAAGTCTACATTTAACAAAACCATCTGTTATTACAGTCAGGGTAACGCTGTGTAAGGTAAAAAATTAGTTTCTTGAGCTACCTAAAAAAATTAAAAAATTTTTTGTAATTTTTTAAACTAAATGCGAAAAAGTTTTGGAAGTAATGTTGAGAGTTTAATTGCAAATTTTTTTTGTGTTATATTATGAGCAATGTTTGGCTTTAACATGAATACCATTATATATACACACATATTATATAATTACAAGGTCTAGTCAGAAAAGGTATTTCTGTAAATATTGAAGTTTTCTATTTATTGATGTATGTTAAAATACATGGAGAAAAAAGTTTATTAAAAAGTATTTAATATCAAACACTTTTCTATCAGAACAATTTAGAATTAACAACTATGATCTTTTTAGGCATACTTTCTTTTTTATTTCAAAACATGAAATACTGACAAGCAAACAAAAATGATGAGAAACAGATAATGAAATGCTAGCATTGCCAATTTTTTTTAAGTTTTTACATTATTTTGCAAAACCTGGCATTGCCAAATTTTTTTTTTGGTTTTTTTTTTTTTTTCCCCCCTTTTAAAATTTGGGGGGGGTTTTTCCAAACATTCCTGGGGGGGGTTTTGCCAAAATTTTTGTTAAAAAGTTAACTTTTAATTTGGTTTTCCCCCAAAAACCTTTGGGGGTTTTTTTGCCAATTTTGTTTGTTTATACAAAAGTATTTTGCAATCCTGGTGTTACCAATTTTGTTATACTTGTATTTTGCAATCCTGGCATTGCCAATTTTGTTAGTTATACATGCATTTTGTTAATTGTTGTTTGTACGGAAGGGTTTAACTCTCATGTCAATTATCATGTGCCTTCATACTTTAACAATCCTAAATGTTCCTAAAATTATAGTTATGTACTTTATCCATATTTATTATGTCATTGTTTTTCTTTTTCCTTTTATTTTCTAGCTTTATTGGGTACTTGGGTCAAGTTTTAGTTTTGTTGTATATGTTTAAGGAGTTATGTTGTTGTTTTTTAAGTATATTTATGCAACATATTTCATTAAATGAAAATGCTAATCGCTTTTGTTCTCTTATTTATATATTTCTAATGGTAAACTGAATTGTGGAAATAAATTTTGAACACCAAGCTAACAGAGTAGCAGATGTATATTTTGATATGTTATATTTGGAAGATTTTTTATCACAATATATGTAGGTGTGATGGTGACAACTGATACTACTCATGTGACTAGGTGCAGACCAATATCATGTTCTGCACTGTTCGCTATGCAGTCAGTGCTTCATTTAGAAAATTTCCCCCGAAAATGACAAATGGTTTGTCCTAACATAAAAGATGGACAAGTCTATTTAAGATATTTGGCATGGTAAGGGTTAAATAACACCAACTCAAATGTATAATGTGAAGAAATTTAGACCCACAGCCAACAGCTAGGAGCAGATTTTTTCAGTCAGTGACATGTACAGTAATGCGAAACATATCAACTGTAGTAACACTAAAAGATTTTATAAAAACATCATTTAATGATGACCATAAGTTCATAGATTTATACTACTAAAATGACAACAAATGTGTTCCATATATCAATGAATTATGTAGTACCAGAAACAAAAGATACAAAATTAATGTACAAATGTAGCATCAACAAGATTGGTATCTGAAGTGACAGAAATCCTACTTTTCCCATCCTTCCATAGAAGGTAAAAGTTGACACTGAAACAGCATAAATCTGTGTGAATGTGAAATCCTCGGACTGTTTTATACAGCTAATAGGACCAAAGTATTAACTGCTGCCACTGGTCGTTTCACTGAAGTATTTTGCAATTGAAATCTCTGAAATTAGTTCTAAATTTAAAGCAATATAAGATCTTTACATAAATCAGAGGTAAAGAAGGTAAAAAAATAAAAGTGGTAAAAAAACAATAGAAAAATCATTAAAAATCTTTGAATTTTATTTGTTCAATAATTATGAAAAATCAAAGTTTCTTTATAAATCAATCCCTGATTGTGGTAAAACAGTCTCTATAATATGTGAGGTAAGATAAACCCATACAATATACAGGTAAGTCAAATAACAAAGCTCTATAAATGTCACAATGATAAATGTCTACAAACAGCACCAGAACTGCTTAATCACAAGGGAAATAAACTTACATTTATTGAAATAATCTCGAAACTTTCATTACTATTAAAGGCACATTACTGGGATCCTACATATTACCGGACGGCCCGGACAAAATATGATTGTTTTTTCGCTGTAACTTTTATTTAAAACAATAAAAAAGGAATTGGAATTTTACCCAAATTATTTTGGGTTCAAATACAAGTAAACATTACTTTAATAAACATGAAATTTAAACATTTGAGACGGCAGAAATGTGTCCTTTAAAGTAGGGCATTATAAGAAGAGAAAAAATTCTTGTAGACAGCACAATTTACCGGACACTGTGTTTCAAGTTTTTTAAAGTCCTGAAATTGAAATTAATCTTTAAATAATCAGCAAGGAAACTACAACTATTTGAAAGGCAAGGTTAAGATATTGAAAAAAAAAAACACAGTATGTCACTAAAACAAGACACTGCAGCCATGCTTGTAACGAAGAGGCAAATATATGGGGTGTAATTGAAATTAACACTATTAACGCAATTAACGTATTGATTCTTAATGAAAACTTAAACGTATAAAACATTTTAATATTTAAAATGGAATTCTGTTCTTTTGTTCATACAAGTTTCTTTTTGGTCATCATGTAGCATGTTACAAAAGCCAAAATTTATTTTATTTACATTTCTGAAATGTAAATTCATGTTGTAGAGATTCCTCCCATGGGCGTAACCCGTTTTCTTATATGTTTTTTAATGTGCATTTCATTGTAAAAGACAACAACGAGATACTCTTTGGACTAAATTTAAATTACTTTTTATTATTAAAATATGTTTCGATTGTCTCTTGAGATAACGTGGAGAAGAATTAAAAGTAAAACCTATCTAAAATAACCCATTAAGGGCCTCTTTATTCTGGGCATGCGCAGAACAGATTGTTCCCCCGCATGACCAGGTCGATGAAATAATTAGTAAACACAAAAGGGAAGGGTATACGAGGGAGTTGTTCAAAAAGTAATAGGACTGAGAGTCTTGCATATTCATATTTCTTCCAATTTAGAATATTTTTCATATGGTATCAGGGATCGTAAAATGTTTTCCTAACAATTTATGCATCAATTATTAATTAATTGTGTGCTAAACGCGCGTTTCCTGTGATATTGAATAACCATGGTACACGCGCCACCCGGCGCAACACATCAAAAATAGTTATTGAAGCTAAGTTGTACTTTTATTTTATTCAAACTTTTTTTTACTCGTATTAGTAAATAAAGAACTGAATCAACCATATTTACCTGAGAGTAGTTTTGTTGTTATTTACTTTGAAATAGAAAGTGTGTTTATGATTCAGACCAGATGATTTTTTAATCAAAGCAAAAATAAAAGCACTATTCAGCAGGAATACCTTTTGTCCGGTAAACTGATTGTCCAGTAAACATGTAGGATCCCAGTAGGCCTTAAAGATGTTAAAATGTTTATTTTTTCAAAAAAAAATTTTTGGTTTTAGTGTCCTGTTATAATTTCTATAATGTAACTCATTAGCCATATAGCTCGGAGCCATCGTTTGCATCTTCTGCATTTTGGCAAATCGTGCTGTTGTAATATTAAGTATTTTGTTTGACAGTATAAATGTTACATTTACATTTCACAAATTATTTCACATTCACAACTTGATAAATATCTAACATGTTTTTTATCCAAAACACAACACTATTAAACACATGTTCGCCCTTAATATACAAAAAGAAAACAATATTGAACTAAATTGAGGCTAAGTGGGCCTTTAAACAAATGTATCCTTCATACGATAAAGTAAATATTTCAGTCTAGTGAATTCAATAGATAAGATAAATTGACTAAATGAAATTAATAAAAATAACAAAAAAACATAATTAACATCAGTTAATCGAGTTTGAAAACTTGATAAGATTTTACTTTAATATTATCACGATATAATACAGTTTAAATATACAAACTACAAAGATCTGAAAATAGAAAATTATTATTAAATATTTCTATTTCTTCATCTTTAATTAATTTACACTTCAAACCTCTTCACAAGTTGAATTAAAGTGATAAAAATTGAGTGATTAATAAATCAATCTTTTGAATCAAAAATACAAATGTAGCTGAAATTTTTTAACATTTCTGAAAATGCTTCAATTAAAGAGAATCAAAGTTATTCCATTTTAGTAAAACATATAATAGTTTTAATCACATGAAAGTTTACTTATAAAAGGAAAGAAATACATGTACATAATATATTATTTGCAATGTAATATACTGACCAAATTTTAACCATTGTAATAATTATAATACAGTACATGTACAATTATGAGACAAGACATTATGGAAGTAACAATTGTATAAATTACTTTTTAGATAAAAAAAATGATTTGTTTTATTATTGTATGCATATATGTTTATATAATAGCCAATAATTATATTATATTGCAAACCATATTGGAAATTAAACTGAATATTTCAGATAAAACTATAATTAAGCAATAATCAGGAAATTAAATGCTATATGATATGTTTTATATCAAGTTATATAACAGCTTCAAAAGAATTTGATATCAAATCAAGTTTGCAACAATTTCCCTGTTGTACTCAAAATAATAACAATAATGCACAACAAAAACCCCTCCTTAAAGGGACTCCACTGAGGTTTAAAAAACCTAAAAACATAACATTCAAATTTCTTACATAAATGAGCTGGGGCACTTTAAACAGAAATATATGCAAAGATAGTTAAGAAATATACTTTGAAATAAATTGAAAATCGTATTTTTATGCTTTTCTTATCCCGATTTGAGTGAAAAGCGTTTAAAATTTCACTAAAATTAGTGATCTAAACCTTCATCAAATGGTACATTTATCTGGAAAAAAATATTTTCAGTCCCATCATGTCAAAAAACCTCAGTGGAGTCCCTTTAATATTAATGTCCATTATATGGTTAAAAAATGCACCAAGAAACATAAAATCCCTGCAAAGGTTTTTCAAATCAAATTTTAACTAAAGTATTCTGGAAATAGCGATTTGGCTAACTCTTTCTTGTTCACTTTTCCCATTGCATTTCTTGGCATATCGTCAAGGCACTTGAGACATCTGGGGATTTGATACGGAGCCATTTTATCCTTACACCAAGCCTGTAGATCAGGTAATGTAAGAGTTTCACCTGGCTTCATCACAACCACTGCAGTAATAATCTGTCCCCATTTTTCATCTGGTAATCCTGTAACATATATGTTTGTTTATACAAGGAAAATAAGTAAATTAAAAGGAATTGTATTTTTTATTTAATTTTACCCATGAAATATGGTGCTATATCAGTCAAATATATTTCATATTTTTTAAAAATAAATATGAAATATAAATATGAAAGTGGGCAGAGTCAAAACTCATATTTATTTTAAGGGACTTCTTTCGCCGTTTTTGGAAAGAATCTGATTACAAGATAACTTTTTCTTGAATTTTTTTTGAAAAACTATCTAGCATGATAGAAAAAATGGTCTAAACTAAGAAAAATTAAATCCGCAAAAACACCAATATCTTTAATTCAGTAATTAACGCTGTACAGACTTTTAAAGTTGTTTACATGAGTCACAATGTAGCGCCAAACAGCGCTACTTTACGCCATAAAAATACTGCGCGCTGTTACAATTGCAGGTGGTAGAAACAAGGGGATTCATTGCATTTTCTTTGATTAATGAAATTAAATAAACAAGGTTTATTTTTTCGTTTTTTCGTGAAATATGGTATTATATTTTCACTCAACATGATAAAATGCCACATATTTTCACTCGCCGTACCGGCTCGTGAAAATATGTGGCATTTTATCATGTCTCGTGAAAATATAAATCATATTTCACGCAAACGAAAAAATATCCTCTTAATATTTTCATGCACATGGCAAGCTCACGTAACTCCGGCCCTTTAGCTTCGAGTCTTTAATTCTGCCTATTGCAGTCTACATTAACGGCAACATGGAATTATATATCACACCTGAGTAACCAGCTGTATGTTGTTGGATTTAAAATTTGTGGGTTGACCTATCCACAAAAACAATTTTTAAAAAATAAATGCTCCATTTTGGATTACTTTATGGATAAGACACTTTAGGCCCTTATTCAAAACTGTTTGTTCAGTATAAAAACTCACATCTCACATCTTGGTATTTAACATGATATAAATGCCACATCCAACTAAGGGTGATGAAATGAAATGTTCAACCTTGACAAGATGTCAACCTCAATTGATATACATCACTTGTCTTGGGTGAACATTTCATTCTATCACCCTCAGTTGGATATGATATCTAATTAATACTGTTCAAGCCTTCTAATGACAATAAATGTGATCAAAGATTCTACTTGACCAATTATTCAGTTTTATGTCACTTATCTCATAGATATATCTTATCTGTATACCATTTATACATGTACCAAGTTTATTTCAGTCTGAATTCATGGGAAGAGCCCACAACAATATTGTTAACCCTTTTGACATGTACAAGCAAAATTGTCAGAAAATTGCAAATTGTGTGCATACCTATCCAATGAAATAAATGTAGTAACACTTTTATAAGAGATTTTCCCTTACATTCTGTCACGAACCTTTTGTTACTTTTGCCAATGGCAAGATTTTTCTATGGATATTTTGTCAATAAAATCTCTCATTATGGTATGCAATTTATGCTCATCTATATGATATTCTGGAACGTAATTCTCTAATGAATACTTAAACTGAATTTTATTGTTGATATAAAAGTTGATATTTCAACCTTTATGTATATTTTATATACTTTTACGATGCTTCAATGCTCTTGTATATTGATTTTAACATAAAGCTTGCAAACACATTCTAATAAATGATGATACCAGTAAATAAAAATTGAGATTAATTGCATTTCAAAATGAGAAAAAAAAAGTCAATCACATTATACGGAAAATTTAAAACTTTAATATAATGGCTACATTAGTATAAGTACATGTCAAGTTCTGATATTATCACCCATAAAATGTCATGTATTACACAATATCAAGCTTTAAAAACATTTTTTGAAATACAGTATAACCTTTGCTGAGAGGCCCTTTGTTGAGCAACAACCTCCTCAGATCAACAATCTCAACACTTCACAATAAATTTAACCTCTCCAGAGATACACCTCTCAAGAACAACCAATTTTTTAGTCTCCCAAAGGGTGTTGCTTTGCCGAGGTTGTACTGACCACAGTAAAAAAGGAAAACTTTTATTTCAAATTTTTGCCATCCTGTATTAACGCAAACTCATGAATCCCATTTGTTAAATGTCAAATATTAACTAATAACTTTATCTGGGAGAGGACACTCATAAGTTTGTTATAGCTTTCTGCCCAATCCCAAAATGTACTTTGTAAATATTGTTCACTTGATAAATATGTTGTTGAATAAAATAATTGTTTAAACCAAATATTAACTTCACAAATTGAATACCAATTAAAAAAAACTATATATTGTATGTATACCCTATAATTAAATATACTCACTAAAACTCAAAATTAAAAATTCTGAAGGAGGTTTAATCTGACAGCCCTCCTTGATGTAACTTACACAAAGTAAATTGTTTAGCCCAATATCTTACTGGTAAAACAATTCATGAGAAAATGTCATATTAAAATCTTAAAATTTGTGACTATGAAAATCTTGAATGCATTTTTCTGATACAAGTTGAAATTTTATCTCAACTGCTATGACAGAACTTAGCACAAATGCTCTATCTGTACTTAAATTTAATCTTGTGCATGCATTGTTTAAACAACTAATTGAATGATTAAGGCATACAATACCTATTATAGCAACATCTTTAATACCAGAATGTTCCAGCAGGTGGCGCTCTATGTCTAAAGCACTTATTTTATAAGCTCCACTTTTAATTACGTCAACAGAAGTACGACCAACTATTTTTATCACACCATCTGTATACAAGGCTGTATCTCCTGTAAAATAGGGACACATCATTGAAACAAATATCATGATAGCTAAAAAAACAATTTCTATTAACGGAACCCATGTGATCTCCATAACTTGTTAAAATGGTAACCCTCTAATTGCTAACACCTCATAGCTGTAAGGGATCAAGTCCAACCAGGAACCTAGCTATGAATCTAGCTAATAAGTGTGTTTTTTTTTCTAACTGGTGGCCAGGTACTGTCACTTGTGTCTGAAATAATGCCTAGAGGGACACCTAATCTATTACTCTTCTAGTATACAGCTTTGAATTTGCCATCTTAAAGCTACTATCCCACACAAGATGGTTTCGCTTTCTTAAAAACAAAATGTAAGCACTCAGCTTTGAAGCCTCCATCAGCAAGATAAAGTTCATAGCTAAGTTACTTCACAACTATGAATATTATATATCAGGAATTGGTTAGTATGAACCACTTTTTTATCAAAAGACATGATAAATAACAAAAATTTCTATATCATATTTAAAAATCTTTCCCAAGTGTATGTTAACAGAGGTAGTGCATCATTTTTATGAAATGTTTAAAGCATTTATCTAAAATTCCAACAGTCTAAATAATCTTTATTTCAGTTTAAACCTTTATAATTTTTACTTCTTTTTAGTCAAGTATCAAGCATTGTAACCTGTTTTAAACCAGCCATCTGCAGTAAAAGCTTCACTCGTAGCATCTGGTTTATTCCAGTACTCACTAAACACATTATCTCCCTTTACAAATAACTCGCCAGAGCTGCCTTCCTCACCTGAAATGTTTATTTCAGATATCACTTTATTGTTAAGAATGTTACATTTTACAATAAACAATTTGAAAATAATTTGCATTTTTGTATACTACAAAAGTTTGAAATATTCTTAGGTCAGATACCCTCAGCAATGTCTAGAAGGGAAGTAAATTGACACATAAAAACACTTTTTGTTTTAATTAATTGAAATGTTAAGAATGATTATTACTGACAAAACAATAGTAAAATTCAATACTATAAAAGATAACAAAAAGAGACATAAAATTGACAATATATACTCAACATCACTAATTCCGAGCCATCACTTAATTTCACGGTAATGGCATATTTTCATGTGACCAGTGTTAAAATTGGTCAGAATATACATATTTTATTCATACACCTATACAACAAAGTTTTTATGCAAATTTTAAATCTCAAGATTTTTACATAAAACAGAACAACATTTTACAAATTTCTGCAAAATGCAATAATAGTCCATTAAATTTGTGTGTATGTCTGAAACAATCATCATTTTCTAAATGTTTTGGTTGTTGAAAAATAAATTTTGAGTTACAAAGTAAGGCTATTTTAATATTTAAAATCAAGCAAATTAACATGTAGAATTTTTTACCGAAACATGAAAAAACTGAAATGTAACACCATTACCGCAATTTAAATGATTGTAACATACTGTTTTCAAAATGGCCAACATATGGTCTATGTTTGGTCCATTAAAATTGACTTTTGACTGAATATATTGTTGTTTCCTTGTGCAATACAGCAGAAAATATGTGTATGTTATAGCTTATGACAATTTTTGTACCATAAGTTTCATTTGTTGTTTTCTTTCTGTTTTCAAAGCGTTAAGTACAGTATAAGTCATGTAGATAGAATATTTGCTAAGACACTTCATATAACTGAATGTCAAAATTAAACAGTAAACATACCTATAGTGGTTTGAATATTTTCAGAATCCCCCTCTGCGAGAACTTTCTGTCCTTTTTCACTATGTTCAACTATCTGAACTGATACTCCTGGAAATGGTAAGCCTACCATACCTGTAAACACAAACATCTTCTTGTTTCAACTATGTGTATAAACAGCACAGAAGTACATGTTTGTATTCAAAACAAATTATACTTTTACTTAAGCAGGTAAAGAGATAACCATGTATCTTTCAAATTTAACTAATAAAAAAAACTTTCCAATGTACTAAGGATAGCTTCTCTTTGTACCAACTGTTTGAAATTCCTAAAAATCTCCTTATTTCTTACCCTTACTTCCAAAAAATACCACCACCTTATAATCATATATGTAGCATACAATTAGGCCAAATTGACATCTTATACCAACTATGAACACTAGAACCACAATCCTTCAATACACCATAGTTGATGCAATATGTTAACTTAATTGACTAACTGTGTGCAAGGGCCCGAACCCCCCGAAAATGTTACGCTCCCGGGGGCGTTAAATAGTACTCGATACTACTATAAGAGCTTATCTTTATGTTCACGACATCTAAAAAGTGATCCTTTGAGCTCTGAAATAATTGTTACATGATAGTATACCAGGAAGTCTGTCTCCAATGAGAGGATTGGTTAATGCCATGCCAACCTCGGTCATCCCATATCTCTCCAATAATGTGTGACCAGTTATAGCCTCCCATTTCTCCATGATTGGTTGTGGCAAGGCAGCTGATCCACTTACCATCAATCTGGTGGTAATAAAATAACTGACATTTTTAATTTCAAATATGAAGAAGCGATGACAACATTTGACAATTTACAGGACCTGGTTGTTCAAAACATTGGTTAGACTGTCATAATCAATGGATAAAATCATTATCCACTGGCTCAAGTTTATCTGGTTTCATAGCCAGGGTACTATCCAACTGTCGAGTTATGAAGTTTTATCCAAAAGATAGCTGGCCTCTAGCTAAGGATTTAACTAGTGGATAATTAAGCTGACCACTGGTTAATTTTAACCAATGTTTAGAACATTACGTAGGGCAGGTATCTATATACATGTATAAAAGTATATGAATTTGATTAAAATTGTTCCTTAGTTTTTGAAATCTAAATGCCAAATGCTACATTCATGCTCAGTACAAACAGGATAATACGAGATTCTAATTGTTCCTCGAATAAAATAATTTCAAGGCCATGCCAACACTTCATCAGTTGATATTCATTAAAGGCCACAAGTCATATTTTCCTCAGTTAATACAATTTAAAGACCAAATGCTATTTTTGCCCTCAGTTAATACAGTTAAAAGACCAAATGCTATTTTTTGCCCTCAGTTAATACAGTTAAAAGACCAAATGCTATTTTTTGGCCTCAGTTAATACAGTTAAAAGACCAAATGCTATTTTTTGCCCTCAGTTAATACAGTTAAAAGACCAAATGCTAATTTTTACTCAGTTAATGCAATTTAAAGACCAAATGTTAATTTTTTTCCTCAGTTGATAAAATTGAAAGACTAAAAGCTGATTTTTTCTTCAGTTAATACATTTTAAAGACCAAATGCTGATTATTTTCTCAGTTAAGATAACTTAATGGCAGACATCTTTTACCCCAATGCTTTTTTAAAAATAGATAGGTCTGTTCTTTCAATTAACAGATATGTAGGTATCAAACAAAGACTTACCTGAATTTTTTTGTTAAAATTGAAGACAAATCATCTGGTATGTAAGGATCTTCAGATTGTTTTTGACTGTCATATTCCTCTATAAGTTTGGCATAAATTGTTGGAACTGCCATAAATACATTTATAGGAGGATCTGTGCGTAACAATGCTTTCCATACCTGTAACATTGATGAGCTATGACATAATGGTTTAAAAATTATAACATTGATGACATGTTTGAAACAACATTGTAAATATGTTCCATCAACCTGATGACTTATTATTAAGTCTTTTAACAAGTTTTTGTTTAATAGGCTATCACAGCAGTTATTTTATCTTCCCATTACATTTAAACCAAATTAAAGTATAAAGAATCATTCAGTATGTTCTATTTTATCCTTCAATGACTATGAATCATATCCTTCTTGCCATTGATTTCTCCTGTAGTGCACTCTTGTAAGTGGTTCACTAGCTTACCTTTAATAAGTGGTTTACTAGCCTACTTTTAGTAAGTGATACACTATTCAACCTGAAGTAAGTGATCTCTAGCTTACCTTTAGTAAGTGGTTCACCTGTTCACCTTAAGTAAGTGGTCTCTAGCTTACCTTTAGTAAGTTCAACTGTTCACCTTTAGTTAGTGGGTATCTAGCTTACCGTTAGTAAGTGAACAACCAGCTTACCTTTAGTAAGTTGGGCACTAGCTAACCATTGGTAAGTGAGCACTATCTAACCTTTAGTAAGTGGGCCACGAGCTTACTTTTAGTCATACCTCCTGGAATTCATTTCTCCCACATTAAAACTCAGGTTATATGCCATATGAATTTTAATAGTTTGTTCATTATAACTATGCCAATACACAGTACAATATATATAGTGCTTCAGCTTCAGATAATAATTTACCTATACTATACTCACTTTTTTGGCATCAAAATTTGGTAGCATGACAAGTGTAGCCCCACAGTATAGAGGTGTCATCAGTACATTGACTATACCATGCACATGATGAAGTGGTAGCACGTGCAGGATGACGTCATCTGGCTGCCATCCCCATGATGATATCATACCTTGCATCTGTGCATCTAAATTTCCAAAAGTATGAACAACTCCCTGAAATATTATACATAAAAACAGTCATTATTATCACCCAGAAATCTTAGACCTATCCATCTATTTAATATACATACCTATGTATGGTGTACCACTAACCTTTTCTTTATCATCAATTGTAAATGCTATATCCCTAAACTTTTAATCTATTTTCATTGAGAAGAAGTAAAAAGTGGATGTACTAATATATTGATCTTCATGTAAAACATTTTGTTTATTTTGCCCTGCTTTTCTAACCAAAATGTCGTCTTCATAATATTAGATCATTATGATTCAATGTCTTAGATCTCAGAATTGTACAGTGAACAAACTTTTGGAAAAATCTGGGACTTAATCTTAAGTCCAAATTAAGGTAAAATACAAGTTTTATCTTAGTCCTGTTCTTCTTGATTTCATTTGTTTCAATTCGTGATTTATTCAAACATTAATCATTGTATATACTCACCTTTGGTCTGCCTGTAGTGCCGCTCGTATATACAATCTTTGCCTTTCTATCTTTGTAAGTATCGTTCTCTAAGAGAGCGCCAAGGCTTTGTCTAAGTTTCCTCCCCAAGTCAGTTTCCCAGTGCTTACAATCTTCATCATAATCCCCGCTATAATCGTCCATCGTTATAGTCTTCAACAATATACCCAACTTACTGGCCACCGGCTCCAACTGGTCTTGATAATTTTTACTACACACTAATAACTTGGCACCGGAATCGTCTGCAAAGTATTCCAGTTCACTGATGGGGTGCGACTTACACAGAGGAACAGCTATAGCCCCACACATCCAGACTGCCCACTGTGTAACTATATAGGACAAATCATTGTCACAAAGAAAGGCTATACGCTCGCCTTTAAGCGGAAATTCGGAATCTCCAGACGAATATCTCATTCTGTGTGCGATTTCGTTAAATTCATGAGCCAGTGTGCAGCTGTAATGCAATAGGTCGTGATAGGTGTAACGCCCATGTTGCGTCACTACTGCTAATTTGTCTTGAAATAGTTCGGCTCTAAGAAAAACAGGTGTTGTATGGCTATCAGGTACCGTATGACAACCACGTGCAGTGTAACCAACAGTTGCCGCGTGACAAGCACGTGTAATTAGACTTCCGGTCGCCGTGCAACCTTTAGTTAATACCTGTCTCTCTAATAAAGAGTGACCGCCAAGTGATGTTTGGAGACCATGGTCTGTTTGATTGACTGGTGCCGTGCAAATGCTTCGCCTTGGCAATGTGTGATCACGTGATGTGTGACTTCCGCTTGCCGCAAAATCACTACGTGTCATGTGACTAGATGATGTTGATATGCATCTATAGAAACAAGATTTACAGAAGTTTGTTCTACCAAAGGATAACTGTTTATTGTATGTATATTGACCAAGTCTGTATATACAAGTGTTTAGATATGAAAACTGTCTGAAAGACCGAGGTGGTGATCTTGTCAACATCGTTATCACCATCCTGAAGTTATAAACATAACATATAGTTATCATAAACTTGTAACAAAGTTTGTTGAAAAACGGATTTATATCTGACTGCACTACTAATTGGACACAGGAACAAACTCACGTAACATACCGCTACATTATTAATGCGAAATCACGTATACCCAAAGTAGAAGCTACAAAGAAGACAGAGGTATCAGGGGGTAAACAATCGATATTTTCGATGTTTTATGCAATCTTAAAGCTTATAAAATTGATTTAACTTTGTACATTGTAATATAAATTATGAAAATAGATTTCAAAGACTATTTCTTGACATAGAAAAGTTGCCTCTACGGAAAAAAAAACAACATATATACAATGTAGGGACTAAAATTAAATCATATCAGCAATATTTGTTTTGCTTTAATACAACGGTATACTCTTTCACATTTAATGAACGGATCGTTCAAACATTAACAAAAACATACACTTAACTTTCAGCCGACATTCTACCAATGTGACCAACGTAGAGCAAAATCAGCCGACACTTCCGTGCCGTCTGATGATGTTCAATAATACATGTTCGCTATTCAGTCAGTTATTAATTTTGGATTTTCTCTACAAATGATAAATAATTGTGTCCAAATTGAAAGATGCACACGTTTATTTAAGTAATATAGCGTGGTAAGGGTTTATAAACACATGACACTGCTGTGTCCGAAAAGTCCGCAATTTTTGACGCAGACGAAGAGCATGCGGGGATCTCCAATAGTTGGACATAACTGATCATTAAATTACAATGCTCTGGTAATACAAGTCTGCATAATTTCGCAAAACAAAAACAAACAAAAAACCCAAAGAAAACAAATAAAACAAGAGCGATCAGTGATCACATGTCGCCTCATGATGGCCAATTTCATGTTGGGACAAGTTTTGTGACAGACGGACAGACAGACGGACAGTGCACAACTAGACTTGGTACTGATCATTCCTGTAAAGTTTGGATGGAATTGCACCAGTAGTTTATGAGGAGTAGTCCGGACAATCTTTTGTGTATCTGGCAACACACAGAAAAAAAACACATTTTTATCAAAGGGCCATAACTCGGCCAAAAATCATTCAACCGGATAACCCATGCAATATGCGCAAGGACTTGAGCTACAGATCAATCCTGTAAAGTTTCATTGAAATTGCATTAGTGGTATAAGAGAAGTAGTCCGGACAAACTTTAAAAATAAAAATTATTAAAGGGCCATAACTCTAACAAAAATCATTGAACCGGAAAATGCTGACAATATGCACAACTAGACTTGATACTGATCATTCCTGTAAAGTTTGGTTGAAATTGCACCAGTAGTTTATGAGGAGTAGTCCGGACAAGTTTTGTGACGGACAGACAGACAGACGGACGGACAGACAGACAGACGACGGAGAAGTGACCACTACTCCGTAGAGGCGACACAAAAACCTCAATGAATAAACATAAAGCTACAAACAAAAGATGTATAGTCTCAAAACAAGATCATGATGTTTATCAACAAGTAACGGGTCAAGTATAACTATTATAGTCACGTATCAGGTTTTTGCAAAGCTCGCGATTTTTTTTTCAATTTAAAAACTGATAAAAATAAATGTGCATCTTAATATGAAACATAAAAATGCCTACCTGTGATGTTAAAATACCTTTAAAACCAATTAAATTGTACCTATTTCAAGTATTCCGAAGGAGCATACAGTGTTTAAATCAAAGTTTTATCAACACCGCATAATTTCTTGACCTTCATGTTCTATTTACATTGTGATAAATTCAAATAAAGTATGCTAGCATATGAGGTAATTTAATCTCCATAAACACTAGTTTAAAAACAGAAATATGTTTTTCTCTTACTGACATGTCCAAGCGGAAGGTGTAAGTTTTTGCAAGTAATGCTTCTTATTTGCTCTGATTTGTTTAGGTTTTTGTCAGTTTTTTTATTGAAGAGCCTTAATTTTCATTCCATATTGGTGTATGAATCCACTAGTCAGCTAATACAAAACAAAATATTACTTTTGAACCAAGATTTTCGTTCTGCTACATTTTCGTTCCTCTGAAGAGTTAAGAAGTTGATCAACGAGTGTCTATAGTGGTGTATCCACATATTCAGAAGTTTCGATTCGTCATACTGGTTGAAAACGTTTATTTAATACGGTAGTTAGCATAACGCTGTACATAAACACACTAAAGGCCATAACAGACGGTAGGATTTTGAAGTACAACGCCAATTAAAACTAAGATGTACAAGCAAATCTTAACGTGTGAAGGCTACTATTTCTTGAATTCGTAAGTCTAGATGTAAAGGATAAAGGCCTCAACAGACGGTAGGATTTTGAAGTACAGCACCAATTAAAACTAAGATGTACAGACAAATCTTAATGTGTGAAGGCTACTATTTCTTGATTTCGGAAACCTTATGTTTAGATGTAAGGGATAGGACATGTTCTATTTTGAAAATCTTGTCGTACCGATTTTTACAGACCTCCCACAATGACAAGTAACAGATAACCAAATTAACTCCTGATAATGAGTGTAATGAATGAAATTCCAGAACAATAAGGGCTAAAAGGTAAACATAGTAGTAAGACGGGGTAAAAATGATGTTGAAAAACTCTTCAGGAGACCCAAAGTTGTGTTATGTTCGAATCCCAAATTATTCTGAAAATGATTATGTTATGGTATTGAATTGTTCTCTAATTAGGGGAGGGGAGGTAGTTTGTAGGCGGCCAGATAGCTTAGTCAGCAGAGCCGCAGTACGGGTCCCAGGTTTGAGTCTCGGTCAGGCTTCACATTAAAAATATATTTTTTTTTTCTAATGGAGGTGTTTCAATCATTACTCATGGCGAAAAAAGTATTTAGTGAGTAAAGTATGTAAAGGATCAATGTAAAAGGATCCTTTTTAGGGGAAACCTCAGATGATTCTTACAGTGTAGAATTACCGTCTGAATGCAAGTGTTGTATAGCTTTGAAAATTGTACATATTATCTCTAATTAGTGCTGTACAACTAAATCCTACCGTCTGTTGAGGCCTTAAGACATGTTCTATTTTGAAAATCTTGTCGTACATATTTCTATAGACCTCCCACAATGACAAGTAACAGATTACCAAATTATCTCCTGATAATGGGTGTAATGAATGAAATTCCAGAACAATTATGGCTAGGTAAACATAGTAGTAAGATGGGGTAAAAATGATGTTGAAAAACTCTTCAGGAGACCCAAAGTTGCGGTATGTTTGAATCCCATATTGTTCCGAAAATAATTATGTCACGGTATTGAACTGTTCTCTAATCAGGGGAGGTAGTTTGTAAGCGGTCGGATAGCTCAGTCAGTAGAAGCGCAGTACTGTATTTCGAGGGTCCCAGGTTTGAGTCTCGGTCAGGCTGCACATTAAAAAACAATAAAATTTAACAATTTTTAAAAAAAAAATGGAGGTGTTTCAATCAGTACTCATGGAAAAAAAATTAGTGAGTAAAGTATGTAAGGGATCAATTGGAAGGGAACTTTTTTTAGGGAAACCTGAGATGATTCCTACAATGCAGAATTACCGTCTGAATGCAAATGTTGTATCGCTTTGAAAATTGTAAATATTATCTCTAATTAGTGATGTACAACTAAATCCTACCGTCTGTTGAGGCCTTAATACAACCAATGGTCTATTCCATTCAACTCAGCTCGAAAGAAACCGGATTTAGAAAGCTCTTTTTATATAACAGCTCAATACTAAAATTTGACAAATTACAACTTTCATAACCCAAGATAACATATTTAAGTATGTAGATTCACTACAAATAGGCATAAAACCGGATATACTTCCTAATAATGATTAAAATGTACTAAAATTTACGGAGAGAGTTTTCAAAAAAGCTTTACAAGCTTCCTACTCAATCCGTAAATTTTATTTTATGTACTTTATTATGTAAATCAGTGGATTATAAATAAAATATTGTTTAAACTTAAATGTACTAAACCCCTCAAATCGATTTTAAGTTTTAACTCCGGAAAAAAACGCACACACTTGTATACTAACAGACGAACGGACGGACAACGAAAAATAAATATCATTAAGCAAATTGACGGAGTCAATACATATTCAATTTAGTTATAGTCATATGACTTCGTAGCATACACTTATGGTGGCTTTGTGGCCGAATCGCATAATTAGGAAGTCAGTGACCCCTATGTAGATCAAGGCCATTCAAATTCTAATTTATCATGCAGGTAAATAACAGTATAACAGGTCAAAATCGGATTTAAGTACGGGGAATAATTTGCTCGAGATCTTAAGGTAAAAACTACAGATAACCATAAATATTTGACACAGGTTTTATTTATCATCCGGGACATAATGTAGCCGGTAGTTGCGTGTCCCGTCATAGCATGTCCCAGTTAATATTTGTATAAAAATTAATACAATTTTAGAATGAATTAAAATTTTATGTGCCAGTAAATCTCCCGATGTTTTATTTTGTAGATCTAGATGTCGTATAAATGGAATTCGACGCAGCTTACGGTAACGATAATAAGATAATTAATAAAACAGATGAAACAGGTTCTAATTTACGGCAAAAGGCTCAATTTAATTGAGTCAACTCATGTGGTAAGTGCCAACTACACATTTACGTCCCTTTAATTTAAATTGCCATTTGTTCACGATCCGATAATCGATAAATTACCTGTTTACCGTACGTGACATTCAAATTTATAAACGGTATGTGATTTAAAACCAAATTTGCTTGTGTTTAGAACGTTAAAATAGTTTTAAAGACGAGTAGTTTAATAGTCTATATTTAGTTTACATGAAGTGACCGTACCCAATGACGTGTCCGTGGACGTGGTCCTCGGCAGGAAATTTTATATGCACTCAAAGAAGGCTGACGCATCAAGGTATGTAGTTCGAGCAATATCTTAAGTTCAGTAATAAATATTGTTATTTACGTCCAGTGAATAGACTTTCATATTGTTGACATGAGAAAAGCGAAAGTAACTTACTCTTTAAAGTTGACTGCAAATGTCGGAGATGAATGTAAGGGAGAGAAGTCTTTTCTCTTGATTGGATTCAGGAAACTATAGTATGTGTACTTAATATTATTTTAAATTAAAACATCTTTAAAAACAAGAACGTTGATGTACATAATTTTGTAAGAGATAACTGTAAGTTCATATATTTGTATATTATTCATTCTTAATGTGTACTGAAACTGCAAACTGCGAGTACAAAATTAAAATATATGCATGAATTGATGTGTTGATTTTATCTGTAGGTTTGTTTCTTTGTTCGTTCGTCCGTACGATCGTTCGTTTAGTGTTTGGATCCATCATTGATTGGTGGCTGGATGGCGAAAAATTTGGGTCTGCATGATGAATTTATATTTGAAAATGTATCAGCTTTTACTTAAGTTTTTTTAGGTCAGTTTCAAATCTCACTTGGTTGAAAACCAAAAGGGAACCACTCTCACTTGTTCTTATCATTTTGTGCCAAATAGGCAGATACCTTGGACATGTGGGACTAGCAAACACTCTAAGATTATATCGGTTTTGTTATTTTAATATGAGAGAATCGGAATAAATTACGTAATTTTAACAAGCCCAAAATTCGTATAACGAAATACAAGGGCGTTCAACATTTTTGCCAAAAATATCGTGACAAAATCTATTAAAATGTTTAATTTGCTAATAAATATAGTGTTGTTAGTAGCGGTTTTGGTAATGAATGGTAGGGGTTATAGCGTAGGGGTTAAGTGAGAGTAATGTTAGGGGAGGTAAGTACTAGTAATTAGTGTAGATCTAGTTATTCGAATGCATGATTGATCGATCGACCATGTTCGATTGGTTGATTAATCGATTGGTTTGAGCAAATGCATGAGCAAAATACTATTTCTCCGCAAATTCCTATAGGACTTATTATCTCGATAGACCGTGCAGTTATTCATTCTTTGAAAAAACAAACGTGCAATTTACTCATATTTTTGATTATATTAAAACGATAATATTTCAAGTGATTCAGAATGAATGAATAACTTATGCATTTAAAAAAAATATGTAAAAGGAATGAGACAAATGGTGTTTTAACGGTTGACTCCAGGAAATGGTGTCTTAAAATTACGAAAATTGATACACTTTTTACATGTATTGGATTGTTTTATATTTTCCAACATGCATTTTATTCTCGTGTCGCAATATCAGTTAATCTCGACGCCGCATGCTATTATATAATTTGTGGGATTTTGATCTACAGCAGCAGATGAAGGCTGGTAGTTCTGATAATTAAATATGTAATAAGTGTAGATAATGATACGCTGGAAAAATTCCCACTTTAGTCATATATATATACCAACCATGATATAATGATATAATTGAAGCGCTATTAATTTCACTGGCTTGGAATTTCCATAAATAGACACGAGTTCGAAACTTTAAACTCTTTAATTAATACCCCCCCCCCTCTAATTCAACAATCTATATCCCCTTAACAATTGACCTTCACTCCATCGTATTCCTGGATCTGTATCCCAATTTCACCTGACCTTCATCCTTCCTATTCCACCAGCCATATACCCATTTCACCTGACCTTTACCCTTTCCTATTCCGCCATCTATATCCCCATTTCACCTGACCTTTACCCCTTCCTATTCCTCCATCTATATCCACATTTCACCTGACCTTCATCCTTTCCTATTCCTCCATATATATCCCCATTTCACCTGACCTTCACACCTTCCTATTCCTCCATCTATATCCCCATTTCACCTGACCTTCATCCTTTCCTATTCCTCCATCTATATCCCCATTTCACCTGACCTTCACCCCTTCCTATTCATCCATCTATATCCCTATTTCACCTGACCTTCACCTCTTCCTATTCCGCCATCTATATCCCCATTTCACCTGACCTTCATCCTTTTCTATTCCTCCATCTATATCCCCATTTCACCTGACCTTCACCCTTTCCTATTCATCTATCTATATCCCTATTTCACCTGACCTTCACCCCTTCCTATTCCGCCATCTATACCCCCTTTTTCACCTGACCTTTACCCCTTCCTTTATACCACCATCTATATCCCTATTTCACCTGACCTTCACCCCTTCCTATTCCTCCATCTATATCCCTATTTCACCTGACCTTCACCCCTTCCTATTCCGCCATCTATATCCCCATTACACCTGACCTTCACCCCTTACTATTCCGCCATCTAAACGCCCTTTTTCACCTGACCTTTACCCCTTCCTATACCACCATCTATATCCCCATTTCACCTGACCTTCACCCCTTCCTATATCTCCATCTATATCCCCATTTTACCTGACCTTCACCCCTTCCTATATCTCCATCTATATCCCCATTTTACCTGACCTTCACCCCTTCCTATTCCTCCATCTATATCCCTATTTCACCTGACCTTTACCCCTTCCTATTCCGCCATCTATACCCCCTTTTTCACCTGACCTTTACCCCTTCATATACCACCATCTATATCCCTATTTCAGCTGACCTTAACCCCTTTCTATTCCACCATCTATATCCCCATTACACCTGACCTTCACCCTTTCCTATTCCGCCATCTTTACCCCTTCCTATACCACCATCTATATCCCCATTTAACCTGACCTTCACCCCTTCCTATATCTCCATCTATATCCCCATTTCACCTGACCTTCACCCCTTCCTATTCCACCATCTATATCCCTTTTTCACCTGACCTTCACCCTTTCCTATTCCACCATCTATATCCCCATTACACCTGACCTTCACCCTTTCCTATTCCACCATCTATATCCCTATTTCAGCTGACCTTCACCCCCTCCTATTCCACCATCTATATCCCTATTTCACCTGACCTTCACCCCTTCCTATATCTCCATCTATATCCCCATTTCACCTGACCTTCACCCCTTCCTATTCCACCATCTATATCCCTTTTTCACCTGACCTTCACCCTTTCCTCCTCCACCGTCTATTTCCCTATTTCACCTGACCTTCACCCCTTCCTATTCCACCATATATATACCCTATTTCACCTGACCTTCACCACGTTCTATTTCACTATCTATATTCCAATTTCACCTGACCCTCACCTCTTCCGATTCCACCAGCTATGTCCCCATTTCATCTGACCTTCCCCCCTTCATCTTTCCCAGTCTTGCTTACATAATCATTCCAATTTCATCTGAGCTTGACCCCCTTTATCTTCTAAATCCCTGTCCGTCTGATCTTTATATATCAAGGCATTATTTAAGAATAATTCGCATTGGAATTTGTGAAATTTCATTTATCAATGTAAAGTTATGTTGAAAAAAGCCTAGTATGCGATATTTTTAGCATTGAAACTCAACCGCATTAATAAAGAGCCGTTGCGTTTGTGTACATTAGTACATGTACATGTATTTAAAGGGTTTGAAAAAGATTTTGTACCACTTGATTAAATATAGGCTTCATATTCATGCGTTGTTTCGATATTTAAGTAAGATTTATATTTTGATAGAACTTCCATATACTATAAGAATATTACAGAGAATAAGTTCTGTCTTCGGCATTTGTATCTTATTTACGGATCCAGATGACGGAGGCGTGTATTGTGTTAGCGGGTTACGACAACCCGAGATTTGGATATCAACTTGAAAATCACGCAAAATGTTGTTTCATTTCATATCTTACTCTGGAATATAAAAATGTCAACCCCGCTTTACATTATTCGTTTTTCGAAATTTTACTACCCCTCTGGTAAAAAAATCTGGATCCGCGCCTGTTTTTTGCAGTGTGTTAGATCGACATAAATTTTATTAGGATAAATACGCCTGTTGCTCGGCGTGTATGTGAATATATGTATATATGTACTTGTTAAGGACATTTAAATAGATAAACTTACTCAAGGTTAACGCTTTTATGTAAGTACATTTTGAATATTCATTCTGAAGTCTGTGTATTTGTTTTCAATGATTTTGTATGTCTTATATTTGTTTATTTTATCATATCAATAATTTACGGTTAATTTAATGTTTTGGGATGGTTTGTTTTTAAAGAAAAAAATAACTACACTGTATCGTGTTATTTTTCACGTACGCGTCATGTATGAATATTTTTTGTTGGGTTCCCTGCCTTATCAACTTATACTTTTCACGTGTACGTTTTGTAACGTTTGAAAAACGCGCTAATCTATAAAAAGAAATCAGCTGATAATAAATGATATTTTGTATACAGTGACTACATTTTATATATTTGTGTAAGTAGTGAGTTTATTATTTATCATTTATAAAGAAATTCACGTTCATTGTAATAAATAAACACACTAAAACAGCAACATATTTTACATTGTCGATTAAAGAGCTCAAATAAATTTCTCTTATTTTTGACTAAGTAGTTTCTAGTATTGAAATACTCTTTTGTTTGTAATGGTCAAGTGATCTTTATTAATTCATCATAGTCTTAATTTATTTCCAAACACAAGTCCTTTTCCGATATTGTGATTTTATTATATTTTTTGAGTATTAAACGGAATTCTATTGGACAAGTACTCAGCTGTCAAACCAATATTGGATGAGGCGGTATCCAAGTCTGATATAGGTTTGGCAGTTGTGTATACAAGAATCAGTATTGTTTCCATCCATGTTTGATGACCTTTTTATTTCACACCACCATTTTTGGTCACTTTGACAGAAATTTGTTACTTCAGTTACAATATATGATTTGATATAGATATAATATAGATTTTTGACTCTCAAGAAATGATGCTAGAAGGTGAGTGATATGGATTTTATATGAACTCTTTGAACTCTGACAATGAGAACGGAGCAATTCGGTGTGTGAAATGGATTTGATATGGACTTTTTTTACTCTGAAAATGAGAACAGGGCAATTTGGTGTGTGAAAGTGATTTGATATGAACTTTTTGGACTCTGAAAATGAGAACGGAGAAATTTTGTGTGTGAAAGGGATTTGATATGGACTTTTTGGACTCTGGAACCGAAAATGAGGCTGAATTGACAAAATATGGTCCAATTCTAATTTCTGCTGGAACATCACGTAGTGCCAATAATTTAAAAAGGTGTGAAATAAATGTCTCTACAAAAAGAATTGGGTTTAACCTATACATAATATAGAATATATATTTGCTTAGTAATATGAATTCTACCAAATCGAGCAGCTTGTGCGAAAACTCAGCGCTAAGCACACCTCAAATAGCACTATAATATTTTCTGTATGGAAATTATTCACTCTGTCAAGGGATTTGGTATTTATTTATTTATTTATTTATTTATGTGCATTAAAGTGCATTAAATATCAGCGATACTTTCAGATAAAACTTCACAAATAACTGCATGAGTATGAAAACAATATGTGTGTACAGCTTCTGAAATATATAGATACAGAGCCATCATATACAAATGTATTTGCAAATTATGATAGAACGCTGTTTGTTTGCCATTTTCAACCAATTCAATGTTGCATGAAAAAGCATATAGATCACCAAAATCACTGTCGCATCCGAGAGGTCCTTCCCGTCAAACTTTGGATAGGGACGGATATGAATAATAGCCGAGATGTACCGATTGCCAAATTCAAGCATGCGATCCACATGACCAAGATCTAACAAGCGTCGATATAACCAAGGCAAAAACATTCTTGACAATTCCCGCCTTTTTTTCAGAAATATGTCGAATTTGCAGAATTCGCACATGTATTGCATTGTTATGGCCATACTATATATATACTTGTTATGTATTAAACATGTATTGCATGTTTATCCATTACTTACTTACTAACATCGATAACATTACATAGTTGTTTCTGTTGACGCTTCTGCAAATCGTACTTTTCATTGATTATGTAACAAAGTGAGTATATTTACTCCAGATATACATTTTGAACAAGAATACATTCCGATGTCAAAATGCATGGTTTCAACTGTTATTTTTACTTTGTGCTTTAAAAGAAATAGAGGAAGTACATTTATTTAGTGAATTATTCATGTTTTCCTTCGTTCATTTATATAGGGGAATTTAATTCGTGGATTATTCATGTTTTTTTTGTTCGTTTATATAAGGGAATTTAATTCGTGAATTATTCATGTTTTAATCCTTCGTTTTATATAGGGTAATTAGGGTCTTTCAAATATTCGTATTTTGCTTCTTGGCTAGCCATGGATGACACATAATTGTGACTTTTGATTAATTTGTTTAAGGACCAATGAATGCTGCTCACTAGCTTCCGGTTGCGTTCTGCTTCGCGTAATGTCGCGTGAATGTTAAATTTGTTAGAACGCTTTTGATTGGTAGACCTCGATGTACAACCTGACAAAGAAAATCCCCTACCTGAAATATTGAATGAAAAGTAATTAAATAATTGAAATTTTTCACGCTCTGTTAGAATAGAAAAAAAATATACAGGATGTATTCCAAGAAAGTTAGAGTTTTTTATTTATACTTTTGTTTATTGCTATTCAAATGAAAAGGTAAAATCCCCAAAGACCAAATAAAAAAATGAAATAAAATGATTAATACGGTAAAACAAAAGTAACTTAATAAACACAACGCTCTTATTTCACTGCTGCTTCTTGTGTCAATATGAAAAATACCAAATTATAGGTTGGCATGTAGGCAAGGTACCATTCAAATATATAGGCACAGTAGTAGTGTATCTAAACAATAATTATGTATCAGTTTGGGGGAAAAAACTATTGTGTATAATGAATTAACAAAATGAACACAGTAGGTAAATATTATAAACAACATATTTACATTATGAATAATATTTCCACAACAAAATTTGTACTTTTCGAATGACTTTTAATTGAAGATGTTATATTTTTGATCCTTGAAGATCGTTCAGCACGACATAATTGTTGGGAGTGCATGTTTTTGATACTTTTAGTTCTTTCCAATTAGGTGGGTTTTTCTAGTCGGGCGGTTCCAGTATTCCTCACGTGAAAAATGTTTAATTCACCCTTAGCATATGTTGCCTGCTTTTTAATCTTGTGTTTTGACTGTGTATCTGTGATATGCTGCCACCCCTTTTAAAATTCCATTTTATTTAATTCCGCCCATTGTTTTCTCGTTTAGTTAGGGCACACGGATTTTTTAAATGGGGACCATATGCTTTACATAGAATGGCACTAACGTGTTACATTCATGGTTCCATGATAATCGCCATATGAACACATCTGCGGATGTTTCAAAATTCAATACTTTACCAGTTCATGTTAAATTCTGCTTAAGCCGGTGCTAGGGGTGTTGGGCGGCAGCTTGCAATTACCACTATCGTCCATTAACAAGGTCAATTAAACCGAGCCTGCAACTTCTACAATTTTGCAGTGTTGGACTTTGTAGGAATTCTTTTTTTCCTCTAATTTATTGTTATTTTAGTTTTAGCGATTTCACGACGATTTTCAACTATGCCGAAAGTGGTTGTCGTCGGTGCCGGCGTCGTCGGATTGTCAACAGCAATTCACATACAGAAACAGCGTCCATCAACACAAGTTACCGTTGTTGCCGATAAATTCGAGAAGCAGACGACAAGTCATGGGGCTGGCGGATTATTTCGGCCGAATTTAGAACATCTCCTTGGTGTTGACCCTGACACTGTCACGTAAATAATCGATTTTTTTTCTATTTAAAGATTTGTAAGATTAAAAACAAAATACAAGAACAGTCTTTAAAGGCAAGCGACAAATATATCTTATATTGTTAGCGTAAAAGTTATACATGTATATATAGTCAGCTTTTATTGAGCTGCCAATTATGAATACAATATAGCACTCATATAAAAGTTTGATCGTCAGTGTAGTTTACGGGAATTAATATAGAGTTTTGAAAAGTCGCGCCAGTTTAATGTAAAGAACGTCACTAGTACTCACTACATCCGCAATAGCACAGTCAGTTAAGTGATTGTCTAATATATAGGAGGTCTATTGTTCGATCCCTGCTGTTGTCATTGTTTAAGACCTACTCTTTCTAGACCTACACTTACTCTACTCTTACAAGACTATCATAGAGTATTGTATACTAGTACTTCAAGACACTGGACACCTTTAATGTGAAAATGTTAACAATTGTAATTCTAATGCTTTATTTGTGATTGACTGACTGATTGATTGATTGATTCATTCATTCATTCATTCATTCATTCATTTGATGATTGATTGGTTAAATAATCGATTGATTGATTAATTAATTGATTGATTTATTTATTTTTGTAGGAGATGGAGCCATGAAGGATTTAATTTTTATTCAAAACTGGCAGTGTCACCGGAAGCGGCCGAGACCGGTCACATGGTGATGCCAGGATATGTCTTTAGTAATACAGAAATCAAGGTGGGTCGATATGATTTACAGACAGACTTTAAATTATCATTTATAAAGTAGATCTGTGAAAAGGCATTTAAGACTTTTGTTTCTAAATAGTTTTTGATACCAAAAATGAGTCAATCTCATTTAAAATCAGATCATCGTTTTCGCTGCGGCGTTACTCGTCACTATCTAGCCAAGAGCAGTAAAGGGACAGTTATAATATGATTTTAATGAGATTGAAAAAAATGAAGGTAAAGATAAGAAATATTGGTAAAATATAGTTATAGTTACACATTAGTAACTGGATCGGATGCAATTTGCAACTTAATTAAACTAGTATACACATATTCAAAATAAGACAACAAAAATTCGTTTCATTACTGCACAGATTTGGAAATTGTATACTTAATTCACTTGCCTTATCAAGTAAAGTTCTTCTACGGTCACCTAAGAAGTACATGAGCAGTACGTTTATTGCTTTTCAAATAGAAAGAAATATTACATTAAAGATTTGTTTAATGGCAAAAAAGAAACAGCAAAAAAAAGCCATTATAAAAAATAGTCCAAAACAACTAAACAAACAAAACGCGCTCATTTTCGTATTATATAAGAAGAACTATTATTTGTTATAAAGCCCTCAGAAGGGCCATGGACAAAGCATTAATATATATAAAGCAGACACACGGCAATACGTGACGAGAAGTCGAGACGGCATGTGCATTCACGAGAAATAATTCTTTAGTAAAAATGGAAACGTAGCTCATTTACTTTGAACTGGATCACGTTTAGGTCTTTATAAAATTTACTCACTGATTTTCATTTTTAACGTCTGCTTACTTTTTAGAAAGTATATAAAATCTAGATTTATTAAATAAAATGTAACCACAGACTATACTCCAGATATGATATTCTTGTACCTGTTCATTTACAAGCATACTTTCTGGAATAATTATATAACTTGTTAACTTTTGATGGGATAGAACATGTGTTTAATTATATGTAGAGAAAATACAGCTAACTTGATCATAAACTAGATCTTGTGGTAATAAAGCTTGGGTAATGGTATTTCTGAAGTGCCTATACATACTTAAATACATATTACTACATATCCTTTTAATCATATTATATAGATAATGTAGTTTTGAAAGGAATGTGTGGCGTGGCTTATAAGTATTATACGACATTAACGTAATGAGCAGGCACGGATCCAGATTATTTTACTAGTTTTCAGAGGGGTTCACTTTGATTGCGCTTGTATTAGCGTGATTATTAATCCGACAGCCCCCGCGCCCCCCCCCCCCCAAAAAAAAAGAATAAATAAACAAAAGAAAGAAATTGAAAAAAAGAAATGCGATTCCACATACTAGCCCAATACCAGTGTATGTGGGGGTCAGGACCATCTACCCCTCTCACCGGCGGGGGTGGGGTCAAGACCATCTACTCTTCTCCACGCCCGGGGCGTCAAGAACATTTAATCCTGTCCGGGGGACCAGGACAATCTACTCCTCTCCCCGCCGGGGGTGGGGTCTAGATCATCGACACATCTTCCCGCGTGGGGTCGGGTCAAAACCATCTACTCCTCTCCCGACCATTCTAAAGATCCGCGCATGATGAAGGGAAAAAATGTTATAATATATAAGTTTTACAGTATAAATGTTTGTGTACGGGACAGGTGATAATATATTTACAAAAAACAAATGCATTTTTAATGTAATTTAATGTAGAAACACATGCATGCTAAAATACATTTATTCGATATCTATACAATCATTATATGAATTGTTAACAGTATGTGTTGTACACAATATTAAAATGAAAGGTAAATTCTTTAATATAGATTTTCTAGAATATGAATAAAAGGTGACATAACAATCCTTTAGTCTAGCAATAAAATTAATACACCCAAAGCAAGGAATTCTCATATATTTTCCTATGTTTAAGGTCGTTGATTTTAAACCACTTGTCATTAACCGTTCGAATCCTGTCAAGGACTTTGGATTTTTTCATGTGAAGAAGCTATCCAATAAGCTTACAGAATGTCGGAGGTTATACTCAGGTGCTCGCTTGTGCCTGAAAAAATATATGGAGGGGCAACTTAGATCGTCCTCCACAAGTTAAGCTGGAAAGTCGCCGTATTTAGCTCCAAATGATCACATAACTTATATACAATTTAGAAATAAAAGACACATTTCTATGTTTTGGATCTATTTTTACACTCTATAATTTGTAAATTCTCTAAATTTTCAGAATCCCTTGTATAAAAGTGTTGTGTTCAGTTTTCGTCAGTTGAGTTCCGAAGAATTGGAGAAGTTGGCAGTAAAATACAAGTACTTCAATTATCATTTTTCTTTCATGGTTAAAGAGCAATTGTCGGTACCTCTGCGTCCCTTTCTATAAAGGATTCTGTGTAACTCTTTTTTTTTCGTAAATCAACATTAAAAAGAGGACCGATTGTTTTTAAATGTGATAAGTTGATTTTTTTCTTAATATAAAAAGCAATTGTGGGAACTTCTGCCTCCCTTTCTAAAATGTATAATGTGCAACTCTTCTTCAATCAATCATTATTAAAAAGAAAGGACTAATTGACTTAAATTTGAAAAGTAGATTTTTTTCTTTAATATATACTGACTTGGGCAACGCTTTGCGCGAATTCCTCGATTGAGGTATCTCGCAAAAATGTCTTAGATGGATAAAAAGTTGTCCACGGCGTTTTAGGTACAAATTTTCTGTCTGCCAACAGGTTTACAGGTCATGGGAACTTTGACCTTTGACCCTCTGATCTAAAGTATAAAAGGGCTCGTCTTCTGGCTTCGTGAAAGTGATATCAGTAGGCTTAAGCGTTCTCTATTTATTGATGTGACGATCACTGTAACGACCATGACCTTAACCGTTTACATACTAAGCTAAAATATACAGGTCATGACTGAATGTTGAGAGCGGGGCCATGACCTTAACCGTTTACATACTAAGCTAAAATATACAGGTCATGACTGAATGTTGAGAGCGGGGCCATGACCTAAACCGTTTACATACTAAGCTAAAAATATACAGGTCATGACTGAATGTTGAGAGCGGGGTCATGACCTAAACCGTTTACATACTAAGCTAAAATATACAGGTCATGACTGAATGTTGAGAGCGGGGCCATGACCTTAACCGTTTACATACTAAGCTAAAATATACAGGTCATGACTGAATGTTGAGAGCGGGGCCATGACCTAAACCGTTTACATACTAAGCTAAAATATACAGGTCATGACTGAATGTTGAGAGCGGGGCCATGACCTAAACCGTTTACATACTAAGCTAAAATATACAGGTCTTGACTGAATGTTGAGAGTGGGGCCATGACCTAAACCGTTTACATACTAAGCTAAAATATACAGGTCATGACTGAATGTTGAGAGCGGGGCCATGACCTTAACCGTTTACATACTAAGCTAAAATATACAGGTCATGACTGAATGTTGAGAGCGGGGCCATGACCTAAACCGTTTACATACTAAGCTAAAATATACAGGTCATGACTGAATGTTGAGAGCGGGGCCATGACCTTAACCGTTTACATACTAAGCTAAAATATACAGGTCATGACTGAATGTTGAGAGCGGGGCCATGACCTAAACCGTTTACATACTAAGCTAAAATATACAGGTCTTGACTGAATGTTGAGAGCGGGGTTGGCGTAAACGATCTTGCAGCTTTTTAGAATAACTAAATAATCAGATAAATAACAAATGTTTCACAACGGGAAATAATTACTGCCTTCTTTATCATGATAACAGCAAACACAAGTTGTTGGCCGTTGTTTGCTGCGGCCTTTATATTTATATTCGTTTAGCTCAATGAGTTTGTCGGAGAGACTGTAAGTTCATTGGGCCAGGCAGTCCATAAACCCTCAAAATGGTTTAAGTTTTAGTGTTTTGTTACAACTCATTGGCAATTTGGCTGAAACATTTTTTTTGTTTCTTTATAGTAAAGTTTATATAATGTAGTGATTAACTATTTACAAGTACGGATGACAATTTTTTTTTATTACTTTTATAATAGATAAGTTCATATTTTATTGCATGTATCTAACATGCTCTTAACACATTATAAAAAAAAATCATTATTTAACGATTTGTCTTTTATCTGTAACATCAATAAATTGGTGCAAAATTAAAAAATTAAATAAACCAACAATAACCGATTAAACTTATATATTTATTCACTATTAAGAGTTTTATAAACTGAGATGAATAGCCACTTTCGTATTTTGATGTGTAACTATTTCCTACTCATTTGCAAGTTTAAAGCTGCATGTTTCCAGATGAGCTGATATATTTTAAGAAAAAACTTCAGAAAAATGTACTAAGATTCTAAGAAATGTAAAAAAGATTCAAGATCCAAATATTAATTACATGTTATGTGCGATCAATGACCTATTTTGTAGCATCAGTTAACTTATTTCTGGCGCGTGACTACTAATTAAGGACTATGTTTTCATATTTGACGTCTTTTGGGGGTAATTTACGTGGATTGTAAGATCCGTTTGCGATGTGTAAATTACTTTTTTTGTTCTCTTCTTGTACATACATTTACAAAATTTTCATGAAAATTAGCATAAATCTGGAGGCATGTTGCTTTAAACAATGGACGTACGATCGTACACAGTTATTGTTTCAATATATTTTTGTCAGTTATACATAGCTGTATTTTTTTATTTAAAGATCCTGTAACATAATTTTTATGGTTTTATATTATAAATATGATGCTCAAATTAAGATTTATCAATTCAGCATTATTTATAAAGATATTACCGAATTTAACATTTCATGTAAATAAAGGGAGATAATAAAAAATATTTTCTATAAAGACTGAGTCAAATTTTTCAATAAGAAATGAATGTCTATATTTTAATAAATACATATATATATGTACACATATTTGCAGTACATATTTCACATATTCTTCGATGTTTGAAAATTGTTTTATAAGCATAAATATATACATATATATAATTTCATTTAAGTGTGGTATACAACCTCAATTATAACATACAGGATCTTTAATATGAAAATGTTAACTTTTTTTACAGATTTGGTTATCAAGTAACAACAGTTATAACAGACTGCAGTAGATTTATGCCATGGTTAATGAGAAAGTATGTTTATCGAAGTATTGATTTTTAATGGTTATTGACACGAAAGCTACGTCATTTTTTTGTCTGTGTCAATTAACCACAGATAGCGGCTTTCTTGAATTCAGATGCTATTTTTAAATGTACTTTGGAGAAAGTAATTGCTCTATATGATTAAATTGCTGTGTGTTTATTCCTATTTCTTACAAAACATCTCATGAAAGTTTCCGTGTTATTATAAGTTTACTTTCCGTGCCAAGTAAACTTTTCGTGGAAAGTTTTTCCCGAAATCAATTTAACAATTTCCTTAATAAGTCCCATTTATTGTGACACATAGTTAAAAATAATAACAATAGTTAAAGATAGCTTTTTTCGTTCCTGGTGTACGCCCACTTTGCTTAATAGAGAGCCCAGGGGTCGCTAGTTCGGTCCTCGGGTAAGGCGTTATTTTTCCGAGATAATTGCCTTTGGAAATATAATCGTATGATCATGTATATCTAGCCGCTGATTCAGAAAATCATGTGAGATAAGTTGTCGGTCACTTACGGTGAAATTTGTAATAACTGGTTAGTTATCCAGAAAAAGTGGTTAACTGGGTCGACCGCTGGCACACGTAAGGCCAAAAATAAGTTGAGATTGGCCTAAAAACAGGACAAAGAAACGATGTACCCTGCAATTCTTTTTTAATAAATATTGATTAGAAATGTTTTTTCCGCTAATTACATACAATGCCATGACATATTATAAATGTAATTAGACAGAAAAATCGATTCACGTTTCGTTTATGAGTAATACAAGATGTCATTACAATATTGCTAGTGTCTCATTATTTTATTAATCAAATATCATTTTTGTTTACACATTTTTTTCACATTTTAGTCATGAAGAATTGAAATTAGTCACTAGTATTTTTAAATATTTTATATTGTTTTATGTTTTAGATTTAAAGAGCAGGGTGGTGTGGTAGAGAACAAGCATGTTGATAATCTAGAAGAGGTATTGTTCATTAATCTTGGCTGATTGTTTTTAGTACTGTGGTTACCTATAGCAAAATGAACAAATTATTATTTTTTAGACTTACCCATTCTTTTCCACATACACTTTAGAAATTTTAGAAATTTCCAACATGGTTAAACACATTAATAGCTAGGTAAACATGACATTCTTGAAACTAATGGTACGCAATTCATCAAAACCGTGTTTTATTAGCAATAAGTCTTAAAATAAATAACAACAAACACAAAATAAGTTATTTTGTTTATTGCTAATTAGAAAACGATTTTGAACAGTTTTGTTTATTATAAGATAGGAAGTGATTTTGAGCTGTGTTGTTTTTCAAAATTCTTGTAATTCAAAAAAGTATTCATCTTTACTTAGCTTTTGTCTCTAGTTTTTTTTTCACTTTCCGAATATATTTGCAAGATTCTTATTTCTTTAATCTTAATATAAACATCGGGAAATATTGTCGAATTGATCGACACAGAAATTAATGATCACAGTGATTTTGTTTTTACAGTTTGTAGGTAAATATGATGTGGTAGTGAACTGCTCTGGAATACATAGTCGTGAGCTGGTGGGAGACAGGTCTGTGTACCCTATCCGAGGTCACCTTATACGTGTAAGAAACACATTAAATTTTGTATATATTATAATAGACTAAAACTCTATTGTAGTGGATCATAACTGTTTTCAAATAATTTTATGCGATTATTTCAACATTTACTACTACACAACATTTACCGTATGTTTGATGCTGTGTGATGTCGACATATAGGGTTACTTTTGTCGTCTGCGTCGTCGGCGGCGGCGTCCCATTAGGCTTGTCCGGAGCATAACTCAGTCGATATAAGCCGGATTGATTTCAAACTTGGTATGTATGCTTCTTTCAATGACCCGAAGTGCAGTGCACAAGAATCGTTACTTTGCACTTTTTTATTTTTTGAGTTATTGCCCTTTGTTCATTTTCATACTTATTTTTTGACGGGCCAATTCTCCCGCCCAACTGGAAACTTGTACTTTCACTTCATGATTTTTTAGTTATTGCTCTTTGTTAATTTTCATACTTAATAAGCTTGTCAAGAGCATAACTTGGTCATTATAAGTTTGACTGACTCTAGGCAACCTTTTTTCATTGACCTGAAGTGCAATGCACAAGAATCCATTACAGAGTCCTCCATTTGATCTGTCAGTGTTAAACTTTTCCATGGTATTTTTATTTTTTATAATAGAACAGTTTTATTAATCCTGACTTAACATTGTTACAATCAGTTCAAATTCTACTTAAGTTAAAGGAACATGTACATTGTAAGAGCAGTGTTTATAAATAAGTTGAAATAACCTATATTTAAGACGAAAATGCCTAACTGACAGCTATACTATTGATAAGGCGACACATCCGACTTGCGGAGTTCTAGTTAGAAATGCTATAGCATCATTTATTTTTATGTTTATGTGAATGATTCCACAACAATCACTGTTGGTTGTGAAATTTAGCTTTATTGTTTAAATGTTTCGCGTCACAAACAAATTTGCTCGTAAATTTTTTAGTGCCATATGTTTACAAATACAAAGTTTATTGCTTATTATTATTATTATTATTATTATTATACATTGGTGTAAATATTCCGTTTCCTGTTTCAGCTTAAAGCACCTTGGATTAAATATTGGGTGTATACTGAGGATTCTGCTTATTTTATCCCGGGGTATGTTTAACTTAATTTCTTGCCTTTAAGCAAGTTTGTTAGTGTTTCTACGGATGTATTGCTCGTGTTTATAGTGCACTAGTGGTGCAGTATTTAGAACATGTCTAGTGGCGGTATAGCCGAGTGGTTAACGCGTCGGACTAGAAATCTAAGATTCAAACACAGGAGCAGCCATTGTTTCCTTGAGCATGGAACTTTACACTGGTCGGTTCCAGGAACGGGTTCGAGAGTGTGTCTATAAGCTGTAAGCTTCCTTCACAATCAAACTAAAATAAATTCTGTATAAATTAACCTTTGTCAATATCTTAAAATAAAGTATATGTATGTTGGTTATGATTCTGAGAAAATTTTGTCTTACAGTTATGACTCACTTGCGATAGGTGGTGTTCGACAAAAGGACAATTATAATTTAGAAATTGATCCTAAAGACACTGCCGGCATACTGGAGAGATGTTATAAGCTCTGGCCTAGTCTACAGGTAATTATGCATCTATAATACTTTGTATATAATACTATTTTCATCTTGCTGATGTGCAATATATCAACAGTATAAATTTTTTGTTTGTAAACATCAAATGATTTATCATTTTAGGGGGCGTCCGTGGCCGAGGTGTTAAGGTCGTTGACTTCAAGCCACTTGCCCCTCACCGCTGTTAGTTCGAATCCCGACAGGGACTTTAGATTCTTTCATGTGAGGAAGCTATCCAGCTAGCTTACGGAACGTCGGTGGTCTTCCTCCACCAGTAAAGCTGGAACGTCGCCGTTTGACCTATATTGTGTCGGTGTGACGTAAATCCCAATCGAAACAAATTTATCATTTTGATGTCAGTCAAAAATCAGTCTGCCAATAAATGTAGTATTCCTTAAAATTATTGTTCCCTTGTATTAAAGTTTAACTAAGTTTTCTTTTGAAATTTAAGGATAGTTTAGTTTAAGATGTGTATTTTAATGTAGAAAATAAACATTTGTAAAAGAAGGGAATGTGCATTTTTTTTCTGAAAGTTTAGAATAGTTTAGCTTAAAATATATATTTTAATGTTGCAAATAAAAAAATTTAAGGGAACAAAATGTGAATTTTATGTACTTGATATTGAAAATTGTTTCCTTTTAACATTTCTAAACATTTCTTCGCCCAAAATATTGAGTATATAAGTATTTTTAACTGATTTGGTTATATAGAAACAAAACGCATGACTGTAAAAAAGTATATGTTTTGTTTTGCAGGGCGCACCAGTTCTTTCAGAATGGGTAGATTTGAGACCTCACAGAGATCCCCTAAGGCTAGAAAAGGAAACCATGAAATTTCCAAAGGGATCTTTAAATGTAAAGTATCATGCATATTCAGAGTTTTTATATTGAAATTCTCTTTCTATTTAAAACTATTTCAGTCAAACATTACCTGCAAATATTTTGAATTCTTTACGTCCATAGAGTTATCGCTGGTTTGGAAAAAAATGCACGTATCAATTTTGTTACGTCACTTCCCTTGTTTTGTCAAATTATATTTCATTATAAAATAAAGAGGGGTATAACCCCTCGAATTATTGGAGGTTAACCTCTCAAAACATTGGAGGTAGAAAACTGTGGAATATACAGTTATATATTTCGTTACGTTGTATATATTTCGTTAGTCACTGTCCTTGTTTTGTCTGATTATATTAAGGCCGAAAACCACGGCAAATACAAATTAGTGTTTTAAATTAATATGATTTCTGTATCGTTTCATAACTTATCAGTATTTGCTACAGAAAATTTATACATAGTGTAACACCAGCCCTATATTTTATAGATAAACTCACCGAATTACCTTAATAGCATTTGCGTGATATGATGTGATCAAGCGAAATATGTCATATATATTTAGTGTCGTGGCAACAAATTATCTATTTCCAACTATAATGACTTCAGTAGATTATTACCGGGCTTCAAAGATTCCATTTGAGTCTTGTTTCTGTTCCATATTAATTGTTTTAATACTCAGTAAATAAATAGAAAATGTGATTAGCTTTCATGGACAATATCAGTGAAATTCTATTTGAAGAGTATTCTACTTAGTCCCATAATTATATATTTTTTGTCACGTAACTTTTACTTTATCATTTACTGAATTGTTATCCCGAACGATTACAAATATGCAAAATGTGCAAATCATCGAATTTTCGTAGTTATTACAAAAAGAAAATAACATGATGGCTATAATATGTATTTGTTACTCCTATGCTGGAATATACAATAAAACCTGTGTTAAAAGACCGAACACGACTTATGTAGACAATTGGTCTTTATTCGGAGGTCAATTTGTTTTACCTGTCCAATAAAAGGTTGTTGGCGAGTGGAATTTATTTACAGGGTGGTCTCTAGAACAGTTTTGATTGTATATATACAGTCACACATACGTATATGTGGGTGAAATAGTTTCAGAGACACACTTAGTTACATTTCAATCTTTATTATGCTTGAAAATACTTACTTCTTGAGCGCAATGATCGTAGCATGTACATATGATAATGTAAGTCTGATTCCCTGCTTTCATTTACTACGTAGTGCAAGGGGCAAGAACTCCAAACCAATTACGTAGTGTAAGGGGAAAGAACTCCAAACAATTACGTAGTGTAAGGGGAAGGAACTCAAGACTAATTGTAACGTTAGACCATTATGATGTTAATGATTTGGTGCTGATATTTTTCAGGTTGTTCACAACTATGGACATGGAGCGTTGGGTATAACGTTAGCCTGGGGGACGGGGAAAGAAGCCTCACAACTTGCTGTTCAATGTTTATCATCATCTACATCAAAATTATGATTTTTAGTTTTGACAAGAAGCGACTTGTCTCAAGCTATTTCCTCAATTATTTTTTTTGTTCCTTTTTATTCAGATTTTGTTTTTTATTTTATGATTTAAATTGTTATTTAGAATATTAAGATAATATATTTAAAAGTACAAATTTGATCGTTAAAACTTTGTGATTGTTTCATTGATGTTTGGCGGAAGCTCAATGTTAAGCAGAAAGTTTCATGGGACCACGCTTGATGTAAAGTTTTATTTTGTGTTCTAAGTCTTTGTAAAATTACTTTGAATATTTGCAACTTTTTTTATTTTAAATGTGGCGCAATACAGATCATTTTAATGAGACTGAACAATTGAAATCTTTTTTATTTACATGCAAAAATCATGCTCTATTCAAGATCCTTTTTTGTTGCTTATAATTAAAGGTCCATTATGCCCATACAATGCTAATATTTTCATTTATCAAAATGTTTAACCTATGATGACCAGTTACAAAATCCGAAAAAGTGCTCAATAAACCTCTATAGGTAAACCATCTACTGTTTTGCTTGATGTTTGGAAATTGGCGCTGATATTGTGATTTAGTATTTTGTATAGAAGTCAAAATACCATTTGTTTACATTGTGCCACCTTTATCACAATTTTTGTTACATTCAGCGTTATTTTCCTCTGGTGATAAGCATGTTACATGTTCTAAGACATTTATGAAAAAAAACAAATGTTTGCCTCTTCTCTGGAAGTAAATATGTATTCATTTCAAAGGCATAATGTGCCTTTAATATAAACTGTTTTTACTCTCTTTTATCATTCCATGTTATTGTAAATTGTTTACACAGAAATGTGCCTTTTTAATCTTTAAATTTTAATTTGTTATATGTGTAATTTACTTAAAGGGGAATAAAATGTATCGATATCTTATATGTGTGTTTGTTTGTTTGTTTGTTTTATGATCATATGTTTTAACAGACAATATATCTAGGTTTGGACATCTGATCATTTAATGCAATTGCATTTTGATTTATTTTATGCCAAACTTTTTATATACATGGTTAAAGATATTTTAGAGTAAGTCTGATCAATTCAGCTAGATGTTAACATAGAGTATACTGATTCTACTATCAAACAAGTAGGACTGTCGAGTACAATCTTATAACGCGATATTTGCACGGCATAAAAAAGGAATGCTTACCCGTCGTATGACATCAATAAACCAAATGAAGTCATGTGAAAATTACTTCCACGATCAATGTAGTTCATCATATTTTTATTAACTTTTTATGTTAGATGTTAGAATGAAAATTAGTTATTTATTTTTCAAATGCTTTGTAATTAATTATTCTCTGTTCCTATAAAAGTCGGGAACCAATTCCATTATAGCAGGGGAGTTTGTCACTGTTTAGAAACTGTCCGTTAATATGGGAGAATATATAAAATCGGTCGAACAGTAAGAGTCGCGGAACGGTATTCCGAGGTTCCCAGGTTCGAGTCTTGGTCAGGATGCACATATTTCTAACCCTGTGACAAGTGTATGTGAGAGCGCATGCGCAGTAATAACGCTTTAATTTAAGTACAGAAATCATTAGAACTCTTACAACATTTTGTTATGATTCTCATTATTGAGGTGTCTATATGTCATTTCACTAAAGCTGCAGTAAGGTAATTTTGGTGGATAAAGGCGTGTCAAATTAATGCTGTATTTTAAGAACGAAAATCATCTGCTGTTCATTTTGAAAACTATATGTTTTTACTACTGGTTTTCCTATACGAGTAATGTAATATGTGTCAGATAATTGGATATATTAATAAGAAAGTTTTCTTAGTTCGTCTAAATAACACATATTGGTTATGATAACAATAGTAAATAAGGTCATACCGGTATAACATACGATTTTAATGATGTATAAATATTCGTTTTTAATTTTATCGTGTCTTTTATTAACTTACAAAGTTCGGCACATTATGGTCAAATAATTATATAAATAATCTCCCCTAGATTATCAAAAACAAAATAACACTCCAGCACTTGTGTACTACATGTATTTTATAAATAGTGCACGGGTGTTGGATGGAGATTATTTTTTATTACATACTTACAAATGAAATATTGAGAAATATTGATGAAATAAAATGCGTATTTTCATTTTCCGTATTTTCACTGTAAAAAATTATTTTTCACTGCAGTGAAACATATTTTCCGTATTTTCACTGGTGTCATGCCGGACTACTTTCTTTTAAATTCTGCCAGTACACAAAATTTAAGGGAAAGTCTTTATTATATTATTATCGCAAAAAAGAAAACAAATGTATATAATAAACAGAAAATTCAAGTTTTTTCTATCAATACATGATTTATTTTCATCTTGTGGCATGAAAATTACCATATTACCAAATTACCATATTTCACTCGTGGCTACCGCCACTCATGAAATATTTATTTTCATACCACTCGATGAAAATAAATCATGTATTTATAGAAAAAACTTGAATATCCTCTATATGATCATTTGACCATTATGGATAAATGAGCCGAACGTCTGTGTACTATGAATTACAAGTACACTTGTTGTGAACTTTGCAAAGAAAGGTAGCTTTCTTTGGTAACATCCTAGTTACATCATTTGTGTGTGAAAAAAATGACCTGAAGCTAATTGGATACATATTACATGACACACGCTTGCTTTTATATACATGTACATGTAATTAATTATTGACGTAAATGTTAACTTTTGCTAAGGCTAAATATAAAAGCTAACGTCCATGGGAAATTACAGCAAACTATAAACATTAACTATACAACGTGCTTAAGTCTACACCAAAGCTTGTAACTGGTACAAAGAACACTTGGGTTTTATAAAAAAAATATCAAAGAGAAGGATTATAACTAATTATGATTGTAATTCTACAACATTGTCTACTAACAAATAAGTGCCTGGTATATTTTTCTCATAAACTTTGAAAAGCAAAATCAATTTTTCTGCCGATAATTAATTCATTTTACCCCTCAAGAGGACGATGTTTTCAAAGGAGGGAAACTGTCTTTGATAAGAAATTGTTTCTTTATCGTTCGTTATTATAATTAAAATCATCATACCATTTAAGTTTTTTTTCAAGTCAGTTCATTTTCTTAATTACAATAGTTCTATGTAAGATATAAAGTTCCCTGGTTGATTTAACGTATGCGCTATGTGCGTCACAATCATGCACGCCGACGCACACGTACATGCACACACATGCGTGCACGTGTGTTTGTGTCTGTGTTTGTGTCTGTACAGTATATATAATACATAAGTTCTATCCGTCTGTTTTTATTACAAGAAAAAGTTAATATTACCTTTGTTAACCAGACTAGATACATTGCACACAAATACCTTTTAAAAAACTATTTGCAAATTGACTGTTAATTTTAACTTCAGAAAGTTCATCTTTCAATTTTGACAATAAAATTCATCATATTTAGGGAACGTTTCAGAACATGTTTTATCTGAAAATTGAACAGCGCTGACCATAATAAAGCTACATGGATGTGCCGGCTGAGCTTGGTCTGCAATGGATACAATTTCATGGATAGCATTTGTTGCCGCTACACTCTTAGAATGCATACAATTCTAATGTCTTGTTACTTATCGAATCGAACATGTAAATTCTCAACAATACTCCTTAATTATAGGCTACACCAATATATCATGTAGAGCATTTAGACATATGTGATAGCAAGTTTCAGATGATATTTTTAAACCTGATTCAAAGGTCTGTTATGTTTCAAGCTCAAAAATGAAGACAATTTATTCCCATGAAAAACCATATAATAATATATTATATTGTTTGAAAACAACTGGTTAAATCCATTGTTTATTGACATAAATAACAAATGTTTTCATCATTACATGTCAACTTTAATGCAGAAAATATATCAAAAGTTTCTATAACATACAGTAGATCAATTCTAAAGAATAAGATTAAGATTTTGAAAAGGCCATCATTGTTGCATTATGAGCTCTCTTAAAGTTAATAAAAAGATAACATGTTTATGAGGAGTGTCTCTTTATGGATTTGAATGATATAAATTATCTGTAATAGAAATTGACTTTACGAAACATTTTACATTATTTACGTACAATATATAAATAAATGTTTTGAACTTTATAAAAGCTATACCCTATATATAACAATAACATGCATATATACGTTAGTCTAACAATACAAAAGGATTATCATGTTTTGATAAAATGTGTCCAGGTGTGATTCCAAACCATTGATATTAAATTGCAAATGACCTCAAATTAACGGCGACGATGATAATATTTCAGTGTTGAAAACATATCAAGCAGTCTTCTTTCAATGTTTGGACATATGTTAACACTACATCTTTGGAATTGTTTGTGTTAAGGAGAAACTCGAAAACTGTCCATTATGTTACAGGAATGGACAGGTCGAGTTTCGTTTATTCTCTCACAGAATGGACATTTCGATGAGTTTCTCTTACTTAAAACATGTTCTCTTTTGTCTTAATAAAAGACTATTGCATCCATGCAAATATTGAAAATTGCTTGCTTCCGTAACTGATTGGACACTTGCAATAGCTTGTTTTCCTCTTGTAGTATCAGAGTTATGTCAGAGACAAAGTTCAAAGTGTAAAAACAAGGTAGCGACTCAAATGTTGCGCGCGACACTTTATCTCAATATGATGAT